AAGAGAGCAGCGCTAGTCAAGGCTGTATTTGATGGGATGGCTGATCAGGGAGACGACTACGGACCGAATTGTGGAGACAGCGCGGCAAAGACAGCACAACGGAATAATAAGACACGGCAGTTTCTTGCTCGTACAGCAAATCAGATCTTTACAAGTCGAGAACTTTCGGCTGTAGAGGTTTGTAGTAATCTCCTCGGGTACAAGAATAGCTATTGCAGCGAAGCGAGTTGGATTAACGTCTATCTCAGTTCGCTTTACTGGGCTATTTTCCGGCGCTGGGAGGCCCTACGCAGAGCAGCAGGGCCGGAAGTGCAGCAGCGGGTAACCCCTGAAACGATTGGATTCGGCGCCGGTGGCATGACTTTGCCATACCTTGAGGCATATGCGCATCGCGGTCGCCTGTTAGAACAGCTTTGCTTTTACGAATACCTATGTATGGTTCGCGTACGGAGGGTCGGACGAAGGACCAGGATAAACCAGTCACGGTTTATACCGTTCGATTCTTTAATGACAGACCGGGAATCGTGGATACAAGAATTGCTCCCAAGGACACATCAAGCAATTCCAGTTGTTACCGGACATCTAAATCATGACGTACAAGGCACAGAAGAAGGGTATTACAAGAGGTAGGTATATATATATATATACCTCAGGCTATACAGTCGCTAACAGACAATAGGTCAGCAGTCCTGTTACTCGGCTTATTTGTGCCGTGGGAAACCTTTATGCAATCCACTAGTCCCGATCCAGGTGACATCTGGGAGAGATTATACACCGACATGCCAGGTCGGGTTAAGGCTGTGGTAAATAACATCCAACTTCTTCACAAGAGCGCAGAAGACGCAAAGAAAGACGCTAAGCTTTGGGCTAGCCGGAGCGAGGGCGATGAAGGATACGAATTTGATGTGCCTGAGGAGGGCTTAGACCTTTCAGAAGAATGGCACCCAGATAGGATAGACCTGCGGCACACCTTTCACGATGTAGTCTTCAGCCTACAGGACGGACCAGGAGTTACGAATGGTTCTCCAGGCATAAAAGAGTTGCTACAAACGCTAGATAACGCCGGGTTTTCTAGCATAGATGACGACTCCAGAATACAAAGCACCAACAGTCAACCACATATGCAAACAACACTACCAAAGCAACATTTAAAAATCACCAAAGCGGCGCAGGAAAGACTCCATAAAGAGCGAATGCTAGCCATCGAAGGGGATGAATCCGCCGAAAGACCCCTACATACCGGTGCCGAAACAGGCTTTGGCGACAACGATGCTAATATAGATTTCCCAGCCCAGCCAGCGATAGTTGGACTGAAACCTGCTTCAAACTGGATCGCAATTACGGCCGCTAATACGTTCACCCAGGCAGGGAAGATTATCGGTGCGGAGAGAACATTAAATCGCATGCAGGGAATAGCGCTTAGTCTCATCTGCGAGGCGCTCGACGAACGAACAAACGGCGCTGATCGGCAACACCTGCAATACGTTGGCGGGGGAGGCGGCACTGGAAAGTCGTGGCTTATCGATACCGTAAAAGAGGTTTTCGCAGCCAAAGGGGCGTCCAGCCGGCTTGTTATTACGGCAACGTCGGGAACGGCCGCAGCAGGTATCGGCGGTAATACAATTCATTCTGCTGTAGGGCTGGCATTTCGGGACGCCGATGGCGCTACCGTAGAACCAATGTTATCGAACAATCTAGAGAAAGCCAAAGAACGATGGCGCAGGCGGGATGCTCTGATAATCGACGAGGCCAGCATGCTCGGACTCCAAACATTATATGATATCGATCAAAAGCTCAGAATGTTAAGGGGCTTCCCAGAGAAGCCTTTTGGTGGCATTTCTGTCGTCGTGTTCACTGGAGACTTCTTACAGTTCCCGCCAGTTTTGCAGAAGAGCCTCCTTAGTACTACCGAACGAATTGGTATAGTGCTAGGAAATATAGGACCGGGAAGCAAAGCTATAGAGAGACGCTGGAAAGAGGCTAAAGCTAAAGAACTCTGGCAGGGGTTTACTAATGTTGTAGTACTCGACGAGCAAAAACGGGCTGAAGGGGACGCCTACCTGCTTGGTTTTCTTGAACGCCTGCGAGAGGGCAAGCAGACAAGAGAGGACGCCGCGAAGCTCGAAGCGCAATATAATAGCGAATCGAAATTCGATTTCACCAGCGGCAGGCGAGCTGTTATACCTCTAAACCGACACCGGTGGGATCTGACGTTGCATGCAGCCCTAGCATATAGCGTCGATACTGGTCGTAAGATATCGATATATCTTTCGAAGCACAAGTGGGAATCGCGGATACCTACAGCAGAGGAGAGAAAAGCAGCCATGCTATTAGGCGACGAGGGCAAGCTGAGCGCAGCTGGTATGTTCCCTTATGTCGAGGGTATGCCGGTGGTAATCAACGAGAACAAGTATATGGGTCTCAAGGTTGTCAACGGCGCAGAGTTTACAGCCGTAGGAATTCTTCATCCGCCCGGAGTAGAAGAGATCATCATAAACGACAGGCTGTCCATATTTCTCGGACCGCCTAGTGGTATTATTCTCCAGTCCGAAGAAACGAACGGGTTAGCTTTCCCCCATCTGCCACCTAATACTGTAATGTTGCCAGCAGCCAATATTCGAGTACCAGAAAAGCACATCAAAATACTCCGGCCAGATCTGCAGAAAGCCAATGTAAAACTAGCGCTAGTCCGGACAGGGCTCCCATGCACACCAGGCTTCGCATTAACCGACTTTAAGGCACAGGGGCGGACACTCGAAAAGACACTGTTAGGGCTTTATGGGAGAACAGTGGGTAAGAATACGGGGGAGCTTGAAAGATGCGATGCAGTAAGCATGTATGTTCAGCTATCCCGCGTGCGGCGCTTTGAAGATATCGCTCTCATACAGCCGTTAAACGTAAAGCAGTTCCTAGAGGCGCGCATGCCGGAGGAGCTAGTCGAAGGAACCAAAAGACTAAGGATCCTCGCGGAAGCAACAGTCCGGGCGTTCGAGGCTAGGGAGAGAGATGAAGCATAGGAGGGCGGAATAGTAAATAGGGAGGTAAAACCATTAAGATGAAAGGACAGATTAGTGGTCTTGCCTTGGCGGTTCAGGCATGTCATGAATCGGGTTAACACTGGGTTATTATCGCGTATTGCTGTCTTGTGTAGTGCTGTTGGACTCATTGCTATGACCAGAAGGAGGGCATACAATAGGCGTAAAGTTAATATGTGCTAGACCCGGAGGAATCCTCCGTACCTCGAATGTCCGCTGGAAAGACAAGACTAAGGAAACCTCCGAAACCTGCTGGCCTAATAGCTGGCACTCGTTCGTCAAGTGAGCTATCGAGGCGTGGATTGCTTCTAACCGGGATGTAAGGTCTTTGTAATAAGTAACCAGCTCAGAAGCATCCATTCTGGCCAGTGTGGATGCACGCGAGGTAATACCAGGGTTACCGAGAGTCTCCAGTTCTATCTCCCATCGATCCAAGGCAGAGAAAGAGTCAGAGAGAGTACCTGGTGGCTGTCCGATCAAGCCCAAGGATACACCCGAACGTCTAGCGAAAGAAGCATCTAAAATAGTTAATAAAAGAGCAGGACGAAAGAGGACAAAAAACCTTACATACGGTGACTACAACGGGAACCAGTATTATTCCACCAACAGTTAGCACACCCACCATTCGTAGCCCGTAAGCCCTCAGCGGACTGCATTACAATACATTGCTTCCACGGACCATTTGAACGGGCACATCGGTCGCATGGAGGTCGGCGCTCAACGCCGGTAGCCTGAACCAGGGCAGCAATGATGCGATAACCATGATCGAACGACAGCGTCTTGCCCTGTTTCCGGGGAGCAAGCTCCCGGGCTATTGGAGAGCAAGATAAAACTTCTATTGTTCGGCTGGTGCGCATAGAGGTGCTCACACCAAGTCGATCCAGCAGGTCACCGCCAGCTAGAGAAAGCATTAGTGACGTAGATATGAAGATGAACAACCAGAGGGGACTTGCTATCACAAAGCACAGGGGGGTTATGGGGCATAGACATAGAGGAGAAATACGATATTATGAAACCAGCAATAGGAAGGACAAGCAATAGATATTAATCAGATAGATAGGAAATCACGGAAGGTAACGATAGGGTGGTATTAGGATGGAAAGTTCGATGGGCGAGGTTGGGCCGGGCTAGGCCAGGGGTTGAAAAGACGGGAAAATAAGAGTGGTTGGCGGGAAATAAATGGAAGAAGACCGGCAAGACATTGGGTAAACGACGGGAAGACCCGAGGACGGCGAACATGAGAGGTGATTGGCCGGAACAGGGGTTAAACGAAGCTGATTGGTCGAACGAAGAATAACGAGCGCTGATTGGTGGCAGGGTCGCTACGACCAATCAGCATCGATTTTTGCTCTAGCCAATCACAGAACAGGAGACCAGGGGGGATCAAGGCACAGGATAGTTTTTTACGCCTTCGCGGATGGAGAAGTTAACCTTCCTAACGGAAGGCACAGGATAGTTTTTTACGCCTTCGCGGATGGAGAAGTTAACCTTCCTAACGGAAGGCATCCTACAGGGAGTACAGGGCGTAAGTGAGTAAGCTCAGTCATGTCACTCACTTGAGTTCAGTGTGCTTCGGTGAAGTTCGGTCTGATGTCGCCATCTCAGCTGATGTGCTTTGATCTGGTTGGCTTGACAACTCATTCTCAGACAATGTATCTGTATTTGAACATGACCTATTAAGATTTCATTTCACTTGTTCAGTAGCATTTATTCATGTAAATGAATCATATGATGTAAGAGGTCCTGAATATGCCACAAACGTGAATGTCTCCGATCTTGAAGTAATTAGGTAATTCAAACCCCTCTCACAGCGTTCAAGTATTCCGAATAGAATTTGCGAGTTCCTAATGTAAGTGCGACGCCTCTTTTCGTCTGAATGTGTGGCGTGATAAAGTCAATTGCCGTTCCTCCAACCCAGCCTGGTAATCGACACATGATATACACAGAAAACAACCATTTTTACACTCAAACTCCAAATGGCGACGTTTCCCAAATGTCTACCACGCCATCATACCGTCCAACAGCAACCGTCTTCCCATCAGGCGAGAACGCCGCTGCAGTAACCAACCCGTCGATCCCCGGTTCCGTATTCACCGCCGCAAGCACCTGTCCGGAATACGTGTCCGAGATATCCATCCCGTTCTCCGTCCGGCACGCCAAATACCTGCAATCCGGCGACAATGCCAACGGCCACCCCTCGTCCGTCCTCACCTTGTTCAACTCCCAACTACACATACTCCCGCCTTCATGTTCCCAGAGATACACCGCCCGCGGCCAAACGGACACAATCACCCTCCCGTCCCTCGAAACGCCCAAATCACACGCCCCGCGCCCCGTCGCAGTGACCACGCCGTCAACCTCCATCCTCCTCAGCGTCCTCCCCGTCTTGGCGTCCGATATCCTCACCGTCCCGTCCCGCGACAACGTCACCACGTCCCCGCTCGGCAAGAACTTCACATGCGTCGGCTCAGCATGGTTCACGATCCCCGCGACCCTATTCGAAGGGAACATCCCCTTGGTCCCCGGCGCAGTGGGAGTGGTCTCGTAAACAAGCACCAAACCTCTCGCATCCGTCGCCGCGAACGCCATCCCGTCGTCGCGAAACGCCGCCGGCGTTCGGAGACCGTTGATGTTAGACTTCCACATCTTACTGCCCGTCTCGCGGAACCTCGCTCTCCCGACGTCCGAAGATTGCTCAATGGCCGCGGAAAACCTGCCGTCGCCGCTGAAGAGTACGAGTGGACAGTCGCCTACCTCTGACGATATGAAGTTGGTACCTGTTTTATGGCGGAAATCCCACATCCTCGTCGACGAGTACGAATGGGGGCCCAGCTCTTCGTGGGAGACGGCGACGAGATCCTTCGGGGAGATGGTGAGTCTCGTCACGTCGCCGCGCGTGCATTGGAAACGATTAATCTCGCGGAGGCGGAGAACGGAGGGTGCGAAGTTGCCGGTGGAAGGGGAGAGCGAGGACCGGATTGAATCCGTTACGGACGCAGCGCGCGGCGGCGCCGCTTGGTTCGGCCTACGGCAAGGTCAGTCTTTTATGTTGCACGAGAAAAAAAAAAAAAAACGAGCGAGCCCGAGTTTTACCCTGCTGCAATTGCCTCTTCGTAGCTGGGCCGAGTTTCGTCCGCCTGCCGCGCATCTCCAATGTCGAGCTGGATACTAACTGGCATCTTGGCTCATTCTCACGAATTTGGATTTACAACGAGCAAAAGCTAAGCTGCCGCAACGGCTTATAATGCATTCATGGAATTACAAGCCGAACTTCCCCGCCAAGAGAAAATTGCATGCATTTGTATTCACCGGCACGACAACCCGGTTTCTACGAGTCTTGGAAAATCTTGGGGCGGTTGCCTGATACGGATACCATTAAAATGACGGCCCTTTCATTACGGTGTCTGATCTAAGCCTCATGCGGCTGAGTAAAGTCCTAAAAACATAGCCACATATACACTCTCCACCTTTTCTGCAAGTACCTCAAGATCAGGATACATCCTCAGCTAAGGGAAAAGGCAACTCCGCAGTAATCACAGTAAAACTATTAAAAAAGCAACTTATTCTATCTAAACGTAGTAGTCCAAGTTTCTACTAATCATAATCCTTAATGGAGGTTTAAATTTTATTAGATATTATAGACTTCTTAGCTAACTTATAGTACAATAGAAAATATATATACAATACCTATCTAATAATATATTAGGTATCAAAAGATAACCCAGCTGGCTTAAGTACTGCGCGGGTCGTAACTCATAACAGAAGTACTTTGTGTTTTAAAATGCATTGTGGCGACAGTGGCAGTACAGCGTAATTGGGTATAGAGTCGGGCAACAAAACGATGAGGGCCGTCAATTTAATGGTATCCGCCTGATACCACTCCTCATTACCGTAATAAGGATGCTCAGCTATGGATCATTGGCGTTGTTGGATACCAGCTTGCTTCGGGCCGGGCGCATCGGGGTAAAACTGCCACGAAGTAAGCTTAACCCTTTTGGATACGCTCACCCTCCTTGCTACATAGTATATCCGAGGAAATGAGATTAACAAGATAAACACCGCGCTGCGCTGGCCGCGCCGGCGTCGGCGTTCGATCGTGTCTTGGGTCTGATGGTTATCCATCACGAGATGGAAAGGCACATGGAGATTCTTTAATTGGACATCAAATGGTATTTCTTTTTGGGCATCTCGGCTAACACATTACATCCTCGCAAATCCTCTTCCCCCCCTTTACTGGCCAAAGGCCGCCTCGTAGTTGGTCAGGCAATACCTGTAGCGGACCTTGGAGTCCTCAATGCCGTTCATGGCTTCCCTCAGGCCGTCGGCGCTGATGGGGATCTCCTGCACCCAAGTGTTGATGCCCTTGTCGGCAGCCAGCTGCAACATCTCCAGGGTCTCGCGTCTGCTTCCCAAGTGGGAGCTGCCGATGAAGCAGCCGTTGGGCAGGAAGTCCTGGTTGCGGACGGTGATACCGCCGCCGCCGGGGAGACCGACAGAGACCCACTTGCCGTGGACGTCGAGCAGGCTGAGGTAGGCAGAGAGGTCGAAGCCCTCGAAGGAGTTGGCGGTGTTGAGAATGAGGTCGAAAGTCATCTTGTGGGGCTCGTTCCAGCCCTTCTCGCCGGAGGCGAGGTAGCCGTCAGCGCCCATCTTGAGCGAGTCGGCCTCCTTGGAGCGCGAGCGGGAGATGGCCCAGACCTCGGCGCCGAGGGCCTTGGCGAACATGATACCGAAGTGGCCGATACCACCGATACCGACGATACCAACCTTCTTGCCGGGGCCGCAGCCGTTACGCTTGAGAGGGCTGTAGGCGGTCAGACCAGCGCAGAGCATGGGCGCAGCGATGGTGCTGGGGAGAGCATCGGGGATGGGGAAGACCCTGTTGTACATTAGCATCAGGCTGTTGCGACGTGACGTTTTTCGGCTATATGCCTTACCAGTGCTCGTGTGTGCGGACGTGAGAGGAGTAGCCACCCTGGGAGATGGCGCCAGAGTCGGGGAAGGTCGAGCCGTAGGTGTCAAGCTGGTGCTTGCAGTATGTCTCGTTGTCGTTCTTGCACTGGCGGCAGTCCAGGCAAGAGTAGGCCTGAGCACCGACACCGACGCGGGAGCCCTCCTTGATCTTGGTGACCTTGGGGCCGACTCTCAAAGCCTTGCCGACGATTTCTAGACAATGTCTTAGTCAATGGAAGATGAGGGGCTCAAAAATAAGCGCAGGCTTACCGTGACCGACGGCCAGAGGGTAGGGCTGGGCACCCCAGTCACCCTTGATGGTGTGAACGTCACTGGCGCAGACACCGCAGCACTCAATCTTGATGTCGACATCGTAGTCGCCAAAGGGCTTGGGGTCGAACTCCTGCTTCTTGAAGTCCTGCCAGGTCTCGGCGCTGTTGACCTGGAAGCCGGTGAACTTCTCGGGGATGTTGGCCATGTTGTCTGATATAGTTGAATGTCTTGAAGTGTGTGTATAAAAGGTTGATTAAGCTCGTTCTGCAGGAAATACCCGTGAGCTATGTGAAGAAACGGCAGAAGGTCAGGACGAGGAGGAAGAGAGAAGGAGGAAGACCAGAGACGGCTCAAGACGGTTATGAGGGAACCGCGGCGGATGAAATACTCTGGCCATGGTAGAGCTGTCCCGAGAAATTCCCCCCACCTGCCAACCTCATTCGCGGCGCGTGGAGCAAAGAACATTGACCCCTGGGTGAGGGGCAACGCCAGCTGCGACAGACAAGGAGGGGCTATAGTCGTGCCGCAAAGCCATCCCATGCGAGATGGATGGATGGAGTGAGGGGAATGGTGGCGGGACCCTGGCCAGACAAGGCTAGGCGCTTGTTGGGCGAGGGACTCGGGAGAATTTACCCTCGAAGAAAAAAAAAAATCAAATCGTCAGCGATGCGCCTCTGGTTCGACTTGTTTTCGAGGTTGCCAACTCAATGGCTTCATCCGTAGGCCCGCCAATGCATCGTAAGACAAGCAAGGGTAAATGCTCCTCGGGATCTTGTCAAAGATAGACGCCTGTGCCGTAAATATCCATCTTCTTGGAAATCCAATGTCGGCCCTCGTTGTTCTTCGTCTTCCTTTTCTCGATCCCCTCCTATCGTGCTCCCCCTCCATCCCATCCAGCATGTCGGCTTGCCCCGCGATGAAACCCCACCATTGCCCGCCAATTGCACCGCACAATCCACCTTACTAAATGTGGCTCCTCCGGGGCTTGGGAAGGGAAATTTGTCCGGGGGATTTTCCGAGACCGGATGCCGAAATTCCCACCATACAGAGCGTCTCAATCCGGCCCAGTCGTTGATGGGCTCGATGGAAAATCCACGATTGCAGATAACATCCGTCTTAGTTTAGAGTCGAGGGATAAACCTCGCAGCACTGGTGCCTCTTTTTCGCTGTATCTCGGCAAATGTCTCCGAGCCGTCATGTGTCATGCGAATGACCCCAGCCAACCATCCAAGTTGGTGTGCAGCTTATATTCGTGACCTTCGATGGTTGGAAACCTGTTGATATGTAAATGCTGCGCCGCCCGACCGGGCTCCATGATGCCAGCATGTCGGTATTTGCTCGGGATTGTTCGTTCCTGCTTTGATTGCCTTTCTTACGGACTATTCCACTAATTCGGGACGCCTGCGTGGTCTCCATCTTCCTGACCTTATCCCAAGTGAGTTGCGGAGTTTTTTTCTTTTTTCATCTTCGGTACCGGCGTTATGCTGACCGAACATCGGCGGGCTCGGGCTCGGCACAATGTTCGGGCGGTCTTCTACCGCAGCGAGAGAACGACCCCCGGTCAAGCAGACAATTCATCTGAGCGGCTCCGCCGTGGTCTTTCTACTGGTGCTTCTTGGCCCGGTCACGTCGACCGTTCATTCCGACGCCAGCCAGGAATGCGATGCGCATTGAGGCGCCGACGTAGACGAACGGCACGTTGCCCCAGTCGATGGCGTTCCACTGGGTAAAGTTGTAGTAAACCTCGATACCCAAGCTTCTGACGGTGTACAGGTGGCCAAAGTCGGCGATCAGTAGCACAAACAGTACGGTCTTCCAGACCTGAAGGTCAGGCGTCGAGCGGAGAACGAGTGCTTCGTTGAGGGCGAAGAAGAGGTAGAGATTTGCCAGCTGAGACAGGACTATTCCGGTGCCCTGGGGAATCACCTCAGGCTTCGAGACGGCATGAGTGAGCAAGAGGTACTCATCCTGACGAAAGTGAGCGTAAAAGGCCCCGACAAGAGCGGATATGGGCTCGATTGCCAGGAAGAAAAGGCGGTATATCAAAGGGACCGAGAAGCCGGTTGTGGTTATCCGGGCTGGTTTGGCAGACATGGTGACAGCGTCAAGCTAATTGAAGTTGCTAGATGTCCACGAGGAGAAGCGATGCACTTGAAAAGGACAATAGAAAGGGGAAACGAGGGGAATTGAGGGGTGTTTAAGCTACGGCTTCGTCTCATCATGGGGATTTCTCGCGTGACAGACACCCTGATGGGCCTCATGGGGAACATGGAAAAACTGAAGCTCCGGGATTGACGGGGCGATTGCGCCGCCGGTGCCGAAGAGAAGTGGTCCGTGCCTTCCATCCAGAACAAGCACCGAAGGGGAAGAAGGAATTCCATCCAATCTGGACATGATTGACTCTGAATTCTGAATGCTGATTATGATTCCGATTGTCCATCTGCAACCCGCAAGTCTAGGTACATACCCGTTGGGTTAACTGGCATGACGTCTCACGCACGACCACGTTTAACGTGTCGTTGTGTCTGCACCGGTGGCTCAAAGACTCCACATTCCATCAAAATCCAGTCCGTGACTAGTTACTCGGCCATTTTAATTAGAGGCTGTAAACTAGCACATGGGTTAATCTGGGGAAGCGAGAACAAATACTACCTGTGAAGCATCCACTGGCGTCGGGCGTTTTGGCTAACGGGGGGTCTGTTCGCGAAGATCTCCGAGTGTGTTTCGTGGCAGGGATGCCGAAAAGGAAGGCCTCTCTGATATGGATACGAATAGAGATGGCTTCGCTTCGGTATCAGCATCTCCAAAAGAAACAAATACAACGCTGTTTAAGCACAGAGTATCCAGCGCCGTGGTATGACTGAGACCACGACCGTTATGTCACTGATGGTTTGCATGTGCGGCTGACAGTCAGCCAATTGATGAGGCGATGTAATGAAAAGGTGTGGGAAGCCCGCTCCCTCCATCAGCTGGAGGTGTGGTAGCTAATCTCCACGTGTATAACGCCATTAACAGGCCTGGACCCTGGCAGCTGATGGGAGACAAAAAGGGCAACCATCTTGAACTTCCCACTGTCCCAACGACGCGTCGTGGAATGGTTTAAGAGATGACCAGATTCGGTATTTTACTTGAAGATGTTGTACGAACACCTGGGCTGAGAGTGAGAGAGCGAACAAAATGATAAGATTCCGGTATTCGAGTCAAGGGGTAGACACCAGTAAATAACGTCAATCGCGAAGGGCCAAAATACGTTGTGATAAGTACATAGTGTGATTGATAATATTAGATTATCCGTAAGATAGATTGGATAAATTGGCATTGCATGTCATCTTGTCTTTTTCTCATTTAGATGGATGACGGGTTGGAATCCATCAAATGTGAAAAAAGGGTTTTCAGAATGCGTGAACAGGGGATACAGTGCGCAGAGTACTCCGTGGGGTAGGGGTATCCGCTCAATAATCCTTCGGATACTACCTTGAATGTCACCGTCCGAGGGAAAACAAAAACCTACCTTAGCAGAGGCAAACTTGCTCCTGTCGATCAGGTGTGATGAGAGAAATTGGATTATTAGAGGTTGGGGTAGATTGTGCTGGAGAGTACTTCATTTTCGCCAGTCTGAAGTGACAGAGCCTAGGTAGTGTACCAAATGGCTATCTCAAGCCTCGGATAAGGTACCTGGAGACGCTGCCGTATTAAGTCTCCATTAACTTGTAGTAGTAGACTGCCATAATATCTATACTGTAATGGTCGGAATTAGCAGAACAGCTCAGCAGCAATGACAATCAACAGAAAGTTCAATACAAAATCTACACATAGATCGCCATCACCACGGCCACTACTCAAGGTGTCATGATACTTTCCTTCTGCGACATCATGTTGCGACTGTGGTTGGTGTATCTCTGCTGTTACCTCTGATCGTCCATTCCCACGTCTATGTTTCTGCTGGCCGTTGACCAGGCTTCCAGTGCCTAAACCATATTTCAGATCCAGATCGTCCATTGCCTGGGATACAATCCAGTAGTACAAGAAGGCCGACCCACCCACTATTCACTCTGCAACAAGCCGGACTTGGTGCACGTTCAACAAGATGGCCATTGCCCATCGGCCAGTCCGTCTTTGTTCTTGCCCCAGAGTCTGGCTCGCTGCCGTTTCCACTTTCTAGAACCAGGTATTCTTGAATCAAGACCCATTACTTGGTTACTCTTTTTTTTCCTTTCTTTTTTTGTTAATTTTTATTATCCAAAACTTTCTCTCCTCTTATCCACAGTCCTTTTGCAGCTCCTTTCCTTGCCTCCACCATTTGAAGAGAGAGATCATCCTTCTTCCCCGACAACGGAGCCAAGCCATCCTAGAAATACACCACCCCAGTGTGACTGTGTACATCAGATTTACATCAACCTTACGGAACCTGGCCTCTCTGCATACTAGCAAAACAAGAGATCAACATCAACAAGAAAAGAAAAAAAATCATACAAGGCTCACCTGCCCCAGCGCCGCCTTACGCCTTTCGCCTAACGCGATTACGCTTTGCCCATCCAGGCTGCCGCCCACTGCTTTTTTTCTTTCCTTTGTTGTTGACTCGCGTATTACAGAGTCCTAAGGTCAGTACACTTGGTGGCACACTATTGTATGTCGACCGCTATACTATTGCTGTTCGGAAAGTACGGGACTTCTCTGGACACACACCGTCTTTATCGCTATCGACATTATACTGCCATCACACTGGATACTACTCAATCGCTTTAATACTGCCCACCGCTCTTTTTTTCCCTTCCTCCTGCAGCCAAAATCCGAAATCCACCCCCTCTCCCCAATCTGGCCATAGCCAAAATACAAGACCAGCCGATCCCTCCTCTTCGCAGAACGGACCCTGAAAATTCTGAGAGCACCAGTCAGGGGGCAGAACACCCTCTAAACCTGAAAAGACCCTCTCCAACAAACAACCCCAGCTCCCCAGGAACGGCCTACTTCCGTACACTACCGTGACTACACAGTACTTCCCACACCCTCCGCCTACACTGCTACTGCACCTCATCTCTCATCTCCCGTCTCGTTCCTCACCCCCAAAACCCGATTCTGTTACCCGTCTGTCTTGTTACTGGCTCCTACTGCATCTTACAGGGTCCCCTGCCAGCCCGCCACCCTGCTACCCACTCTCAACTCATCCGCCCTGCAGCGCCCCGACCATTTGGAGGGAAGCCCGAGACAATCCCTTTCCGGTCTGCGAGTTTCGGGCGCGCCAGCCAGAGAGTCAGGTCTGGAAAAGGGAAAATAGGGAACAAAGGGAGACGGGGAGAGTAGAGACAAAGACTCCCAGGTAAGGAGAAAAGAGGCTTCCCTTGCCCTACGCCTCCCTACAAATGATTCAAGCCTCCCACTGACCATGTGACGATCCCAGGTGTTCGTGCTATCCTTTCCGCTCGTCCCCACCGTCTTTGGTCTTGTTTAGATCTTTTCCTCTCCCTCTTCAACGGCTCCCTTGTTGTTGTTGTTGAGTCGAGCCCAAGGTCGCCGTCCCAAATCGAACTCGAAATCGGTCTCCTTTCCTTTAGACCGCTGTTCATTTGTATTCATATCATCGACACTCCCTTCGTAAACATGGCGCGACGCATCTACAACGTTTCCGACTGGGCCCCGACCCACGAGGCCATCTACGACGAGCCTTCGTCCAGTTCCGCAATCCTCGAAGACGATGTTTCCGAAGGACCACGACAGCAGCAGCAACAACACCACCACCAGCACATGAGATCCTCCTTCCAGCAACAACGCCTTCGCAGCATGAGCCTATCCCTACCTTGGCGGCGCAAGTCTTTTGTGATCAACACCGACACCGACCTGGCAAACCTTATGGAAGAACTGTCGCTCGAGCGATCGCGAAGCCACACTGGACCCGGCGACGACCAGCTTCAGGGCCAGGGTACACACGCGGCAGGCCACAGCAATGGCAGCATCAAGGGCATGTTCCGTCGCGCTTCTGTCTCGCTGAAGGGCAAGCTCGTTCACCACAAAAGACACTCGTTCGGCGCTGCCCATCATACCCAGCAAATCGAAGAATCGGGCAACCACCAACATGCTCTTCGCCCGGGCACCTCGCCCTCGCACAACCCCTGGCACCGCCTTCGCCAAGCCACGAGCTTCCGTCACTCCAAGTCCTCTCACGGCCACGATATCGACGGCGAGGCCTCCTCCGAGCAATACTTCTCTTCCATGCTCCCTGGAAGTGGAGACGAGCCTCCCGTTATCCCGTACCATACCGGCGCCGCGGCCAAAGCAGCTGCTGCCGCTCAGAACAAGTGGCTTCGTGCATCCCAAGACGATTTTACGGATCGCGAGAGCGGCATCGGCATTACAGTGACTGGTGTCGATTCCGACACGGAGCTGGACGCAGAGGATGCGAACATCAGCAGACTTGACTTCGTCTCCCAGCTCCCTGTTGAGCTTGCCATCCAAGTCCTTGCGCATCTGGACGCTGTTGCCCTTGGCGCCGCTAGCCAAGTGAACCGTTACTGGCAGCGGATGATCAAAAACCAGCACGTCTGGCGCGAGTCCTTCTTGCGGGAAAAGACCGGTACTTATGCGACCAGTCTCCCCGTCCAGCCAGGAACTGGCCAGGGCGTACCCGTTATCACACCCAGCGTCGACTGGAAACAGGTATACAAGGTCAAGGAGGAGCTTGACATGCGATGGAAGGAAGGCAAAGCAAGACCAGTCTATCTCAATGGACACTTGGACAGTATTTACTGCCTGCAGTTTGATGAGTGAGTCATTCGTCCTGTTTTCCTTTTTGGTAACATTTGATTAACAGCAGAACAGATCAAAGATCATTACTGGTTCCCGCGACAAGACGATTCGGATTTGGGACATGAGGACTTTTGAGTGCCGTCTTGTCATTGGACCTCCCGAGGTTGTCAACGACATCTCCCTTCTTATTGATGAGGATGGCCTGCCGGTCCACTACGCAACCCTCCCCGATAACCCGCGCGCCAACCCCTCGACGCCTGCTCTTGTTTCCTTCCCGACTCACCACAAGGCTTCCATTCTCTGCCTTCAATATGACGATCGCATTCTTGTGACGGGCTCATCTGATTCCTCTTGCATCGTGTACAATGTTCGTTCGGGTTACCGGCCCATCCGTCGTCTCTGTCACCACACCGCTGCCGTGCTCGACCTTGCCTTCGACGATAAGCACATCATTACCTGCAGCAAAGACATAAGCATCTGCGTCTGGGATCGCGCCACAGGCCAGCTCCTTCGTCAACTCCGCGGACACTCTGGTCCTGTCAACGCCGTTCAGATGCGCGGAAACACCATTGTGTCGTGCTCCGGCGACTTCCGCGTCAAGCTCTGGAACATTGACACTGGCAAGAACATTCGCGAGTTCCAGGGCCACACCAAGGGCCTTGCGTGCTCGCAGTTCTCCGAGGACGGCCGTTACGTCGCCTCAGCCGGCAATGATAAGGTCATTCGCATCTGGGACGCCAACACGGGCGAGTGCCTCCGTGAGATGAAGGCCCACGATAACCTCGTTCGCAGCTTGCACATTGACTCAGTCAGCGGCCGTCTTGTTAGCGGCAGCTACGACACGGATATCAAGGTCTTCGATATGGAGACCGGCCGGCAACTGCTGGACTTCCCGCGATGGCACGCGAGCTGGGTGCTGAGCGCAAAGAGCGACTACCGACGCATCGTCAGCACTGGTCAGGACCCCAAGATCCTGATCATGGACTTTGGCGCCGACATCCCGGGCATTGACAGCCTGGAGAGTGGCGGCGCCTGTATGATCGAGGGCGGATACATCTAGACTTTTTTTTCTTCTTCACTAAGCAAAAAGAAAGAAAAGAAAGAAAAAGACTCGGCAACGAACACCTATGTAATACACTAATACGGAGAGCGGCACGGCTGGACCGCCCTCGATTACGACGTTTATTTCATCACGATTCAAATACTATAAGGAGCAGTAGACAATATACATAAAAGAAAGAAGGGGATCTGGAAACAACGACCCCTGGGGTGGCGGCGTCTTGGGGAAGAAAAGCATTCTTCCGTTTGCATTTGGGTTGCGGGTTGGTTTTTCTGTAGTCCTGGAGGAGTTTTATTGTTTTTTGGTCAATGTTTATATTGGACTGGTCCCATCTTTGCATGGCACCCTGTGCTTTGTTGCATAGACGGCTCAGATAGAAGCATTACACATTATGTTTTTTCCCTCACTCGTTGCCGAAGCATGTGTTGTCGACTGCCACGGTGATTATACTGAATTGGGCCCGTTATAGCTATGCTATAGCTCGTATTGGCAACTCTAGAAAGTGTTGAGAACGAGCAGAGCGAGGATAACCTCGCATTTCAAAAACAGTTGGATATGCTACGCTTCGCGGTGATTGGTGATGAGACTTTCTCTCCCTTCGTGTTTTGCCCTTTTTTCCGGACTGATCCTACAGATAAACGAGTTTGAAAAAAAAGATGGGATGAATCGTTTCGTTTCGACGAGACTTTGGTCTACGTCGTACGTGAAGCGGCCAGACTAATACTACTACAATTCTGCACTGGCAATCCGTTTCGAGAATATACGTTTACCTTTCGTCTCGGCTTGATGGCCCCCCCTCACAGAACGGGCGAGTCTGTGCGAGGATGGATTGACACGGCCGTGACTGCGCGCGTGTGTTCATGGCATGGAATGGTAAAACCCCGCCGGAGAAAGATTCACTGTCCGACGTGTGGTTTTAGGGTTTACGGACAAGAGCAGCTTTCGTCGCATTGCGTATTTTTCTTCTAACTTTTGCAATCTGCAGACGCTATGAGTGATGCGCTTCTGAAGTCAATTTCTGAGTTTATAATTATTCGGCTGAGGCATGGTAGAATGTACAACTGCATTTTTAAAAGGGATTGATGTACAAGGTGCATTCTCGAATACCTAGAACCGAGACAGGCTGACGATGGACTGGACTGATCTTTGTTCGTCTGGAACCCGATGCCCGATGTAGCTGAAAAAAAAAAAAAAAAAAAAAAAAGGACATTAATCAATTCATCTCGTCTCTCGTCGACGCGCCCCGAGAGCCAATGCGAACCCGCGGCGTTGGAAATTGCGATCAGCTAAAAGACATACCTGACGCGACGAGCCTTGAGATGGAATGCGATGATGTCTGTTGGCGTCATTGTCTTCGGTGATCCATCGTCTACTACCAGTTAATCGCATTCCAGACGTTGCGATCGGCCCTTGTTAACGCACTACGTCAGGTTGCCCGTTCCATTACATGACTTTCTGGACTGACGGTCTTTCCAACGGTTGTGATTCAGATTTCACGACGCCTAGGACTGTTGCGTTCTTGTCAGATGCCCCGAATGTAGCTAGAAATGCCGTGTGGCGTAGTAGACGGGAGAGCCATATGGGTTCTGTCGGTAGCTTTTGCCTTTACCAGACGACTTACCTGACGGACAGCTTCCTCGTCCGTCATCTTTGAGGGATTTGCTGGGAGTGATGCTGGTGTATTCCTTGTTGAATACACCCCAGGACTACTACAATCTATAGTCTTTACAGCCAGCTTGTCCGTAATGAGCCTCCAGATCACTCGTGCTATCCAGCTTGAACTCAATTGACAAAAAAAGCAACCATGCCGCCAAGATTTCTTACATGGTTACGAAGAACCTCCGGCTTGCCGCAAGTTGAGACGATGCCGCTGTGTGGTCCGTCTTTCATTCGCCTTACGGAAGGCGAAAGTCGCACATGGGATGCTAGGACGTTGGACTTCAGCTGGATTGACTGTACTTTGTCTGAGTCAGTCGACATGCTCTCTGCCTCTACGAGGTCCGATGTAAGAGTTACTGAGCTGAGTGAGCCCCTGAGACGGGGAACGGAAGACATAAACACGAGGTTTCTGTCGCACCGCCCAAAATAGCCGTGCTACGAGAATAGATGCACCCAGCGAGCAGGGTCGAGTAAGATCTTGATGATGTTGGTCACTTTTGCACCACAGGAAGCCGCGGTGACGATGCCGGATGCGACGCTACTCTACTGGATTGGCCTTGAACATTCGTCCTTCCCTCGTAATACGGCTTCTTACAAAAGCTGCGCTCGTCACAGCGGGGCTTAGGAGTGCCGGTTATCATGACAATGGATCTCGCGTCCTCCCCATGGGGATTGAGCCCCGCGTACAACACGACACACATACCATCTCAAGAGTCTCTGGGGCAAAATGCCAGCGACAGAGAAACCCCAGAGCCCCGTTGAGAACGGGTTGGCTCGTGCTTGGGTTGGTGGGAAGTAAGCGTCTGGGGATGATCTGCGCTACCGCTCGAACCCGCTGTGGACGATCTACGAGGTAAAATTGAGGAGAACAGTAAAAAAAAAAAAAAAAAAAAAAAAAAGGGCAGCGAACCACGCGGACTGGCCTGGGGCGAGACACACGGCAATGGGTAGATTAAAACGGGTGGCTCAACAGGTCTCGCGACTCCCAACGATCGTCTTACTAGCACCAGCACCACGAGCCCCAGAAGGTGTTCGCCTCGGCGCAGGTGGACAGGGAACATGGCTGCCACCTGACTTTTTGCAAGACGAACAGTTTCTGGTTTGAGCCCAGAAGGGGCAGGTCCTCTTCAGATCAGACTTCTGGGCTCTTCCATGGGAGGGCGTTGTTTTTTTTATTTCATCCGTATTCTTTCCTGTTTTTCTTTCCTATTTTCCCGAGCTGTTTACCCCATCTGAGGTCGTTGAGGTTCTTACTAAGAAGGTTTCCTTGGCCCTATGCAGTAGATCGGGGTCTAGTTCGCGCATGAACGTTAATCTCTGGCAGAAAGAGAAGATGGACCGGGGTTGAGCTGGCTGCTTGCCGGACAGCGGCACATGGTAGTAGTCCCATTACTGCGTTAGTGACATGCGACCAGAAGTACTATATACACGTAAAGGGGAGGCGTGGACAAGTGGGATTTTTGTGGCCAGTATTAATCCTCTCGGTTACGATGAGTACTATAGTAGAAGAAGCTCGCATCGCCTGGGCGTAAGCAGCCTGGCGCCGGGCTTGTCGGGTCTAGCAACGGGATCATCGATGCACAGATAGAGTGCACGGGGAGAAGGGGATGGGCTGATGGGCGGGCGGACTGCCGTGTGGCGGAAGAAAAAAAAAAGGGGGGGAGAAGACAGGTAGTTTGACTCAGTAGTTTATAGCTGAGGTACACACAATCACGAAGAAGGTAGAAAAAAAGCGTTTGGGGATGACGGAGCAGGGATGAGTTGAGCAGAAGGAAAATTCAATTTCGAGAACAAGACGTTTCGAAACGGCAGCACTGGCGAAAGACGAGACTTTGTGATGCTCGGTTTGTTTTGGGCATATGCAGACTCTGCGATGCGATATGTCTCTGCAAAGTGTAAATGGGAATTTGAATCTGCATATGCTGCTGCATGGTGGCCTTGTGCAGATCTTGCACGATAGGTTCAAAGTCTCTCTCTCTCTCTCTCTCTCTCTACCAGGAAGACACCTCGAGCGTGTGTAGACGATGGGTGGATATATGCGCTGTCAAAGTTTCAGGGTTTAGCTCTGGAGGGGGAGCTGTCATGTAGGACAGAGGCTTCACTCAGCTTTGCCTATTGGTACATGAGCAGCTGATATCAGTCAGGCCGCGTCGACAAACCTCGTTTTCGAAATCGTAATGACATGCATGCTCTCCCAGGCCTGTCCTGGGGTTTATCTAAAAGACATGACTCTGCGTAAGGGGCGCTGCGAACTGTTGGCATCGCCACAGATGGACCCGAGGGTCTTGCAAGTGTCTACAGTTGCTGGAGGGGATATCCTGTTCCCCAACCATGTCCGTCAAGCCGGGGCAATATCGAACAACACCCCAATCAGTCAATCAGTCCATCAGGCTTTCCCACTGTACTATGTATGTAGTAGGGCAGATCTCCCGACTCGACGACGTCGTGCGTTTCCCCACAGTGGCACTAGAAACCCCTTGACTCGACTTTAAACACAACGTCGGAGCACCTGCTCTTTCGGTGCCTGTATTTCATAATAGCGAAATTTGAAGATGTGAGGTGTCTTGCTTCGCTGCAACCATGTGACATGGCTTGGCTCTGGAGAAGGGCCGACCAAGGTTTGGGGTCAGGGGTTGCATTGCAGTAGTCTCGACATCAGAGGACGCAGTAGACGTTGTTAGTTGCGATGGTTCTCAAATGAAATTCCAAGCCGATGACACTGCTATCACGAGCCCCAGACGGAGGTTGCAATGTGCATCATCAGGGTTGTGAGGTTCAGTCTTGGAGGGCCCCGACGGTAGCCCGAGCTCACACAACCGTATACACGTCCCAGCGTAGACACAGAGACGCCACTACGTAGTGAAAGACGTGTGGAGGAGCCCCTGTCGGCTGTCAAAGACGATGACCATGCTGCTGTGGCGTAGCTTCGGCTGCCAGGTTTTACGTCTATACAACCCCGTGCAATATGGTTCAGCATCGTGGCAAATATTATCACGGCGGCTGTACAGATTGCTTCAGTACAAACCTGTAGCGATTCAATAAAGCTCGGCAAGACCCAAATAGAGAGCCTGGCTACCAAACGACTGTGACCGGTAAATGACCCCATGTTACATCAGATAGGACATTAAGGGACGCCGCGAGGACATAGTATGTTTTCAAGCGCCTCCACCACCACCACTAGGAATGACTCTCATCCAACCGCTACATCCGAATAACGGTTGCCGCTGCGGGATCGGGTCGTAACCGCGCCCAACTTTTGGCCAAAAGGCGAATCAATCTATATCATCGTCTTCTGGGCGTCTGTCGCTGGTGGGTAGGCATACAAGCTTGAAACAGCGCTATGCCCAATCATGGATTTACCCCGTCCCCCCCCCATGTCTAGACTTTTTGTGTGTGTTCTATTGTAGGAGGCGTGTTGCTCCGACTGGCAGAGATTGAATCCCTGCTGCTCACCCGTGGAGGGGCGGGCTTCGTGGGGAGCGGCTTAAGCTGCGACGCAACGGCGGCGGCGGCGCAGCGATGCATTCTTTTTGCAGTGCAGTGCAGTTGTTCTCTCTCTTAGACTCTCATAATTCCCCTTTGTGCACGAACCGAGATGCCCAGAAACCTGCTAACTAGGCGTAGAAGCCACGCTCTGTACATCCTAATCTTTCGTGTTTCTACTAGTACACCTTGCTTCTTCGTCTTGCTTGACGTTGCCTGTAAACCATCCCCTTGATCAGTGCAAAATCTACTTGATTCGGAGAAGGCGACGCAATGTCCTAGCCACAGCAAAGAACTCCTGGATGAGTTGTTGACGGACGGTGTGATCCTCCACTTAACTCACTATGCTATGTAGGAGTTTTATGCCTCGTAGGGTTTTCCAGGTCCATTTATTTTTCTTCTTTTGATTCTTTTTCTCCTTGCCCATTCTCGCTCACTCCGTCAGGGGAAGGATGGCCGGTTATCGACGAAGATCATTTCATGCGGAAACTGAGCTGCTACAGGGATCATGAATTCGAGGGGCCGGTTCCTTGGTAAACCAAACCTTGGGACGTTTACACTCATGCCACGATCCCTTCTCATCAATTCAATCAACCTCTCACCACCAGCACAGCACCAACCAGTGGGTATATTTTATCCATAAAAGCAGGGGGTGCGAGAGAACAGAGGGGAGCGAACCAACGCCGACCGCCACTAGGGGCGGCTGTCGCATCGCATTGACCAAGCCCCTGAGCATTGGACAAGGCAGATCCTTACGCGGTCGCCGCTTTCGTCCAAACTACTTGCGCGTGCTTCTATCCTTCATCGCCATCCAGCCAGCAAAAGCTACTTGCGTTAGTAGCTAGCTGCAGAGTCGTGAGCAAAGCAACGCAACGCAACGCAACGTCCATCCATCACACACACACACACCCACCCCTCCCTTCCATTGCGGACCTTGCTTAGCTCTGTTTGAAGCATTATCGCCTCCCATCCAATAGCGCCCTTTTTGGATCCTTGTTTCATCGCATCTTTCTTGTCATCTCGGCCCTCCCCAGGATAGCCTCTTCAACGCGGTTACTCGGCTGGGCGTAAAGGGTGTACTAGTGAGGAAGACTACGTCGGAGGGGTTGACTAAGTTTGTCGAGCTCGGGCGGGCCACGGACGTCCAATATCACTCTTTCCCCCCTTCCAGAGTGCCAGAACCGCCGAGATCCAGTCGTCGAGAAAGCTGCTGCTGCTGCTGCTGCTGCCGCTGCTGCTGTGAGTGGGGATCAAGGGCCCTTGTCGCCCCAAACTGAAGGAGACGTCCGACTGTGCCAGTGCCGCCACCATGGCGATAAATCTCATGGCGAGGCAGGGGACTGCCCAAAGGGTAGGTTCAATATAAGACGGTGATGGTCGCTGTCAACCTCTTCTTGGCTTGTTGTTTCCCCCCCTTCCTTTCCCTTCCCTCGTGTCTCGACTGCACACATCATCCTGTCGACGTTCTCTCGTTTCTTTCTTTCTTTTTTCCTGTTCCATCTGTCAGAGAAGAGGGGGAATATTTCTCTTCCACCCTCCTGCTGTTCAGTTTGATTCCCAAGTCATTCTTTAACCAAAATCCCAACCTGAGCCTTGATCGGCCGTCATCCGCTGTTGTCACTCTGAAAGTCTGGTTAGTAAGTGTTATATGCACCATCCTAAGTCCCGGTCTCGTGGCTCTTTTCTCCTACCCACCCTCACTTTTTGCTTCGGCCCATTGTCTCGGCTCTTCATATATCCTGCTCGGGATGGTGGAATGTCTATTCTTCAAGCTTAAGCATCGTGGCAAATGACTTGTCATCTGAGTCGCCGCCAGGTCAAAGAGGTCGGGATTAGACAACCACCTTGGTTGTTTAGTCTTGACAAGACAATGGGACATGATCCAGACTTGTGACATGCAACGATCTTTCAGTCACAAACAACAAGGCGGTTTGTGGAGCGGGCCGGTGCGAGTCGACCGGCAGTTAGTCACTGTCATTCACAAGCTCGGCCTACTTAAGATCGTGGCTGCTGGATTGTGGATGAGTCGGGCATGAGAAGCATTTTTCACTCCCATCCAGCAGTTTGCGCCCACGACGAAGCAAAAATAAAGGCAAGGAGGAAATAAGCTCAGACGGTTTTGACCTCCTTCTTTTTTCTTGGGAAGTCTCGAGTTTTCAGCAAAGTTTCTCGAGGTTGCGATCTGTTTTACCTTAAACCACCAAACGTCCTCATTGACAACCGAGCTGACCACCTCAACCTACCTACAGTTTTCAGTCCCTTTTCAATCAACTAAACCCAAGAGATCATCGCCTAGCAGCTGGTTCTACGTCATGATGGGTCTCTCAACAGTTCTCACAACTACCCTCCTGGCCTTGCGCCTCTTCTCTCTCGACGCCCTTGCGGCGCCCGCCCCTGTTCCGGTCCCTGCGCCCTCTCCTGTGGCTTCGGCGGCCCCCGATCCCTCACCGGTCGCCGGTGCTGCTTCTGGCTACTGGGTTTCCTCTATCGAAAGACGCGGCACCTCTGCTTTCGGAGACCCCAACTACAAGATCTTCCGCAACGTCAAGGACTACGGAGCCAAGGGCGATGGCGCGACTGACGACACTGAGGCCATCAACAAGGCCTTCGCTGATGGCAACCGCTGCGGTATGGGATGTGATTCCTCAACCACCACTCCTGCCCTGGTTTACTTCCCTGCCGGTACCTACGTCGTCAGCAAGCCTCTTGTCATGAACTACTACACCCACATGGTTGGTGATGTTACCAACCTGCCAACTATCAAGGCCGCCGCCAGCTTCACCGGTATGGCTGTTATTGATGCGAACCCCTATGACAACCAGGGAAACAACGCCCACACCAACCAGAACAACTTCTGGCGTCTCATCAAGAACTTCGCGATCGACTTGACTGCGATGCCCGTCACAAGCGGTGCTGGTATTCACTGGCAGGTCGCTCAAGCTACGTCTCTCCAGAACATCGTCTTCAACATGCGTACGGACGGCGGCGAAAGCAACGTCCAGCAGGGAATTTTCATCGACAACGGCTCCGGTGGCTTCATGACCGACCTGACCTTCAACGGTGGAAAGTACGGCATGTTCGTGGGAAGCCAGCAATTCACTACCCGCAACTTGACTGTGAGTTTCACTCTCCCTACCTTTCCCTTCCTTATTGCGTGACAAAGTGAACTGACAGTGGGAAAACAGTACAACAACTGCAAGACTGCTGTCTTCATGAACTGGAACTGGCTCTGGACTCTCCACGACATCAAGATCAACAACTGCGGCGTCGGCATCGATATGTCGAACGGTGGCACCACCGCGCAGACTGTTGGCTCCGTCCTCCTTCTTGACAGCACCATCAGCAACACTCCTGTCGGCATCTTGACCGCCTACAGCCCCGCTTCCGTCCAGAACAACGGCAGCTTGATCCTCGACAACGTCGACATGTCGACCAACGTTCCCGCTGCTGTCCAGCTTGTCGACACCAAGGCCACTCTTCTTGCTGGCAACCAAAAGATTGCTTCTTATGTCCAGGGTCGCACCTACACCGGCACCACCGGAAACGGAAAGGCCGTCCAGGGAGCCCAGGACGCCATCCAGAAGCCCGCTGCCCTCCTTGGCTCGAACGGAAAGGTCATCACACGCAGCAAGCCTCAATACGAGACCGTCGCCACGAGCCAGTTCCTCAGCGCCAAGGCCAACGGGTGCAAGGGTGATGGCAAGACGGATGACACCGCCGCCATTCAGGCTCTCTTTAACAAGGCTGGCCCCAACGACATTGTCTACTTTGACCACGGCGCTTACATCATCTCCAACACCATCGAGGTGCCCAAGGACATCAAGATCACCGGCGAGGTCTGGCCCCTGCTGATGGCCAACGGCGAGGCCTTCAAGGACCAAGCCAACCCCAAGGTCATGCTGAGGGTCGGCAAGCCCGGCGACGTCGGCACCTTTGAGATGAGCGACATCATCGTCCAGACCCAGGGTGCTCAGCCCGGCGCCATTCTCATGGAGTACAACATTGCCGGCAGCACCCCCGGCGCCGCCGGCCTCTGGGACGTCCACTTCCGCATCGGCGGCAGCCAGGGCACTCAGCTCCAGTCCGACAAGTGCGCCAAAAACCCCAACGTCACCACTGTGGCCAACCCGGAGTGCATGGGCGCCTACCTCCTCACTCACATCACCGCCGAGTCCTCGGGCTACTTCGAGAACGTCTGGTGGTGGGTCGCCGACCACGAGCTCGACCTCCCCGACAAGAAGGCCCAGATCAACATCTACAACGGCCGCGGCGTCCTCACCGAGTCCACCAAGGGCACCTGGTTCTGGGGCACCGCCTCCGAGCACAACGTCCTGTACAACTACCAGTTCAACAAGGCGTCCAACGTCTACATGGCCCACATCCAGACCGAGACCGCCTACTTTCAGGGCAACCCGGACGCCAAGACGCCCTTCGCCGTCAACAACGCCATCCTCGACCCCAACTTCGAGACCTACTGCGCCGGCCAGAGCGACAAGTGCGCTCGCACCTGGGGCGTCCGCGCCATCGACTCCAAGGACGTCCTCATCTACGGCGCCGGCCTGTACAGCTTCTTCAACAACTACGACCAGGTCTGCGTCGGCCAGAACAACTGCCAGGACCACATGGTCTCCCTCGAGAACAGCGACGTCAAGTTCTTCGGCCTCAGCACAAAGGCCGCCATCAACATGGTCACCGTCAACGGCAAGAGCGCCGCCCTCGACAGCGACAACCGCAACAACTTTTGCGCCACCGTCGCCGTCTTCCAGGCCCCTCTCTAGGTCAGGCGAGGGCGAGCTGCAGCAGATTTACAAGGATTGGGAATTCCTGCCTCTGGCGTCCAGGTATACTGCGCCTATACCCCGCGTCGGTGTTGTTGCACTGTCCCAAGAGTCGGTTCAGAAGGCTCTGAGGACAGATTGAACCTTTTTGTTTTCCTTTTTCACTTCATCTGGCCATCGCCCTAGAGGCGGAGAGCTAGCCTCTTCTTCTTTTTTTTCCGTGTACGTTTTCCTTTTTGGGACAGGCGGCATACTTTTGCATCAGGGTACGGGAGTTTGAGGGGTTGCAGAAAAACACAGGAAGGATTGAGAATACATTCTTGTTTTTCTTTTGGCCCAGGGCCGTTTAGATACCACAAATGAATCATTGTTTTTTGATCAACCTTTGCATCAACTGTCGTTATTGCTATTACAAGTGTGCTTGATACTGAAACTCCCAATATTCCTAAGCATAGGAGGGAATGTAGACTTTGGTTGCCTCCAGCCGCGTATTTGTCTGTTGCTATCCCAGGAACATTTCCTTGTGAGAAATCGGAGACCCTGACGCTAGGACAAACAATGATACGAGGCCAGGCTAGAAAACCAACAGAGATAATTGCACAGATGGACGACAAGTGAGAGGGGGTATTGTTTATATTATTAAGAATCTATTACAAGGATTTAATCCGAACATTCCTTTCTTAAATTCCAGGCAGGCCAACCACCTGGCGTATTGCCGGAACAAACCGGGGAAGAATATAGACAGCGTAAAGCGCCGAAAGAGCCGTTAGAAGGCCAGTAACCTAACAGTGTCAGTAACCGCCGTAAGCTTGGTGATAGTGATGAACGTACCTTCTCAAACCAGGTGTGAAAGTAAATGGCCGTCATTAGCAGCATCCAACCACTCAGCCCAATGACGGCGACGGCAAACTTGCCTCCGAATCCCAGTGCGTCACCAGGAACGGGCTCTCCCTGCAATCCCTGAGCCTCCACAGTGGCCGTCTTTGTTGCGCCGTCCGTCATGACGATACTGCGTTCCTCCCTTCGTGCGCCTCTCCACCGCATGACAACCCAGCCGACCTCAGAGAGCAAGAAGCCGCAGCCGAGGACCAGCAGGAAGACATGACCAGAGATGTCGTGGCCGCCGCGCCAGCGTCCGCCGGCCGCTTTGCACGCAATCGCAGAGAATACCTCCTTAGCGTCTCCCTCGCCAATCTCGACCTTCTCCTCAATCAGCTCGCATTTTCCTCCCGTCCAGCGGAAACCTCGATCGATGATGGCCGGGCCGAAGAACCACTGCGTCACGAAGAACCACCAGGTCGTAACCAGGCCCCAGCGTAGGGTAGCTTGCAGGCGGCGGGTAGCATGGACAGTTGCGGGGTGGGTCAGGATGAAAGCGAAGAAGGCGGCGGTGACCCAGAACCAGCCTCTCTTCACAAAGAGGACGTTGAACAGGTTCGACTTGCGCGCGAAGTAGGAGGGCGCTGTGTCTTGAGAATGGGCCTGGGTCGAGGGGTCGTATTGAGAGGAGCGGACATCGGGAGACAGCAGTGAGAACAGCGTTCCAAAGAAGAGGATGACGGGGAAAGCGGCTAGTATGAGGGTTTCGAGGGGCGTCGGTAGATAAGGGCTGTTCCGCTTCGTCTTCACTGGAGGCTCCGGTGCCATTTTCGTCGCTCCGTTGAGGTCGTCGAGGGCACGTCTAGTTTTGTTCCTCAGGTTCGCAGCTGGTGGTGTTTCCATTGTAGATATTGCTTAGCGATGTGGTGGTACTGTACTGCATACAGGGCAGAATGGCCCGAACCAAAGGGTTGCTGTGTGGTGATTGTGGTTCTTAAATTTGGTAGAGCGAGAAAAGAGCGACTTGGCAGGAGAAATTCAGAATAGACAAGTATGACGTTGCTGCTGCGGGAGAAGCGAAAAAGGCTTTTGGGTACGTACCGGGCCGGTGCAGTTGCTCCTCGGCTGCCCGTTGGTGGGGCAGTGACAGATCAGGTCGGGTGGTGGCTAAATGTCGGGCAGTCGGCTTCTCAGAAACACCGACTGACCAATCAACAAGCATTAATGTCTCGGTGTAATACTCTCACCGAGGCACACCTGTGGCGGCCGGGAAGGACACATGGAAACAGAAGCTCGAAGACGTTGACGGAATACCACACTTCCTGATGATGCCTAAACTGGTCTTCCACGAGAAAGCCCCATAAACCAACACACGAAATACGCGCAACACCTGGCTCATAGGAGACTGACCAAACCCCCTAGTATCATTCGAGGAACTGATGACGCCGTTTCTAATGGAGGGAAAAGGCGGGGCAGTGCCCATAGCTCCCACGCCCAGGTCATCCCAGAGTGACTTAACCCTTTTCTTTTCCTTTCGTAACAGTTGCAACATTACCAGCCACCCAACGGTTGCATTCAGCTGCCATGTCCCCAATTAGAGCCCCTCCGAATCTCCCAGAGCTTGTGAAGGCGGCTTTTAGCAAAGCTCGCGCTAATGGCGACCTCACCTACTATGCGACCCAGGCTACCATACTGACCGCGAACTCGGTTCCTGTAAGATTATACTATTACCTGCCTCTTATTTAAACTGTTGGCTGACAGTTATACATTTATAGTTTCAGCTTCGCTTCTCTCCTGCTTTGGCAAGCAAACCGACTGCTCCGAAACCTAAGGTTGAGGAACCTCGCAAACCTTTCGATCCGTTCGAGAACCCCGAAAATGGTCCGCTCTTCGTTGCCGATATCCCTTCGACAAGACACAACCTCGTTTTGAACAAGTTCGCCGTTGTTCCAGAGCACTTCATCCTCGCTACAAAAGACTTCAAGGCGCAGACGGATCTGCTAGAGCCCGAGGATCTGGCAGCGACTTATGCTTGTATCGAAGCATACGACCAATATGCCAAGAACCATGAAGGAGAGTACAACGAGCTGTATGCATTCTTTAACAGTGGATTGCACTCTGGCGCAAGCCAGCCGCATCGACACATTCAACTGCTGCCCGTCGATCGCATGAAGGATGGGTTGCCAGAAAGCTCAAAATGGGATGTGCTGGCCAAGCAACTTGGTCAACCGAACACCACTATAGTGCCATTCGCTACATTCGGAGAAAGAATTCATCGTGACATGACACCACAGGAATTACATTCCATCTACCTATCACTTTTCCGATCGGCTGTGGATGCCGTTGAGGACTATGCCGGCAAGGCAGATGAAGCTGGCAATGGTGCGGCGCGAATCAGCTACAACTTGGCCATGACGAGCAGCTCATTGGTCGTAATGCCACGCTTGGCCGAAGGCGCTGTCATTTTGGAAAACGGAGTCCCTGCAGGCAAGCTCAGTCTGAACGGTACCGTGCTAGCGGGGACAGCTTTGGTCAAAAACGAAGTCGAATGGAACACTCTCAGGTCGGACGGTGAAAACCAATTGCTTGACATTCTGTCCAAAATCGGGGTGCCTAAGACCGTCGACCACGCCAAGAAACTCTAAGAGTCATGAGGTTGGAGGGGCTAGTAGCATGCAGTCAAGCCAAGAATAAAAGCAGCAAACATACATTTGGCCCAGCGGCAAGATTTTGCCTAACTAAACAGTAGCAAACATGACAGCAACCCCTACTCCACCTTTATCGACAGCTCATATTTTCAACTTTGCTGTCCGGGAACCCTGGAAATGGACTTGAAGAGGCCGATCTCGCCAAGAACCGCTAACTGGCCGTGTTCTCATCTACGTGCCGTCCCGCAGAATGTTGGACGATTTCATCCCACTTCTTCCGACATGTGGCGTTGCCAAACAAGTACGAGCCGTCATGCGAGCGGATGTATTCAGCCACCTGCTTCCAAGGAATTTTCATAGAGGCCGGGTCGTTACCTTTGGAGAACTTGCGGACAGCTCTCCGGAGCAGCTGGATCTGCCAGTCGATTGTTAGAACAGTTTCCAATCATCATGGGTGGCTCAACTTACGTCGTTATCAGTCCATTCAGGCTTCCGAACTCTCTCCTCTTTTGTCTTGGTCAAAGTGCGATAGCGACCACGGAGGGTCGATTCTGCCTCTGTGAAGTTGCCCTTGACGCGGATCTCACGGTAGGTCAAACCTTGCGCCTTGGCTTGAAGAAGGTATTCATCCTTTAAATTGCGGTCTTGATCCGTAATGTCTGCGATGGGGACTTCTTGCTGGCAGGGCTTTGTTTGCTTGGGTCTAAGTTCCTTTTGAGAGCCTGGTGCAGCAGCCTTGTGAGCCGAGGAATTGCATCGTTGTGCCACCTCGTTGGAGTTGACGCGAGGCCTCGGCTTCTCAGGGAGTCCTTTTCTTGGCTTTGGAACCTCCGGATGGTGAACTGGTGGCTCAGCTTTGACATCACCATTGTAGCTCTGCAGAACAGGAATCCTCGTAGTGTTATGGTGGTCTTCCCTGTGGCACGGGGGCTCAGTAAGCTGGGCTGAGGGTGACTGGAAAAAGACAATAGGCGTTGGCTCAGAAAAGGCCAGTGGCGAGGGAGGTGCCTTGATGTTGGGCATATTCTCCATTATCAGAGATGAGGATGCAAAGGGTGAATTGGTGTATTCGAACTGTTGGGAGGGGCTAGTGTCTATGATGCCGTCGACTGAGCTGAAAGAGCCGGCATCCATTGGATTAGGAGCGCCAGTGGAAGAGAAGCTTCCAAAGCTCCCACCTGACTCCGTTGCTGAGAATACCGGAGAGGAGACAAGGACGTTTTGACCAATATAACCAGGGCCGGCTATCGGAGTGCCTTCCATGGACGCAACACCGAACTGGAACTGCATTGGCGCAAACATGGACTGAATGTCGTTTGTGTATAGCATTCCATCTGGATGCCATGGTTGGCCATGGTCCATGACTGGCCGTGTGTCATGCAAAGAAGTGTCGACTTGTTGCAATCTTTGAAAGATCATGTAAGACTCGGGGTCGGAATAGGGACTTCCAGCAGTGCCAGCGAGATATCTGTTCCGGAGCTGCTGAGCCTGATGCCAAACGCTTCGTTAGCAATGAAATCTTCATCACATCTCAGGCTAGGTGGTCAAAGACGGTAGGAGAATAGAGAGAATTGCCAACGCACCTCGAAACTGTCTTGGATACCATCCGGCACATTGGCTAATGACCAATCCTCACTAGCCATGCTGCCTGGACTCTGCGGCGACCTGTGAGCACTCAGGGGGTGTTTGTGACGTGCAATCAGTTTTCTAAAGCGTCGATTGTTGAATTGTTCTTGGGCTCTGGCTGTCATTCTCTGCTCAAAGGCGAAAATGTCCGAGCCATGAAAGCCCAACCGGGGAGGAGCGTTCATAAACATCCTCGGCGAGGGAAAGAGTGATGCCGCAGAACTTCACAGCGAGATGGAAAAAACTTGCACCCTAATCTCACCGCTGATCACAACACGCTCTAAATGCGTTTCGTGTGGCCTCAGCCTGCATGCAGGATGTTGTCGTCCGCTGGAGCGATGAGGAGAAGATGTGAATAGTTGCGGCGGTCAGTAAAGAGTTTTGTCGGGCATGCAAGATGCGCCGTGAGCTCCCGAGCTGGTCTACTGGTTCTGTAGACCGCAAAGCGCCCTTCCCGGTAGAGAAATGGCGGTATGGGGATGGCGAACGGATACCAACGGAAAGGTGGCAAGACGAACAGGTTCCTGAAAAGATCGGTCTGGGGCCGTCAAGGATGGTAAAAGAGATTGGAGGGAATTCTGCTGCTATCCTCGAGACACCAAACTATTCACCACGGACTCTTGTTACAGTCTCACGGTGAGGATGACTCAGTGAAGTGAGGATAGGGGCAATATACATTAAGAGTTATGATGACTAGAATATTCAAAGAATGGGCCACCGATGAGGAGAGGGTTATTGCTGAAAGCATCTAAAGAAAGGAAAATCAAAACCAACGGTTACTTGACCGAGACATCACGGCACTGGCGGGAAAGCTATGTCTTTTTGAACTACAGTCAGGTGGCCAAGTCATGGCCCCTAAATGGGAAGGGAAGTCCAATTAAGGTAGAACGGGACGATGAAACTTCATTCCCCTTCCTGATCTCCTCTCCCGCTTGACAATCCCACTTGATCGGCCTTCAGACATGCAGCTTTGAACCTTTTCAGAAGTATTCGCGTGTCGTCTGCGGCTTCAGGACGGCTGCCTCCTCGGTTCTCATTGCGGGAAGAATGATATGGTGGTTTAATTTACAAGGGTTTGTTGGGCGCTGGCCCTTAATATCTGTCACTTTTCAGCCTCCAAAGTTGGACTGTGCATGCCTATGGCAAGGGTACGAGCCGCGATCAAGGGTGCTAGCCGGTCGTCTCCGGTAATAGGTTATCGGAAGGCACATCATCGTTCCGCGGTGGTCCACCAAGGGATGGACAACTTGGGGGGGGGGGGGTGGCGTGGCTGGGTGTTTGCCGCTGTCAACATGACCTCTCCCGGGGGAGAGGAATTCCAGTTGTGCGTACCACTGTCAAGATTTTAGCATCTTCCGGCTGTGATAGGACAGCAAGAACCCTGGACAGGCGTTTTTCTGTCATCTGGGATGATGCTCGGCGTTGACGTTTGGGCCTTGAATGGTATAGCTACATCCTTGGGTCGGATTGTAATACAGCCTGATTCTCTTCCTATGGTCTTTCGGTCAAGTTCTCTTTTTTTGTGGCTGTCTGTTGAGATTTCGTATACTCTGTGCGTAGAACTAGAGCCTACTCACAACTTGCATAACCTGCTCCTGCTGGCTTCTTTAGTGTCAACGGGGCTTCAATTGCAAGCCGAGAATTCGATTACAACGGACAGGATTCTAAAGCTCTTTTTGGTATGTCTTCGCCTTTTAGCATTGGGATCTGTAGACTCCGGTGGTGTTCAGCTTCCTACAGCATCCTCGGGTGGTTTGGTGGTGAACCGCATGCAAAGGGGCCAATCCTTGACCAGTAGGACATCTGGCTACATGCAGGACAGTGCTCCAGGCTCTGATCACCTCCGCCTTCCGCGCCAATCTGTCTATGCAGAGCCACGATGCGGAGATAACTGGTTCGTCACGGCAGCGGAGTGGAGATTTGTCTTGTAGGACGGGCCTAGAACCATACATATCGAGAGACTGGATCGTGTATGATATTTGGAAATACCTAATGAGTGATGACGTTGAAAAGTTGAAGTCAACACATAATCCTGAGACTGCCGGATCAGATACATTCTAGTTGTGGTGCCAACAGTGGTGATAACTTAACTACCGTTGGACTAATGAGAAAATACATGTGTGGTAATGAAGAAAGTCGACTGATACAACATGTGCCAGAGAGACAACAACCCAATCCCGATCCTCTGTAATGACTAAATGACGGCAGGTCGTAGGTGCGCCGCCTGGGTGCCATGCCACGGTCGATGCTTTAACTGCTTTTCCATATCCACTCACGTGCATACCAGCAATACGGCACCCCTTGCGTTTTCCGCAGGATCGTCTAGTTGGCTACGTAACACAAACAGGGCTCGATATCTGCTGGTGACAGGAAGGCTGCATGAAGTGTGGGGGCGAGCAACTTCGCCCAGGACGTGCTCCGAGTTCCCGCTGCGCACAACTGTCAACTGGCAAACCGATCATGTGCCAAAGAGGCGAGGAAAACGGGGTCCATGCCAAGTCATTCTAGATGAGATGCGCGTCGGTATGAATATGGCTGCTGCAGTTGAAAGAATCTAGCTAGTTTCAATTCCTGGTTTGTTGGTCCAGCCGGGCCTTGAGACCGGCTGCCGCAACACTTTAATTCTTGGTACCGACAGCTGGAAGGATGAATGATATTAAGACGAAAAGTACTTCTTGTCAATATTGAATAATAGTTTACATAGGGCGGTAGTTTTGGCTATGAGCAACTCTGATCGTTTGGGAAGGTGATTTTGACCAACACACCGGTCTGAACTGCAAGGGTTTCACCGAAGGACTTGCAGATATGCAAGGCCAGCTGGACCCACGCAATTGGAGCTTCTTACACGTACTATGAGCAGGTAGTAAGAAGAAAAAGCAAGCCAGAAGGTCCCCACTAGAAGAGACGGAGTTTGTTTCCGTGGCTAGAATGGAGAAGGTTGGGTCAGTCAAGTTCCAAGTGAGCAGATGATCTGCTCACATCCCCTATCCACTTACAGTCCACTGACAGTTCATGCATATTTTGATCCCATTTCCAATGCAAGTTCCCTCACTCATGCATTCTAGGATCGACCTCCCGGGGCCTTGTCCAATGAGCTGGCGTGCGTCGGTCACAGACGGGCACCATCGTAATATCCACGCAAGCTTGACAGGTCATAATTCCACTACATATACCGAAGTGAAAGTGACCGCGGTCATTTGCATCGGGGTAAGGATCAGGTAACTTGAAATATCTGAGCTGTTGAGTCGATATGTGAGAAGTCGATTCAGATCCGGCACAGCAGCCGTCTATCCCTTGCCGTAGATGGCTTGATTGAATCGCGTAGACGGCTTCACCCCAGCTTTTTTTGCCTGCCCCGATCCAGAAATTTTGGATCGAGATTAGATCTTTCAAATCTGCTGAAATGATACCATGAAACTCCGATTGGTTTACTTAGACTAATGGAAATACTTGCTACCCAGATAGCATAGAAAGGGGTTCACCCTGGAGTCTGTGCGAATGCAGAATGGCTTGCATCCGTCCCGTACCGGCGGAACTGCATTAGCCTAGTTCCCCGATGGAGTGAAGTAGAGAGAGGCAAAAGCTCTTAGTGGCGAGACCAAACAGAAAGATGACAGGTTTTGCCGCTGGCACCAGGTCTGTTGACGATGGCGGGAGTCACCGGGCTTTCCGCGGCGGAGGCCACTGCGCCTGTCTTGGATTAAGCAATCAACTTTTGGTCATTATTTCATTAATTGAGCGGCAGGATTAGCTCGGGAGGGAGAGACGTACACTCACCATTAGGTCTATGCCATCATTTCCGTTGCTTCCTTGCCAGCTAGAACATCCTTGCATGGGGCCGCTCCAGGTCCAGTTAATCTGGTGTTGTGTGTGATCAATCATTATCCGCATAATCTTGCATTTGACCCTACAAACCGCGTTGGATGATGTTACGTACGGTTTATCTCAAGGTGCCCGCTCGCTGATGCGAACTACATCCCCTCATACCCCTTCCACCTGCGCGGCATTCACCAAGAGAATCGTTTGGATCAAAGTCGGGCGCAAACACCACCCACCCACAGGGACATCCGGGAGGAATCCGTGTCATCCGGCTTTCCACATACCACAGAGTCACTACTACATCTCTACAATTCTTGGTGATTGTTGCAACTGAATATTTCATCGGCGCTTCCAGGCGCCTTCAAATAAGGCGAAGAAAAATCACATAGAATCATGGAGGCGAGGTTTTAAGCCATGATTGATTGTTTGTACTAGCCATGCCTTCCACGGCAGCCAAGTCCTATGTACAGTCTTCGCCTAATTGCCAAATATTTGCATCGAATTAAACACCGCTTTGGTATTACCAAAAAGCCGTGCAGAAGTAACATGCTGAGGGTACCATGTGTTGCGAATCATCTAGACCATAGCGGGAATGTTGATCTCCTTAATGGTCCAGACTTTGCCGTTCTGGCTGCTGGATAGGCCGGTGTAAGTAGCCTTCTGAGCAGTGGCAATGGTCTTGCCGAAGTTGGGATCAGGGCCAGCAAGGGTGATCTCGGTATTGATGTACTGCTGTTTCGCGATGGTAGGGCTGCAGTTGGCGTTGCACTCGGTACCAGTGCCATAGCCCCTCATAAAGGGGCCAGACTTGTACTCGTAGGAGCTTAGCTTCTTGCCCGTGTCGGCATCAGTTACGGTCTGGCGCCAGGTGTTGTTATCCGAGAGAAGTTCGTAAAGGATCTTGACCTTTTGGTTGCCAGAGACAGGGCTTGCGTCGCCACTGAGCTGGCCAAACCAGCCGAAAAGCGAGGCGCGAACGCACCACTGTCCCTTCTTGGCGCCGCACCATGAGTTGTCATTCCAAGACTCCAGAGTCGTCTGAACTAAGTCGCCGGTGCCATTGGACATGCCAGGCCACAGAGCCAGGACTCCATTCTGGGTAGGGGGGGCTTCGCCAGGGATGATGGTGGTCACAGCCTTGATAATGGTAGAGGTTGTTGGGCCAAGAGATACGGAGCCGCCCCAGGTATCAACGGCAATTGCGGTGCTGGCCAAGGTGGCGGCTAGAAATGTCTTGAATGTTCCAGAAATCATGGCAGTGGCTTGATTCAGGTCTAAAAGAATGAGTGATTTAGAAAGTAACTGTGTTTATGAGACCAGACAAAAATTGACAGTTTGACGGAATTTGCAGCATTTTATGTTTGCCGACAAAGAAGGGAAATCCATTCTTTCCATCATTTCCGGGACCGTTTCAATCGCAAAAATGGCAGTTTTCGCCTGTAAGAAAAAGAGCAGCTATCACGAAAAGGAGTAGCTACGGAATTGATTCTGTTCGTGGATGAAGTTGAAGTTGACATTGGCCTGCCTCCTGACCAGGAAGACGTTTTGCTCTCCACCAATTAGACAGCTGCCATGCAACAGACTAGACAATCCACCACCACCTATAACCGTTGCATCTCCCCATATTTTACAAAGTAGTTGCCAGGTTCGACCCTAGTTTCATATGGAATTCATTAAGGAGAGCACCATTTTATCTAACTAGGACAATGGTTACGACACTACATACCGACAACGCATCTTGGAGCCAATAATTGGCTCTCGGTTGTGCATGTGGATCATTTTGCAAAAGAATTCTCGATTTTTGTCCCGGAATATGCCCAAATCAAGCAATCCAACTGCCGTTGTAGCCGTCCCCCGACTCCTGGACAGTAACCCCGATGGCAGGTATTCCCTGTCGGAAACGAGTCGAACCCAGCAAAACAGGTGGAAAGCTTGCCATTCTAGGCTAACATGCCGATAATGCGCTCAGAACTACTAGTCGAGACTCCGTGTTTAAGAAAAACTATGATAGGCTAAACGTTTGGTGTTGAGTTCGTCTTTCGGCCGAAAGAGCATGAGAGAAGGCAGACACTTGGGCTAATATTTTCAGCAGGTTGGCATACAATAATTGATGAATTTACGATAATCGGTCATATCTTTTGCTTTAAAATTGTATATTTTAATTCGTTCGTTGTTTTGCTTGGTGCTGAACATACCGCCGTTTCATAGGAATAACGAAACCAACGTACTTGATGGAAAAGTTAAATAGGAGGCGCTAGGTCTGACTTAATCAATAAAGAGAATCGGCGTTATCGAATGACCTCAATCCAACTTCCGTACTGCAGCAAAGCAAAGCCTGTTTTCCTCAATTGGCGCGGAGATATGTTGGGTGCCATCCCCGGGGATCTTGCCGTGCTGACCACCACAAAGTCTAAGGAGTTTTGTGACACAAAGTCCACCACTCAGGACGCCCGGTTCCATTGTCAATGCATCACAAGGCTCTCGTGACTTTTGTTACTTCATCAAATGGCTGGCACTAAGTTTCGTGATAGCAATGTATTCCTGCTTACGACATGGATGTTTTGAATTTGGAGAGCACTGCATCATTAAGCTCATTGTGCAGAACTTTTAAACACAGTAATTGTGTCGCATTAGACTACAATAATGAAAATATGTTTAAAACTATACGCTCATGCATAAGGGAGGATTTGATATGGTTCAGGGATGCTGCAAAGACAAGAAAATAAGAATCTTTGATTAATAGTAATTGAGGCAAACGAAAAACTCGTCACTGAATCAAATTTACGAGCAGAAATCTGGCATAACGTCTTCATCTCTTAGCTGTTGCTAAGTTGAAGTCCTTCGACATAGAATGAATATTTCCACATGTCTGTGAAACACAAGTCTACAACTTATGCGTTTCATGCTGATATTGTCTGCTGGAAACCGTAGGAATCAAGATATATTGTAAGTGGTACGTCTGTAAGGGGCCCGGTGTCACGTCAGGTAACGAGAGACTAGAGGTGACTGTATTCACATTTGTGACTCTACCTTGCCTCTTCACTGTATGCCACAGCCTGTGACACTCTTTACCGTCATATGTGTTACGCTATGCGTTTTAGGTCCTATAACAGCTTCATCAGTTGGATTTTTTGATGGCGAATAAAGAAATAGTGTTGTCTTCTTAATTTACAGTTGTTTTGATCGGCATATCCGCCCCTTCAAATCGTAGTTGTGCGGTTCTCGTTTCTCATCGAATAATCCAATCCGTACCCGACTTATCTTTGCTAATAAATCAGTATGATCTTGAATCTTTTCACGTAAACTGTACTAAAACATCTCAATTTACAGTCGATACTCCCGAATCCCTCTTGTGCACTGAATTTGCCACCAAGACGTTCATGTCCACGCCTGCCTGTATACATTAAACATAACAAGTTAAGGCCCAAGCTTCACCCGAGTTTATATTGATGAGGCAACTTGGATAGCTAGGATAGACGCTTTCAATTCCATAGATAATGTTGTGAACTTTGCAGACAGGTAGAAGAGACTAAGCGTTTGCTAAGGGTTTTTGTGACTGCGGTTCTGAATCTGCCATATGCTACATGAAAGATTGATGACGAATATCTTATCTAGAACTGATATTTTAGCTTTACTGATATTTTAGCTTTACTTGCAATAAAACCGAGCCCAATCTAAATCTTCAAGACTATTTTGCCGTTTCGTACTGACAGGTTTCTGTTATCGGTTAGTATGCGGTCCTTTATCTTCCCTCTTTACTGACACCATACTGCTTGTGCTCTAGTAACAGTAGTTGAATTTCCGAAATAGTATTGATCGTCGGAAGATAATTATACTTTCTCCTTGGACCTGCCTCAAACTTTCATAGAAGACTTTAGACACTAAGACTACATCCTTTGTACAGAAACGAGTTTCTTGCGGGTCGCTCTCCAATTTGCACATCTACACTGTTCTTATGTTGAGGGTCTGTCATCTTAGCTGTCACTGACTTGAATTATAATGTCTCGAATGTGCTGAAACCTTGAGCTGTAGTATTAACCTGTTTACTGGAGGTGAACATAAGACGAAATCATGTATGTTCCACCATCTTGAGCTATATGTCAAGTAGAAGCAACAGGGTTCAACTAAAGCATATGTTGAAGGGCCTCCCTGTAAGCACTGCTGCTTAATGCCATAGGTATGTCAGTGATTGCCTTGGATTCACCCCCGTATTTAGTACATGGTATATCTGGAATACTTAGAAATGAATTTTTTATTCATATCACAAACAGGTTGATAGAAGGCTGGCAGTTCCTACGTTCGATCCTTCATGAAGCTAATAGTTATTTGTAACACATATGAACTTGTACGTATATTACTATTACTAGAGGCTCAAGACCTAGAACCTCAAAAAAAACCCCGGAAATAAGATATGGTGCGCACCATAGGAAATACTTGGAACTGTGTCGAAATTGCCATGAAATAGAGAAAGGGGTTGGTATTGAGAGTACAAGAACGTTTTTTACATGTTTCTGAAGCGCATTTTGGCATGAGATACTGGAAAAACGATCCGTAAAATGCGGGGTCAATTTAGATGAGTTAGCTTGCAACAGTAGAAACTTTGGCTTACACAGGGATGCCGGTGTTGCTGGAAGCTCTGATAAAAAGGCGCGACCTATCACCCCTCAAGCACTTCTGGTTGGCTACTACCATGGTCCAATGACCCTCTGACATTAGCTCGCTTGGAGGCCAACTTCTCTCAAGGTTGATGATACACTCCTCATTAATTTAGACATCCAATAGTTGCGCCTACCGCCTCTACTTACGTGGCCTTGAGTCTGGATGCAGACTCAACAAGCTTTTAAAATTTTGTCAGCTGGGGTGAGGGGAACCACGTTCAGTTTGGATAGCTCGAGGTGCCAAACGATTCACATCCATAATGAGATACGAGGAGAAGGTGCTCGCAGTTTCATTGAGGAGAAGTTAATGAGGCGAAAGCCTCGGAGAGCATCCAATACAACATATACCCTGCATCTCGGCGGAGTCATAGGCTAAGGTTGTATTGAGCTCCGGCTGCATAACCATGACCGGCATGAACGTTCATGGGTGGCAATTTTCAATTTAGCGGCATAGCTCATGCCAGGTACAAACACTGAAGAGTGGGTAAACGGGCTGCTAAGGCGAAAATTACACTTGTAATAGATCTGCAGTGCGGGCATCTTATTTTAATGTACTTTTAACCCCTTTCTGTGAAGCATGGTGTCTTTCAGTCTCAATTGCTTGTCTGCTACCTTTCCCCATAACAAATGGATGGAGAGTTGATAGCTCAGCATGGCTAGTAATATGAGATATACCGTGCTGGTTTCAGAAGCTTGAGAGCGACCAGTATACGTTTGGCCAGCCACCCGAGGCTGCTACATCGACTGTGTCTGCTAAAAAGCGGCAAAAAAGGCTAGGCCAAACTTTTGGATCCAGATCATAGAGGACCAGGAGGGACCCTTCAGACTTCAAGGCACCTTCGCAAACACTGAGCTCAACTATTGGTTAGCTTCTACTAATAGACTAGCGCCACGAGCCTGGTGCCACACCTGAGGGTGGAAGACAGGCACCATGCAGACAAACCCATGAAAATGCAAGGAATCGGAAAGATAATGAATATAGTTTGAGACTAAGGTTCGCGATTACCCATTGAAACGAAACTATTGCGTCCACACGCTGGCAAACGTCAAAATAGCTTTAAGTTAAAAAGGCCGAAACACTTCCAAAAGTCTATTACTCGATCAATTATCCTTGTCGGGCCTTTGCCGACCCCTTCAAGTCGAATCATCCTTCCACTGGCTGAAGTATCGGCCCTGACGTTAAATATCGATAATAGATGGATCTCGGATAAGTTGTGTCTCCCAAAGTAAACGTGGATGTAGCTGTCAGTGGGACGTGTCAACGAAAATCGGAGATCGTGGATTGCGACCAGATAAATGGTTAGGCTGTACAATTGGTCGGTTTGGCCCTAGTTCATCGCATCATGATGGATTGGTAGGTCACAACGGTGTAGGAACTACTGGCCTTTCTGGAGAGTTTGCCGCGTTTTCCGAACATCCTCCACATTCAAAATGCTGAAGGCGCGCCAAGAAACATGTCAGGTTTCTGGAAACAACATTGAGCTCATCCAACTTCGTCCCCAACATACGGCTGTACTACGATGGGGGATGCGAATTCTCGACGCCAACAGCCTCTATCGTCTGAAGTGCCTACATCCTTCCTATCTATATAAACCACATCATATTTTTGTACCTCTGTTGGCGAACTGCAAGTGGCAACAGAGCTACGCAGCATTGGCACTTGTCAGCCGTCCCGTCAGCGAACAAACATTTCCCTGATTATGAATAACGAGTGTTGACATCGCCCATACGATGCGGAGCTAAGGTCTCAGTGAACAATAAACGAGATGCAAAAATGCTTCATTGCACCGAGGAAAGTCAACGATGCACCGCCATGCAACTTTCTCGGAAAGAATCACCCCAACAACAATACAGCCTGGGTAAAGAGCAAGCTTTTGGAGACGTAGACATGCCGCAGGACAGCTTGACCTATACCAACGAATATAGTGAGAATAATGAAGACTTCATTCGACCAACGTCAACTGGGGGATTAATGTCAACGACGCAAAGTAATCCAACAGTTCTCAATAAACCGATAAATCACTGACACATGTACTAGACAACCTACGCTTCGATGATCGCGATACTGTGATATCTCAGAGGGTCTCAGAGATTTCGGTGCTCATGGCTTCATTTCTGATATCCGTCGATCCGCAAGGGGCAAGCAGTCTTTTTTCTGTCGTGTTATACTGGGCAGCATTCTATCTCTTGGCAAGGTACTTATACAGGGCTTTCTTTTGCCCTCTCGCTAAATTCCCTGGGCCAAAACTTGCCGGTATGACCAAGCTATACGAAGCATACCATGTCTTGGTAAAAGATGACTGGTTGCAGAATCTCGAGCTTCTGCACGCGACATACGGTTTGCTACTGTGCTTCCCCTATATTCTTGATAATATCTGACTTGGCTTTCAGGCCCGGTAGTCAGAATAGGCCCGAATGAGCTTCATTTCGTCGACCATAAATTTTGTCTCGAGTACCACAAGCGGCCTGACCTCCTCAAATGCGACAACTACTATGGCCTTCTTGACAAACTTCTTGGCGGTCTGGCAAATCCAAAAGTGCACATGCAAAGAGCAGCAGCGATTAGGCCGGTTTTCTCAGGACAGACTTTGGCACAATTCACTCCGTCCCTTGACAACTACCTCGGGTCACTGCACTCCCGTCTCAGTGATGTCTCTGAGCACGGTGAGGCCGTCAACTTGACGCACTATCTATGGGCTTTCACAAATGATGTAATGATCTCCTACATCATTGAAGAAAATTATGGGTTCTTGAAAGTTTTTGACCTAGCAAAAATCCATGACATGACCCGGGGCTTTAGTGCTATCGATCTCGCCACGGTTCTACGATGCGTCCCTCCTGTCAAAAAAATGTTCGACATTTTCCCAGCAGTTCGAGCCTACTCGCCCCTCGGTTGGCTTGACTGTGTAAGCTCTCTCATCTTCTTTGGACCAATAGCTTCTTCGTTCTCTGACTTCAGCTCTAGCTCATTAAAACCCACCTGAAACCTATCATCAGGACATGGGACCAGGAAAACAGCCACGAAAGCGTCCTAGCTCGTATCTTCAATGAGGTTGACAATGAGACTTTGGCCATACGCGAATCATCACAAGCTATATTTATCGGGAATGAATCACTCTTGAGTAACCTGACGTTTCTTCTGCATCACCTTATCCAGAACCCGGACTGTGTGAAGAAAATCAGGAATGAGCTCGACACACTTGATCTTGGTTTATACGGACACCGAGTTTGGCGAGATCCAAAAGTGCTTCAGCTCCGATATTTGGTAAGTCTATGTTGCCTTGTCCAATCTCGATATCCTGGATCTAACTCCTTCCCAGGACGCGGTATGTAAGGAGTCGATGCGCCTAAGCTCACCTAGCTGGCATCGACAGCCAAGACAAAGCCAGACACCGGTAGAGTATCAGGATATGATTATACCCCCAATGGTAGGTGTCACCAGTTATCTGTACCTAAACTCGTGATTGATTGTTCTGTTTAGACTAGTATGAGCTTCACCTTGAAATTACTCGAGCATGATCCAGATATCTACCCAGAACCGAATTTGTTTAAGCCTGAGCGGTGGCTTGGGTTTGGTGAGGACTCCAAAGACTTAAGAAACCGTGGAGTCGCTTTTGGTACGGGCACACGGACATGCTTAGGTCAACAGTACGTTTTGGTCCATAGGATCGTTTGATGCACCGTGAACATTTCTAATTTTACGCAGCATCGCCCAGAAAGTTTTGCGCAAGGCAGTCGCCTGCCTGGTCTATAACTTCAGCATGTCGCTCTGGGATGAGACATTGGACATGATGGAAGGCTACCGATACTTGAACACGTACCCCAAGAAGGGCCATGAGGGATATTTGAGAGTCCGTTTGATTCCACGGTTTAAGAGCGACTCATAATGTCTTCGGCTTAGCTTCTTTTGTTTTTCTTGTCTTTTTTTGATACCACGACATTCGTCATAAGTGGCTTAGTGGGGCCGCCTCTTTCGATTTAGCTCACTCATTATAATACTGAGCATGCAAGCGCAGCGTGAAAGAGGAATTATACCCATGAGTTTGGGGCATTATCAATACAACGAAAGATTGTTGGGGTTCGGTAAAAATACCCGATAATATCAGGATTAATTGCTACGAAGTTTTGAACAATATTAGGGTGTTTCCTTTTTCTTTTCTCTTTAAATCAACACTTCTAAGTTCTCCAATCTACAACGAAACCCGTTCCTGAATGTTTCATTCTGCAATTGTATCCGGTGGCAAGGGTTGATTTGCTGCCACAAAAGGCTTCGGTGGCCACTCCCCAGCACAAAACGAACACTCAAACTCGTGAACTCCTGAGTACACTATACGGGAAGGCTCAGGGGTCTCGTCATAAAGCTGTCTTAATTCTGACGGCAGAGTTACAACAGCTGAGCAGCTTGGTGGGACGATCAACTTCATCTTGAATATCTCGTTGCCATCCACTGTCCACTCAATGGCGACCTTGCCGTAAGGTCCGTCGAAAGACGCCCGCGCACTCGTAATGTTGCCTCCTGGTACAGGACGCACACGGATCCTTTTCCAGCCTGGCTCAAGCGGCGATATGCCTCCAACTGATCCATGTAGCCAGTCTGCAACTGAACCGAGCGCGTAATGATTGAGACTAGTCATTTGTCCAGGATTGATACGTCCATCTGGTAACATGCTATCCCACCGCTCCCAGATGGTTGTCGCACCCATAGAAACAACAGGAAATAGCCAACTAGGACACGTTGTCTCGAGGAGCATACGATACGCTAGTTGAGGCCGACCAATAGTGGTAAGCGCATGTGAAATCACCGGTGTACCGGCGAATCCAGTGCTAATGTGGAAACGAGCGGTTCGAACCAGCTTTTCTAGAGCTTTCGCAGCCGTCTGACGCTGAAGGGAGTTGTTTGGATACAAATCGAATTGGAATGCAAGAGCCAAACCTGTCTGGGAAGTTGACATGAGATTACCCTCCGGCGTAATATAGCGTCTTTGGAATAGCGTTTTGAGCCGTTCTCCATCTTCAGAATATTTGGCGGATAGATTATCTTTCCCAAGCGCAGCACATAGTTGAGAGAATACCAACGTTGTGTGAACGAGATAGGCATTCGCAACAAGGATGCTGTCAGTCCGTCCATTTCCCGGGTCTTCTGGAGGCGCGCTTGGATCTAACCAGTCTGCAAGCTGCCACTTATCAGGATTCCAGAGGCCATCAGAGGCTCGGTCTATCCCCTGGTCGAGCCACGCCTGCATGCTCTGGAACTGACGCTCCAACAAACCCTTATCAGAGCTGTACTGATAGAGAACGTGCGGAGCCAGGACAGTCATGTCGTCCCAGACTGCTTGTGCCATGTGAGGCCAGTTTGGGCTGATGGCCAAGGGAACCACCAATGGCGGGATGCCTCCCTTTCCTTCTTCAAGCTGTTCTGCCGCGACATCCTGGAGCCAGTTACCGAGAATGCCCAGCGTATCGTACAGGAATGTTGCCGTTGGGCAGAAGACCTGTAGATCACCGGTCCAACCAAGTCGCTCGTCTCTTTGTGGGCAGTCAGTGGGAAGAGAAAGAAAGTTGCCTCGCATAGACCAAACCACGTTACTGTGAAGCTGATTGACGGAAGAGTTGGAGCACTCGAAGAATCCGCGACGCTTCATGTCAGTATGCATGACGAGGGCCTGGATGTCGTTTTTGGATAGAGTACCGCTAGGCCATCCGTCAACTTGAACAAAACGGAAGCCGTGGAAGGTAAACTTGGGTGTCCAGTCTTTTATCTCTTTCCCTGAGCCAATGATAGTATCGAGGCACTTAGCGTCTCGAAGAGGCCTGGTTCCGAGCTCGCCGTCCTCCATAACCTCAGCATGTCTCAATGTAATCTTTTCTCCCTTCCCAAGCTGAACTGACTTGACAAGCAGCTTTCCAACAAGGTTCTGTCCGAAATCAAGAATTGTCTTGCCGGACTTGCTCAGGAACACATTGATGCAAGGCTTTGTCTCGATAACTCGGACTGGGGGTGCATCGATAGCCACTAGCTTCGCCGTAGGCCAGGGCAGAATCTTTGTGCCGAGCGCGTTATCCCAAACTTTGTCAGCCCTGTTCCAGTCCTCTTCTTCTTCTTCTCTCATATCGTAGTCCTCGCCGTCATATATTTCGCTGTTTGTGATAGCGCTTGGCTTGCAAGACCAGGACTCGTCTGTCAGCAGAGACCAGGGTTCGTTTTTGGGGCCTTTGACTTCCAGCTGTGCAAAAAGTCCAATAACGTCTCCGTATCGAAACCGAATCCCTCCCTTAAAGCCAAGTCGCCCTGCGTACCACCCTTCGCCAACTTCTACACAGATTGTGTTCTTCTGGCCAGGAAGCAAAAGATTTTTGACATCGAGAACGCGATAAACAAGCCGATGTCTGTAACTTGTCCATCCTGGAGCCATGCATTCGTCCGTGACAGGTTTCCCGTTAATCGTAGCCTCGAAAACACCGAGTGAGGTGATGTACAGCCGAGCTGATAGCAGATCGAATTTGACATCTTCGGGAAGTGTAAAATCTTTACGAAATCTAATAGGCCTTAGGGGTCCATGCGGACCTATCAGTTTAGCTGATGTGATGAACTTGGCCCGGAAGTCTTCTCGCTCAAGAAGAGAGGCTTCAACAGTTGCCGGCTCTGACCATTGACTTGGCTCTTCGGCCTTGTATGCCTCTTTCACGAGACTCTTTCCGTATACTCGGACGCGAACGACGGCGCTTTCTCGAGATCCCAAGTCTCTGAAAGGCCATGGCACCAGAACAGACTGGTCGTTAGTCTCACGAAAAACCTTAGTTTCGTTGTCGGTAGTAAAGGTAACCTCGAGTTCGTAGGAAGTCTGAACCCATGCTGGTACTGCAGTATCACTCGCGTGAAACCGCCATGAGATCCTAGGTCTAGGGGACTCCACCCCTAAGCCGCTGTGGTGGTGCTCAAATACCGGTTTCGTGACCGTGGGACAAGACATGATTTGGCGTTTGGATCAATACGGGCAGGAGATCAAACACTGCTCGGCAGACTTGTTATGATATAGAGAAGGAAGCAATACCTAGGTAATATCACAGCGAGTTTGGACTGATGCATATCAAAAATTCCCGGTACAAAAGAACCCGAACCCAAGAGCCTTGGGACGACGAATTCCTTTCAAAAGCAGAGCTCCACCGGCGAGAATCAAACTATTGTCTAATTGTTACTCCGCACAAAAGTATTCCACCCCCTGCAAATACCAGGAGCAGCATGCCGATCCATGAGATGTTCACGCGGGGAAACTGAAGGATCTGGAGGCTAGTTGCGGAGATTCCGCACTCCCCGCAGTTGGCAGAGCTTGCCTCCGGCGGATTTGCCGACACGGAACACCAAACCTTCGTTTTCGGGCATCAATCCTCTCCCGAATGGAACGATTATTACATGTTGCATCCAGATCTATCCCCAGTCCCTGGTATATGTTTCACTTAGCATGGAGCCTTGGGCTATCATTATGCCGAGCGTGCCACCAGATGGCAAGTGAATGTTGTTAATAAGAGAACCCCAGATTTCCATTGCATAACAAAAGTAGTTCCCCAACCGTGCTTGCACCCCACATTCGGCGAATTAATCATCATGAACTTTCTTATTATTGTCGTGGCACTCGTTGCTGCGCAAGGCGGGTTTATCTTCGGTTTTGATTCTGGTATATAAGTACTCTCGCCATTTGGCTTTGTCATTGAGGTTGACACATTCTATGCAGGAATCATCGCGACAACGTTCGGCCATGATAGCTTTAAGCTTAAGATGTATGGGCCTGCCATGGTCAACACGGCTTATACAGGTAAGTCCCGAGCTTACCCCATCTTCACTTGACTGTATATTAATTTCGTTTACCAGGTGCCATAGTCTCTGTCTATAATGCAGGGCAGGCAATTGGCGGCATGACGGCTGGTTATCTTGCGGACAAGTTCAGCAGAAAGTACACAATCTTAATTGCCTCCATTCTCAGTAAGTCTCAAGACATCAGCTGGTTAAATGATTCTTGTTGACCAATGATTCTTAGCCATTATTGGCTCTGTCCTTCAATGTGCTGCGACAGGAGTCGGAATGATGATCGCAGGCCGTCTTATTGCTGGTATCGGCTGTGGAGAGATTCTCACTGTCGTGCCCACTTATCTCGCAGAAGTCGCACCGCCTGCTCGTCGCGGTTTCCTCGTTGGGCTTCAGGGAATGATGATTGCCATTGGTTTCGGCGCAGCGAACTGGGTTGGGTACGCTGGTGCTTTTGCTCCTGGAGATGCTCAGTGGCGGATTCCTTTGGCAATGCAGCTCCCGATTCCCATCTTGCTCTCTGTCATGCTCTTCTTCGTACCTTTCTCTCCCCGTTGGCTCATCCTTCGTGACAGATACGAAGAAGCCAGGAGTGTCCTGGCAAGTCTGCATGGGACGGCTGACAACGACGACTTGGTCGACCGAGAGTTGATCCAAATTCGTGAGCAAATCTTGATGGAGCGACAGCAAGGCAACATGAACTGGTTCACGGCAATCCGGCAGATGTTCTCCGCCAAGTACATCCGCCGCACGCTTACGGCGGCATTCATCATCACCATGGGCCAACTCAGTGGCTCTTCCGTTATTCAAAATTTCCAGAACATCTTTTACGCCACAGTTGGATTCACAGGCCGTACAGCTTTGCTTATCAGCGGCGCGTATGGAATGATGGGTATCTTTGGGCAAATCATCTATCTGGTGGTAGTGGCAGATCGCTGGCCTAGAACTCGCACTCTTTGGAGCGGTTCCTTAGTTCTGAGTGCCATGATCGCTCTTTGCATGGCTCTTAGTGCGGTCTATGGAAGCAAGAGCAACGAGAACGCTGCGGGAGCTCGAGCTGCGATTGGGGCGATATTTATTTACTCCATGTGCTATGCCATCTTCTTCAACGCAATGGTGTGGGTTGTTCCGTCGGAATTGTTTCCTTTCTTCCTTCGAACCAAAGGTCTCGCATTCGCTGTCGCCACAAAGTCGGTTACCGCCATTATTCTTTCACAAATCACGCCGCTCGCCATTGCATCCGTCAGTTGGAGGTTAGTAGCTTGTTGTATCGGCACAACTTGGAAACGTTCACTAACGGTACTCTCAGGTACTACTCTCTTTTCATCGCGACGAATCTTGCTGCAGCCGTCTTCTATTTCTTCTTCCTCCCTGAAACGGTATGTATACTGCTAATGATTGCTGGCGGAGACCTGTCCAGCTGACATGAGAAACTAGTCTGGGAAATCGTTGGAAGAGATCGCGGAGCTTTTTGGAGATGATCTTGCCACCAATCGACTTGGAGAGCTTGACGTGGACGCGAAAAACGGGATTGGACCTGGAACGGAGTTTCACGAGTTTTCAGAGAGACAACCGGAGACCCAAAACCAAGATAATACTCAGCGGGTATAGGCTGGAGTACACAGATTGTTGCTGTCAGTAAAGTTCTTCAAATGCTGGGCTAATATCTCGTTGGGTGGAACTTTGGTCAAGGCCATTCGGCGTTCGCAGATGTGTTCGATAAACTAGAGTCGTGAATGTCATAACACGTACAAGCGGGCTAGAGAACACTAATTGTATGCAGTATCGCATGACAACTACAAATAGTTGTGTAATTGACGTCGTCAAACGTCGTCAATACAATACTACTTTTATCATTACGGATACTGTTACCAGATTATTGATTGCGTTAGCTATCTAGTTTGGCTGCCATTCTTCTGTTTACACTGCCATCATCTTATCACATTCAATGCTGTACCTTTGAACCAACTTCAGGAAGATGAGAAACCAACATGCCGAACTCAAGGCCCCCGGCTTGTCTGAAAGGATGCCCTATTGAAATATCTTCAAAAAGAATGTAGTCTGACATCGAGGGACGCGAAGGCGCGACACGAAAGATAGGTTACGTACTTTCTATCAAAAGCCGATACTCCCCGAGACTTGGTTGAAGAAGACCGTTCTACATGTCGACACAGAACAGTGGGTACACGGCGTTTAATGCCGGTACCGGTCTTCTCCCCGAGACGCGACTTGGGCAAGCTGAGGGATTCCTTGGACGGGATGTGGACCAATTCAGCGCAACCAACACCCGTTTCCTAGTAATCACCCAAGTTTGGGTGTTGCTCACTGTGCCAGTGCGTGCGGGGAGCCACACTAGCAAGTCAATACATGCCTGGTCGGAGAGAAAGCCGATATGCGGGCTGCAAGACCGCATCAGCCATGAAGAGATATACTGAATGACTGAGAGGCCAGCAATGATGAACTGCAGTAATGAGAGGTTGAAAAGTCGTCTTCAGGACAAAGCTTGTTTGAAAAGGGGCCAAAACTCCAATTAGAGAGCGTCTCATGTAACACATACGTCATAAGCTCAATTGTTTTTGACTACCTACCTTTTACAACCGACACCACTACTACTCTTGTAACTTGAACTTGGAACTATACAATTAAATTCAACACTATGATGAACTCCGAAGCAAACCATATTCTCATAACGGGTGCGGCAGGCTTTATAGGCCAGGAGCTGACAGCTGCCCTCCTCCTCTCCTCACCCACGATTCACCTCACATTGACCGACATAACCACCCCCGCCATCCCTCCGGCCTCACTTATTCCAGATGCGGCATCGCGTATAACCGCGCTCCAAACAGACCTTACATCGCCCGATGCCGTCGCAGCACTCCTAGGACACCATTCCCGCTTCAATGCAATCTACCTACTTCATGGCATCATGTCCGGTGGCGCCGAGGCAGACCTTGATCTCGGTCTGCGTGTGAACCTCGACAGCCATAGACTTATTCTTGACGCGCTCCGCCAGCCTACGTCGCTTCACCGGGGCACTGTCGTAGTGTTCCCTAGTAGCCTGGCGGTCTACGGCCCGGTTGAAGGGCAGGTTGTCACTGAGACGACGTGCCCCACACCACAGTCTTCGTATGGCACACAGAAGCTCATGATTGAAACCTTGCTGGGAGATTACTCGCGCCGCGGACTGCTTGATGGCAGGATCGTGAGGTTACCCACAATCATCGTCCGTCCCGGAGCGCCGAGCGCGGCTGCATCGTCGTTTGCATCCGGGATTGTGAGGGAGTCGCTGAAGGGCGAGGAAAATATCCTGCCCGTGCGGCCGGAGCTGGCCATGTGGGTTTGCTCGCCTAGAACGGTCGTGGCCAACTTGGTTGCTATCAAGGATACCCCTCGCGACAGTTTTGGGCTCTCGAGAGTTGTCAATCTGCCTGGCATCACGGTGACTGTAGCGGATATATTAAACGCACTAGAGGTTGTCGGAGGTATGGAGGCTAGGGCAAGGGTGAATGAGGAGAGGAACCCGCAGATTGAGGCGATTGTGGAGAGCTGGCCTGCGTTTTTCGACGTGTCCAAAGCGCTTAAGCTTGGGCTGGCCCAAGACGGAGACATAGTGACCACTGTCAAGGACTTTGCAGAACGACTACGTTCTGGTTTGTAGCTCAAGTGTCAAGACGGAGTTGAAAAGTAGCCAGTGATCCTAGTCATATCACCGCGCAAAATATTGAATCAAAGCCATCAATCGTCTATACAGTCTGTTGTCACAAGGGGTATCTATGGTGGTTGCCTGCGACTCACGTTCATCCCCTGAAAGCAATTCCAATGCCCAACTACAAAAGGCAACAAATTGAGATGCAGATGCCATGACACTGTGCGCAAATTTAATCGTCCCACTCCTCGTCGAGCTGGTCTATCAATCGGTTCTCATCCTCGCGGTTGCGTCCTCTACTCGGCGACCCGGACAGGTGACGGTAGCCACGTCGCCCAGGCAGAAGTTGAGCACATGAAGATGTGGCAATGACGAACATGTCCTTATGCGTGTTAGTCAACGCCGTATCAACGAGGAATGCGGGCTTTCACTTACGCTAACAAACCCCCAGATACCAGCCCAGAGGCTGTAGTTGGGTAGTTGTCGCCAGCCCCGAGCATGGGCAACAGTCCGTTGGTAGAAGACACCTCCTCCAAAGTACACCATGACAGCGATCACGAAAATGATGGCAAACACACTGCCAGGACCGACACTGCCTGGCTGGTGGGGCTCGGCCCTCGGGCAGGCGTGCTGGGAACGGGCTTCGAAGAAATAGGCGCAATCGTCGGGATCTGAGCCGACGAAAGAAATGTGGGCTGCTCCACCAACTTGCTCCGTGTCGCAGTGGAAGGAGATAGTCGCCGACTTGCGGCGGGTCGTCTTGTCATCCTTCTCAGCGGATGCCTTCTTCTGCCCACTACCTGAAGCCGTGATGAGTGTTCTGTCGTCATCATCGGTGAACCTGTTGGCCGATCTCTTGGACTTGCCTCCGCCGCATGGAGAGCCGTCCTTGTATTGGAGCACTAGTATGCGCCCACGCATCTGGATGTCCATGTTTGATTGACTATTGCGCATGTGTTAGTTTCCTAGCACGGAAAAACGGTGGTGGTGTAACGAACCCTATCGAATAAGTCTCGGTATTGTGTGTGTAGTATGCGCTGACGTTTTTTGAGGCACCTTTACTCAACCCCACCACATCCTCGACGGCATCGATAACGGGAGCGCAAATATTGAGAGTGAAATTCCGGCCATAGTCCCAACCCCTGGCGTGGTAGTCTGTCGTGACGCTGCTCTTGGACGACTTGCCTTCCTTAGCCGTCACCGCAATGTCAGGCCGAAGGTCGTAAAAAGCGCCGGTTCCGCTCTTCGGAGCAGCTGTGCATGCCGGGATGCTAGTCGTGGTAGAGATCGTCGATGTACCGGCGGCGCTCGCTGTCGCGGCTGCTGTGAGGAGCAGAAGGGCTTTCGGAGAGCGCAGGAAATGCATGGTTCCTGTCTTCCCTTGCTATAGATAGGGGTCGAGGGAGCTATCGGGATGGTCGTTGGAGAGATCGTAAGCGCTCTGGGAGCGCGACGGGACGTGGGTCGAAGAGAACCTATGACATGAATTGCCAAAGAGGATGTAAATCTGGAGAAGGGGAAATGAAGCGAACGGAAATGCTATGCCATGCGATTTGAATTGACAATCGTGGCAAGGTGTCGGGAGGCGATTGGAAGGACACTTTTGAGGGATTGAAGTGCCGGAAGCCACTTGGTCATTCGTCAGCCTTTCACAGGGAGATGCCTACAGGACAGGATAGTGACGGGAAGGGGCGCATTGATTGGTGGGTGGTCTTTCCTTGTAGCACCAGGCCAGTCTCCACGTACAGGCGCATTATTTTCACGAGGTCACGTGAGCATGCAGGTCCAAAAGAAAGATGCTTACCCAATACATGTGTGTCTACACTGAAAAAAACATCAACAACAGCGAGAACGAAATTTTTGAAAATCGGAGCAAAAACGGCCCCAAATACGCGTGCTCGCGGCCACAGAGCCCCCTTCGATGCAATGCCATCCTCGGCCTTGATTCTACGTCCCAAAGGGGCCCAAGATGGCCGCAGAGCACGCCCCGACTACAATGAAAAACTTGAGAGCAAGCCGCAAAATACGACATATCAATAGACAACACTGTTACCACCACCACAGGCGAGCCACAAGCCGCTACACGAAGCACTAAGACTGCGCCCAAACAATCAACTTCAACACAACAGCCGCCGACAGGTTTTGGGTCACCTGTCACCCCCGACAAAGTTTGCAACGTCCCACAACGACGAAGATGAGTCCGACAGAACAGTATCACCTTCCGCACGGAGAAAGCACCAGGCATTAGGCATGCTACGATCGATGCCACACAATACTACAGACCACAGACAGACTGGTCCCCTGTCGCCCCTTTTGCGAAGAAGGATTGGTGTCCCTTCAACGCGCGACAATGTCTGCGGAATCTGTGCGGGAGCTCTCATACCCAGTAATCGAACATGTCGGAGTCAGTGGAGCATTGTGCTTCGTGGAAGACCCTTGGGCCAATGTGGTGGAGGGCAATAGTGGTCAACAGGCAAGAAACAAGAGGCCACATAGGAACCCGGCAGGAGGCAACAAAGAATTTACAGATGCAACTGAGAAAACGGCACATACAAGTCCGGGAGGATACGGACAAAACAAAGAGACAAAGCTGAGCGCTGGGGGGAGACTGTAGGTACAAAGAACCAGATACGGTGCTACCAGCACCAACTGAACCGAAGCAGGAGGATGTAAAACAAGCATTCTAGAGAGCAACACAAAAGCGAGAAAGCAGACAGGAGAGCAACACACTTCTTCAACAGAGGGCACAAACACACAGAATAGAGAACATAGTGGGGAGCTTGGGGATAGCTGGCCCTGATGCAACATCAGGGCGAAGTGGGGCGTCGCTGTTCATTGTCGACGCTTCGGCTACCTGCCAAACCCCGCTTTCCGGGCATAGCTGCTGGCATAAGAGCGGCTTCATAACCGAGTAGGAATAAATCAATCAATCAATCTGTGTGTCTACACTTACTGTGCACTGTTAAGGTATTACCCACGCAGTGTAGTAAGCATGTGGATCCTTCAAACGCTGGACCTTGGCAAAGTCCGGTAATCGTGATAAGCCCAAATCCTTATTGGTACGTACTTACTGACATCGGCAAAACGGGGAATCCCATATCTCACCCCGTGCAGCCATTGTCAAATCATGTTATACGAATTACTCGCATCATCGCGATCTTTCCAAATCACTAGTGATGAATTTCAACATCTACCGGACCGTCTTGGCTTCATATCGTCCGATGCTCTTGCACGTCTTTCCGGGCCCCGCTTCGGTGGAACCATTCCTCCGCCTGCCTTCCACAGTTTCGACTTCCCAGGCGTTGGGTCCAATCAAACTAAGCTTGAGTTTCGTTAGCGTCATTGAGCGCCCATGAGGTCACCCGGAAAGCTAAAGCTCCGGGCACGAAACATCTTTCGACTGTCCCTCACAGCCTCATTGACGCTGCGTAGCTAGCGATTGCTTCTCATCATCACCATCGTGTTCGTATCCTCACCTCGGAGGGCTCATATTACATATATCGGCCTTGCGCAGTTGCTGGTTCTATGCAGTTTATCAACCAACACTGAAACATTCGCAAGTCCAAGATGGCTGTAAAGCAAGAGACGGCGCAAAGGCCGCATGGCTACCATTTTGGAGGACCGTAAGTATCTCATATCAATATCTTATTTAACTTAACTACACGTGCTGACAATAAGACAAATAGCTGGGGTACCTTTGGCATCTCTATTGTCCTCCCAATTCTCGTTTACATTTTCGCTTTTGCCTGCAACGACATTTCCGGCTGCCCCGCCCCTTCTCTCCTCAGCCCTAAAACTCTGACTCTCAGCCAGCTCAAACGCGAAGTCGGGTGGCCTGAGGAGGGAATCTGGGGCCTTGGAAGTGTCAAGGTCACTGGTGTTGTTGTGGGATACTACTTTTTCAATGCACTGCTGTACCGTTTCCTTCCTGCTACCGAGTTGGAAGGCGTTCAACTTGCTTCTGGTGGCAAGCTAAGGTATCGCTTCAACTGTGAGTCTACCTCGTCATCTTCTCCTTGTTTCATCACTAATGAACTCAGCCTTCGCCTCTGGCATGTTCATTCTTACCCTATGTCTTGCTGGTACCATCGCCCAGGGTGCCGAGTTCCCTGTTTGGACCTTCATCACCGACAACTATATTCAGGTTGTCACTGCCAACATGTTGATCGCCTATGCCACTGCGACGTTTGTCTACGTGCGAAGCTTCAGCGTAAAGCCAGGCAACAAGGAGAACCGTGAGCTGGCCGAGGGCGGACAGACAGGTAACCTGGTTTATGACTGGTTCATTGGACGGGAGCTGAACCCCCGCGTTACCATTCCCATCGTTGGCGAAATTGACATCAAGGAGTTCATGGAGGTTAGGCCAGGCCTTCTTGGCTGGTCCTTGGTAAATTTTGCCTGGATGGCCCAGCAGTACCGTACATACGGCTTCGTCACCAATAGCATCATCTTCATCTCCGCTGTTCAGACGATTTATGTCATCGACTGCTGGTGGAACGAGCCTGCGATTTTGACCACGATCGACATCATCACCGACGGATTCGGTTTCATGCTCGCGTTTGGCGACGTTGCTTGGCTCCCGTTCATGTATTCGCTCCAGGCGAAGTACCTTGCTGTCTACCCTGTCTCAGTTAGCCCGCTCGGTATGGCTGGAATTTTTGGCGTCATCGGATTCGCCTTCTTCATCTTCCGCGCGTCCAACAGCCAGAAAAACGCGTTCCGCAACAACCCCAATGACCCTAGTGTTTCCCACCTCAAGTATATCGAGACGAAGGCAGGCACTCGCCTCCTCGTCACTGGCTGGTGGGGTGTTGCCCGCCACATTAACTACCTGGGCGATTGGCTGCAGTCGTGGCCGTACTCCCTGCCTACCGGCATGGCCGGATATACTATTGTCTCCGCCGGCAGTGGATTTGTGCAGTCTGGTGTTGAGGGAGCGTTTAAAATGGCTGACGGCCGCGAGGTGATTCAAGGTGATGCGCGCGGATGGGGAATCCCGATTACGTACTTCTACGTCCTCTATTTCGCGATCTTGCTTATTCACCGGGATCGTCGGGACGATGAGAAGTGCTCGCGCAAGTATGGTGATGACTGGGAGAAGTACAAGAAGATTGTCAAGTGGAGAATCTTGCCTGGCATCTATTAAGATCTAAGACAAGTCTCGAACCAGTTCATGCTGAAGCAGGGTAGACTGGTAAGGGGGGGGGCTTCCTCGGTCCTTTTCCGCTACCCGTGGGGCATGACCAGACTCAATGTCTGAGTATTGGCGTTGGACACACGGTTACGATTGTGGCGTTGTGGCTCAAGAGCGGTGGGGGAAACTCGTGACATTAAACTGGTGCTATGCTAAGCACCGTGAGTGATGGCTGCATTTGTATTCGGGTAAAGGGTGGAAGCATGGGGTGTCACATTAGTGTGATAAAATATAGTTTTGCGACTGATCTCTCACCGAACCCAGTGACGCGTGTGAAAAGGCCATTTTTTTGTCCACAAACAGTGACAGACTGATAATGCAGTAAGACATAAGCTCCTTATTCGGATAGACCAGAGACAAGAATTGGTCTCAGAGACAAGAATTGGAACGTTACCTGTTCCCCATCCTGTAATGTCAGCATACCACCAGAGGTCCAATTAACCAAAAGTCGTGGCGGTCTGGGCTGGTCTGGTGTCCTTCCCAGTACTCTTTGGCTCCCTCGTGAAAGATGGCGAAAGATGGAGACTGACGATGGAGCTACTCTACATTAATACCTTGTACACTAGGTAGTTCAGACGGGCCGAAAGCCTTGGTCGTCCCACTTCTTGGCAACGGGCGACGGCGACATGGTTGCAGTTAGTGGACGAGCTATGTGGACTGGGCAACACTCCTGCTCTCTCTCTTAGTGGCCCAAGGTCAGATTGAACTGTTGTTCGGAGTATCCGTACACGTAAAAAGAGGTTCTGGGGATGAAGTGAGGGGTAGGACAAGGGTCTCGATCGAACCGCGAGAGCTAGAGTGCGGGGGACAGGAGGGGAAGAAAATGGAGAAGGAAGGGGACAAAAAAGGTGGTATGTGAGAGGGTGCTGCAACCGAGACGCGGGGATGCGTTGACAACGAGATTCATGGCGTCATGTCAAAATTAGCGCCTTCCCCGTCGAGTCCGATTTTGAAAGCTCGAAAGCTTACGACAGAGTTTTCTTTAGAAGCTCTGTAAGTTTTAAGAACAATTAAGGAACGAGATGAAAGGGGTGGATGAGTTAAGCATAGGTTGGCCGGTGAGATGAGACGGATATTAAAAAAAGTTGAAATGGTGGATAAACGACTCAGGTAAGGCGCAGGCTTTGTTTTTTTGAGTTCAAGAAAGTTGTGTGCCCATCCTTGGAGCGGCTACAGTATCTATATTCGGATGACGGCTACCATGGCAGAATGTTTTTTTTTACAAACATTCACAGGACGCAATGATTCGCCAAGGGTGTAAGTGCCGAAGTGGTGGGGAAATCGGTTATTCTGATCGGCGGACGCTGGTTTTCTTTACGGGCTTTTTGGGACTCCGCTGTCTGCTCACTCAGCCAGGTTTCCTGTCCTTTATTTTGAATAAGAATTGAGAGAGTTAAAGTCACTTGCGTGCGGCAGATCAACTTCTTGTGTCGAACCTTGCCAATCATGAAGTTAAATGCTACCTTGGATTATGGAACCAAAGCAGTCTGTGTGAGAGCCAGTAGTGATGACGATGTGGGAAAAGGAAAGAGGTGATGATGTGAAGAAGGCGAGCGCCTTGCAAATGTGTAACGGCGGGACGGCGTAGCGCCACCTCTCAATAGAAGGGGCCTTCTTCCCCTCATGGGGAATGCACTATGATCAACCAAGAGAGGCCTCTAGTCCAGGAACATGAAAGTGTGGATGGAGACTGCCTACCGGGGCACATGCAGCCATCCCGAATTCTCCGCGCTCAGCCATGTTTCCCCACGGTGTGTGGATAAAGGGTGGTCAGTCTTGCCTGCCTTTTGGTGATTGACTAGGACTGGGACTGGGATATTATTCAGTGCCGCTCACTCTTGCCCACCTTGCCCAGATTGGCTCTTTCTTCCTTTCAAGCTGCCCCCTTCCTGCAGTTTGACCAATCCTCAATGTGTTTAGTGAGCAAGAGTCAAATTTCCCCCCTCGTTGCTTCTCTGGCTTCCTGCTACTACTACGTACCCTGGTGCCCCGCTTCTCCACCCGTTCCGATTTAACCTGCCGATACGTACCTTGACCGGTAACCTCTCTGCCCATCGCCGTCCGTTCCTTCTCTTTGGCTTCTGTTGTCCCATGTCTTAGTCGTGTCCATCTTTACCGGTTACAACATACCACCACATAGCCCGCCGGCTCACTCGCCCCAAACAACCTGCACTGGATCCAACGGAGCCCATCTACCAACATTTCCGGTCTTTTCTACAGAGACACTCGGCCCAAGTAGCCTGCCTCAATGGCTGATCTTCCAACCGCCCCCTGCCCTGCCTTGCCCAACTTCTCTCGCCCTGTCCGTCATTACACGCTGGCTGATCGGCCCTTTTTCGTCATGACATACTACATGCAGATTCTGGCCTGGAGGCCCAGTCATGCTTCACCTTTCATATTCGAGAGCTCCTCTACTCCGAACCTTGGGAACTTTTTGTCCTTGCTCCAGTCTCCATTTAACGACAGATGCAGCTGCTTGAACCGCAGTTTATCCAGTCTAGTTTGAAAACAACCGTCAGATCTCGGTCCATCTGACCATCGCTACGCCTGATAATTCCACATTCTCAGTCTCCCGCAGCTCGCCACTCCACATCAATACCGCTCCTTGGCCCACACACGCGTAACCCAGTTCACGCGATACCTCGCCTACTCGGACTTGATAGGATACTTTATTAGCCCAGGTCTTTCTCTGCAAGGTGGCGGGGTAGCATCCGTCTAACGTGCTACCGCACTGCATACGCCCATATAGCTGGACCCATACCTTGCCAGCTTAGAGGCAGGGCAACCTTGTTGCATCATCGGACCGGTTCAAGATCAACAGAGCTTTCCAACTCAGCAAGCTATCCTCACAACGTTGTATACACTCTGGAAAAGGTACGACGTCGTAGAGCAGCTTCCCATACCCCGAGCTATCCCGGGTCCATCATCCCAGTTCCTGTCAACCAACATTAAAGCACCCGCACCCGCACTCGTCTTCGTCCAATCTCCCGGCCAGGGCACCGTGCTTCCTTCCCACGATCACAGCTCGAGTCAGCCTTCGCACTGAGGACGCTGTGTATTCCTGCTTGTCTCCGGCCGCCTTGCATACTGCCTTTTTGTGTCAGTACTATTGAGCGCCGTGTCCCTGGCTGATTCACCCAGCTTGGAGTAACTTAAACTCATCTGTCTCAGGTTCCCCCTTCTCACTGGCTCTTTCGTTCACCACCAACTAAGACGGAAGACGACAACGACTGGAACCACGATGAGGGCACAGGCTGTGGCTGTTGCGCTTCTGGCGGCAACTGACTACGTTTCTGCTGGCATACAGCATGAGAGACGGCTGCAGAAGGTATGTCGCTGCTGCATGGAAACCCAAGGTTTCACGTTGTTGTAATTGGAAAGGCACCACAAATTTTCGGTTGTCCTCACAGTTCACCACTACCTTTCACTACTATTCCAATCTATTTCCCTTCTCATATTGTGTATGATGTGGTCGGTCAGCCATTGTCACCAAAACACAATCCTTCATTACTGTTAAACCCCATCTCGTACCCCCCTCATACCATTCGCAGCACAGCTCACCAAAGCCTCTACCTTTACCCATACACAGCCATGCAACTCCAACTTGTGTTTTCTTTCACGAGGCTAATACAGTGGACAAAGCGCGATCTAGCATATTCGCCTCCAGTCTACCCATCCCCATGGATGGACCCTAATGCTGACGGCTGGGCTGATGCATATGCCAAAGCCAAAGACTTTGTCTCTCAATTGACCCTCCTCGAGAAGGTCAATTTGACCACCGGAGTTGGGTACGTTCCTAGTTTTTCCTCGCCATTAATTGACAAGCTAACATGTCTACAGATGGCAATCAGACTTGTGTGTCGGCAACGTCGGCGCAATCCCCCGGCTTGGTCTGCGCGGTCTTTGCATGCAGGATGGCCCGGTAGGCATCCGCTTTAGCGACTATAACTCTGTCTTTCCCTCGGGTCAGACCGTTGCAGCAACTTGGGATAGATCGCTCGTATACCGCAGAGCCGAGGCCATCGGTGCCGAACAGAGAGCCAAGGGTGTCGACGTCGTGTTGGCTCCCGTCGCCGGTCCTATCGGCCGGGCTCCAGCTGGTGGAAGAAACTGGGAAGGTTTCTCTGTTGACCCTTACCTGACCGGCATCTTCATGGCTGAGAGTGTCAAGGGCATTCAGGATGCTGGTGCCATCGCATGCGCCAAGCATTTCGTTGGAAACGAACAGGAGCACTTCAGACAAGCACCCGAAGCGATTGGCTACGGCTACAACATTACAGAGTCACTATCGTCCAACATTGATGACAAGACCATGCATGAACTTTACATGTGGCCGTTTGCCGACGCCGTCCGCGCCGGTGTTGGTTCAATCATGTGCTCTTACACGCAAGTCAACAACTCCTACGGCTGCCAGAACTCGAAGCTCTTGAACGGCCTTCTCAAGGATGAGTTGGGATTCCAGGGTTTTATTATGTCGGATTGGCAGGCACAGCATGTATGTCATCAAGTTTTCCTGCTCTTCGTTACTGAGATAATGACTGACAATATTACAGGCTGGTGCAAGTGCCGCCGTTGCTGGGTACTTGTTTTCCCCTTTCCAGAATACAACAGTTACTGACACTGTACAGATTGGACATGAGCATGCCGGGTGACACAGTTTTCAACTCTGGCCAGACTTTCTGGGGTACCAACCTAACTATTGCTGTTCTTAACGGCACCGTTCCCGAGTACAGGATCGACGACATGGCCCTGCGTATCATGGCTGCCTTTTTTAAGGTCGGTAATACAGTAGAAGGGCTGCCTGATATCAACTTTTCGTCATGGACTCTGGACACTGTTGGCCCCCTCCAATACTACGCCAAGGAAAACGTCCAGACCATTAACCAGCACGTTGACGTCCGCAAGGGCAAGGAGCACTCCAACTTGATCCGTGAGATTGGCGCCAAGGCTACAGTGCTGCTCAAGAATGAGGGTGCTCTTCCCCTGAAGAAGCCCAAGTTCTTGGCCGTGATTGGAGAGGACGCTGGCCCCAACCCTCGTGGTCCCAACGGCTGCTCTGACCGTGGTTGCAATGATGGTACCCTTGCTGCTGCCTGGGGATCTGGTTCCTCCAACTATCCTTACCTCATCACCCCGGATCAGGCGCTCCAAAAGCGCGCCCTCGAGGACGGCACTCGCTATGAGAGCATTCTCAGCAACTACGAATCAGTCGCCACCACTGCCCTGGTTTCTCAAGCAGACGCCACTACTATCGTTTTTGTCAATGCCAACTCCGGTGAAGGCTACATTAACGTCGGCGGAAATGAGGGTGACCGCCAGAACCTAACTCTCTGGAATTCTGGAGATGAACTAATCAAGAACGTGTCCTCCGTGTCCAACAACACCATTGTTGTCATCCACTCCGTTGGTCCCGTCCTCGTAACTGACTGGTACAACAACCCCAACATCACAGCCATCCTCTGGGCTGGCCTCCCTGGACAAGAATCCGGAAACTCAATCACTGATGTTCTTTACGGCGACGTCAACCCCGGAGGCAAGTCTCCCTTCACTTGGGGCCCAACCCGCGAGAGCTACGGGGCCGACGTTCTATACAAGCCCAACAACGGCGAGGGCGCTCCCCAGGATGACTTTACCGAGGGCGTCTTTATCGATTACCGATACTTTGATCGTGCGACGGCCGGAGGCAGCCAAAACGGAACGTACCAGAACTCTAGCAGTGCTGCTCCCATTTATCCCTTCGGGTTTGGTCTCTCGTACACGAAGTTTGAGTATTCCAACTTGGTCGTCACCGACAGAAATGCTGGAGAATACGCACCGACAACTGGCCAGACGGCGGCCGCTCCTACCTTTGGCAACCACAGCACAAACTTGGCCGATTACGTGTTCCCCGAGAAGGAGGCCCGTTACATTTATAAGTTCATCTACCCGTGGTTGAACGTCTCAGACGCTCGTGAGGCGTCGCAGGATCCTCACTTTGGTCAGACTGCCGAGGAATTCCTGCCACCCAAGGCTTTGGAGAGCGGTCCCCAACCCAAGCATGCCGCCTCTGGTAGTTCGGGTGGAAACCGACAACTTTGGGACGTCCTCTACACCGTAACTGCAACTGTAACCAACAAGGGTGACGTTGCCGGCGATGAAGTTGCGCAATTATACGTGTCGCTCGGCGGCCCTGACGACCCGGTCAAGGTGCTGCGTGGGTTTGAGCGCATTCCTCTTGCTCCTGGAGCATCAGCGACATTCACGGCGGATATTACCAGACGTGATCTCAGCAACTGGGACACTGCGAGCCAGAACTGGGTGATTGGGCAGCATGCGAAGAAGGTGTGGGTGGGAGGCTCTTCGAGAGACCTGCCTCTCAGTGCGTCGCTATAAATTAGCTTATTCCTTTGTGCAGGCTTGACTGGATATTTGGCGGTCCTCGTCGTTAGTATAGTATATAGTTCTACCTTGATGAAAGGTCTTTGATTAATACCGATTATTAGTATATTTATTATTACTTGTGACTGATTTGAGCTCGAATCTTTTGCGTCTCGTGAGTAGGTGCCTCGGGTAATCGGTCTATTCAGCTGAGGCGTTTGCATTTTCATTTGTCCATTTGCTTGATAGAAGAGAAAAAGGACGGAAAGAAATTAAAAAAAAAAAAAAAAACCCAAAAAAAACGATAATTCGCAAGTGATGTAGCTCCAAGTTGGGATTCTGGCAGAGAAATAAAAGTTCAAATCAGGGATGTGGCTGCGACTGACTCGAAAAATAGGGAAGAGTGACGCAACAGGGACCACAAGTCTGCACTCAATGAACACGATGTCCCTTGTACATGAAGAGATGACGACCATGACTTTGAAAGAGAAAAAAAAAAAGCAGAGGAGGTAGTGTAGACTAACCATGGCTAATGCCCGATGAAATCCATCTTGATCACAATTTCGAGTATAATAAGATGCATGAGATAAGAAAAATTCTTCGGGTACTTCGGCCAATTCTAGAAGCAACTGGTGGACCGATCAGTATCCTTAGGTGACTCTACTGGCTTAGATCAGACCGAAATCTGTTTCTGGTCACCGTGCTTTAGACCTGCTCCACTCTGACGACAGCGTGTCCCAGTGGCTCGAGCTTCGGTCTGTGGCCAATGGTGGGTTATGACAAGGAGAACATGAAGCATTTGACAACGCACACTCACAGTTGGAAATACAGGGACCAACCAGCCTAGTTAACGCTTCAATTGCCTGGTTGGTGGACAGACGGACGGGCGGACGTGACGGGGTACATTGGTGCCAAAGTAAAAGTAAAAGTAAAAAAAAAAAAACAGTCTGGAAGCATTGGAACATCCATCAAAGTGGGGTAAAGACCGGCAAACATTACAGAGAGGGGGTCCCTTGGCAAGCGAGCAGGTCTTAACCAGATTAGGGGTTAGTGTATTGATCCGAGGCCGCTTCAGCCTTGGAGCGATCACTGCCCACGGCTCAAGTGTTTGGACTGTTACCTGCTAGGTTCGAATTGTGATCACTGGACAAGTCATTGGGGGGGCGGGAAGTACTTGATGAGTAAGGCAAAGGGAATTGTGGCCGTGTGTTCCTTCCTTGACTTCTTGTTCTTGGTTTTATTTTGGGAGGAGACAGAAAAAAAAACCCAAAAATCAAGGGTCCCGAGCTGCCGAGAATAATTGACAGCAGCCAACAGCGAACAGCAAATAGCCAACGGCAGAGAGGAGGAAGAGAGCACTGGACGCCCCCGCACCTTCCGTCCCGTTTCGTGCATTCGTCCTCTCCAAATTCATTCCCTTGGGTCCTTCTGGCCTTTTTCTTCCTCTTTTTACCTTTCCCGACACCCCCTTACCTATAGCACTACCCCCCCTCTTTGAAGAAGTACCTTAGTTCTGCAATTCGTCGTGCTCAACTGTGTGTGTGTGCCCTGTAGCAACAATTTTCAGCTTCCTCCTTACCTATCCTTTCTTTCTCCTCTCTCCCACACCACACAATCTCTCGCCGTCTCCCTCGGATAACATTCGGCATTCGACGCGACCGCTAAACCCCCCCTCCCCCTCCTAGCTCTCCTCCTTACCAGCCACACATCCAGCCAACCTTAGCCGGTCTAGTACCCTTACACACCCCCTCACCACCGGAGCCGCATATGTACGTTTGTGGCTCGAAAGAGGCAGACGAGGGGACCATACAGCAAACAACAAAGTACGCTTCCTCCACGGCCCAACTGCCCACCTCGCTTTTCAAAGCCCGCCTGCGACCCGGCCATCGGGATTCCGAACAACCACCAGATAACTACATCAGTACCGAACGACATCCGCATTCAGATCCCGTTCAATCCCACCTACCGCCTCCGACCGCACCCGTTGCCCCGATCCCGTGAACCGCGACGGACGGGCCTGGAAGGGGGTTCCACCTTTTGCGCCTGTCCCCATTCTCATGAGAGTTTGCCGGCGCAGCGCAGACCTTCACCTCAACCCGCTACCGCGTGCGCTCCAGCCCGCTCCCGCATCTGATGCAAGTGTGACGGAGCAAGTAACCTCTCATCATGCCTGAGTCGCAGACGACCCCGGATCAGGTCTCAATCGACGACCTGACTCCCGAGGAGGCCAACCGCATCATCCATTCTCATCGCAAGGTCCGCTATGGTGAGTAACACCCAGCAATCATGAGTGACCCCCCCACCCGCGCCGTCATTGCCTTTGCTGGCTACATATATGCGCTTGTCTTTGCCCTCGAGATGTCTTTTCACCAGAAGCTCCGCTCCCTCAAGCGCGTCTGTCATCGTTGCCGCTGATCCCGAGCTTCATGAATTACTCATCCGCCCTCATCGTCATACACCTCGGCGACTCAAAATCTGACATTTACTTAGGCACCGCCTGCTGGCCATGTCGCCAGCGCAAGGTGAAATGCGACAACAAGCAGCCCTGCGAAAACTGCGTCAAACGTGAACACCCACAGCTGTGCTCTTACAAACCAAACCGCACCGCCTCCCACAGTAACGCCCACAAACCCGCCGCCTCCGTCACCACCGACGGCGGCAGCGTCCAGAGCGGAAACGCCACCGCCGTGACGTCCGCCAACGCCAACAGCCGCAAGAGGCCTCACTCACCCGAAGGGCCTGCCGCCGATATCGCCGCCGGCGCTCCTCCACTGAAGCAGGAAGCCGTCAGCACGAACTGGCCGCGTACGGCCATCGGTAAGTCCTCTGCCTCCGCCTCCGCCTCAGCACCGTCTGCTTTAAACCCTGGTGGCTTGGGACCTACGCCGTCGTTCTCCTTCTTGGGCAGCGGTTCATATACTAATCCAACGTCCTCTTCGGGCGGACCAGTCGCGGCAGCCGTGGATGAGACCGAGGCCCCCGAGGCCGTAACGCGCTACCTCGGCCAAAACAGTATTCCGTCGCTGCTGCGCGAGCAGTCTGCGGCCAACGAGCTCCAGGAGGGCGTCGACATACGGCAGGACATGAGGTCTATCCTCGGCCTCGACACGTCGGCGCCCTTCCCGCTCATGTCCTCGAAGCACCTCGACAGCTTAACGAGAGAGATTTCTGCGGAGCTGCCGTCAGATCGTGAAGTCATGAAGTAAGCTCATGCCCCAACTTTCTTCCCAACGACATGTATTGATCACTACTAGACTATTCCGTACCTATAAAGAAACGCCGCAGCAATTCTGGGGTTTCGTCGTTGACATTGACGACCTCGAGTCCAAGCTCATGGTGTACCTCGAAGATAGAGCCCGCAACGCGAGCAACGCGACGAGGACGCCGAAGCCCGTATCTGCGTCCTGGCTCGCCATTCTCTTTGCCCTTTTGGCCGTGGGCTCTCAGTACCATGACTCCCCGTATCACATCCGCACGCGAGACTCTCAAAAATACATTCAAATCTCGTTCCATTTTCTGAGGCTAGGAAATTTCCTACTTAGGTTAGTCATTCGTCCCACGGCTGATCAGCAACCCCATCAAAATTAAAGGCCGTCTGCTAACGTCGGGCCTAAAATTTGTCAGACCCACATTCGACTCCATCCAGGCTCTATTACTAACCAGCTTTGTCTTGCTCAATGACATGAAGGCAGAGGCATCATGGGCTCTGCTCGGTTTAACATGTAGGCTTGCCCAGTCCCTCGGCCTTCACCGACCAAACCCGTCAGACGGCAGAGACAGCGCCCGTAACGATGGACAGTCCAAGGAGATGATCCGCCGTAAGCTGTGGTGGACCTGCGTGTGGCACGACACCTTGACGTCGCTGTCCTTTGACCGTCCACCCATGACCAACATTCCCTGCTGTCCCATCCCGACGGTTCAGCACACCATCGCCGGCGAGTACGGCTACCTCGATACCATGTACCATCTCTGCGAGATCATCTCGCGCCGTCTCAACCCAGACGTGGCTACAACCGTGTCCTACGAACAAATGGTCGAGAACTGCGAAGCCGTCGAGAACCTCCGCAACATGGTCGCCCCCAACATCCGCATCAAGGAGCAGTGTAAGACGGCCATCGACCGCCTACAGCACTACGCCGTCCGTCTGCACACTTCCTTCGTCATCTCCGTCTGTTGTCGTCCCGCGCTGCGTAGGGACTGCACCAAGCTCACCCCTGACCAAAAACGCCACCTGTCCGACAAGTGCCAGCACAACCTCGCCGAGACGGTCCGCATGTTCCTCGCCATGCATCAGCTCTCCGTCATTCCCACCCGCAGCTGGGCCTTCACCTACCATGGTCTATCGTCCGCGCTGCTCCTCGGTATCTTGGGCGAGACCAAGAATAGCCCCGAGGTGCGCCAACTGCAGGGCGACCTTATCGCGGCGTTGTCTGCGACAGCCGCGAAGGAAGCTACCTCGCCGTCGGTGCACATTCCCAAGACGGACAAGGATATTGAGCTGTCAGGTCCATTGTGGAGGGCGTTGACTGCTCTCCGCAACATCTATGAGCATGGCACAATCATGGGAACCTCGCAAAAGAAGGATACGGACTCAAGTGGCTCAGGAAGCGGAGCGCGGACGCCGCTGCCACCTATGCTAATGGGCCCGATGGCCAGCGGTGCCAATGGCAACAGCAACAACGTCAACAAGGCGTTTGGCATGGATCCTCACCAAGATGCCGCCTTGGCCATGGCCGAAATGCAGAACGGTACCACCCTACCAGACTATAACCCCAAGTACGTCATCCTTCCCTCGGATAAAAGTACGCTTGCTAACCAGAACAGCTTGTCATATCCCCCTGTAAGCATGGAAAACATTGCCAACCTAGACCCTTCAACGTACATGTCGCCAATGGATCTATACGAATCAATATGGTGGGGTACGTATCCCTCTCTCCCTCGGCTCTGACTGTTAGCGATGACTGACCGGCCACAGAATCTCCCGATCCGTGGAACAGCGGTGTCGACACGATGAACTTTGACTTCGTCGCCCAGCCCCCGCCAGGTCAACCTCAACAACAATACTACTTTTAAGGACGTGCCCGTCCGAACGACTGCGACACCAGAGGCAACAACGAGAACCGAAAAGGACGTATTCATTATGGGAATCACATACTTGACGCAGTATCAAAGGAGAACCGAAGGCGCTTTTATTTGAAAGGGATTATTCGCATTTTGGGGGAAAGCAAAGGAAAGAGGGTGAGGGCGGTTGAACTTTTTTTTTGGGGGGGTCTTTCGAGACACACTTTTTATCAAGTCATATTAACCCATTTCATCCACTGCCACATGCTTCCATCAGGGGTCAAGGGGGCGTTTGTTACTATCATTGTTGAGGTGGTTGTATCTTTCTTTTTTTTCCCCTTCCCTTTCCCGATTGACGCGTTACGATTGACGGGGATTATGTTTCATTTTTAATGCTACATACTTTCTCTTGTTTTATTTTCTTGTCCATCTCTCCTGCCCTTCCATTGTCTTGTGTCAACCTGCCTGCCCCCGTTGAGCAGAGGGGGGGTTTCAGGGTCTTGGGTCTTCATGGTTGTAGTATAAGATGTTGACTTACCGTTAGCGTAAAAACGGAAGATGATTATTTCATGGTTACTGGACGTCTGCTTTTCGATGTGTGATTAGATTGGGGGTTTGCGTGGTGTGAGAATTGTGAGTGGATGAGATGCTACAGGACCATCGCGAGCGTAGCAATTGCAACATGATAACCAACTCAATGCGACATCGCCGCGTCGGTTAGGCATAGTAGTCCGACGCCTGAACTTCTGTAGAAGAAGACGTCACAACACAAATGCTTCAGAACCGGAAGCAGTCGCAGAACCATTAGGCGAGGGCCGTTGCCGACGTCGGTGTTGTCTTTGCGTCGGCGGTGACTGGGGGACGGTGACCTGCTGAATGACGGTGGCAAACGGCGGGGTCCGGCGATTCGTAGAGCTTACCAGGTTGTTACCGCAGACTGCTTCTGCGTCGAACGCGAACGGGTTTATTTCAGCCCTCCGCATCCGGTATCCTAGGCTCTGCCGGATTGAATCTGGATGGTGGAGTAAGTTGAGGTCTTGTATGAAACTACTAGGTAGGAGACTTACTGATCAAGACGGAGCGGTCGCAATTGTTGGCCATGCAACAAAAGTACCGCAAGGGATGGATACCTTTGCTGGGTGTATGAATTCTTGGTCTTTCGTGCAGGAGCCGCTTGGGGAACTGTCGAAAAGCAATTGTTCTGAGGGAGAAGTCAGTTGAATGAGAGTATATCCGGACAGTAGCCATACCGTGGCAAGTGTGGGGCCTTTATCTCGTAGATGATAACGTAAGTCGGTTGTCCGTAGAAGCTGACGAAGACGTAGCTAGGGTGTTTTAGAGCTGCGAGGAAGGATTATTTACAGACGGCAACAAGGCAATGGCGTGTTGATATCTCGCCCAGGTTGTTGAGACATTCAAAAGCAGATTGTGGCGGCCTTCCCCTCAAGCTGCAATAACGTATACCCAAATGCCTGTGACGAATGATAGCTGGGTATTCATTCCTGTGCTGTTTTTTGTGGAGGTGCAGTTCCACCGGAGACTGGCATCACGGCCATGGTGTAAGTAACACAGAGGGACACTCTATCAGCTGTTCAACACGTTGATTTACATCAAACCTAGGTATCAATGTACAACTACCCCAGTGTCGTCATATTTGCCTCGAACTGTTACTTCACGCCAAGTGTTATCTCTCCATTGGAGATGTCTACAAGCCATTGATACAATGGACTCAATGTATTCATTGCCTAGAAATAGACTTGAGGTTAATACCCCATGACAAAGACCCCTACGGTACGAACATCATTGCTTGTACCAAGCTCCCTACGTTGTATGCTTAGCAACTTCAACAGATACATTCATGATCGCTACAAACTAGATAGCTAATGCCGAGATTTCAACGTGATATCCCCTCCCGGTAGCTCAACTTCCTCATGGGTATGCCCCGGAATAAGGGGTGTAAGCCTGTCCGTAAAGCGCAGCTTTCTGAGCGTCCATGATCGCTCTGCTATTCGCCCTACAGTCCGTCAGCCTCTCCCGGCCTCAAAAGCAGTAATATGGGCCAACTTACAGCGCCTCCTTCGTTTGACAGCGTGCATTCTTACAGCTGTCTGTGTAACCCAAAGGTTTCATCTCGGACACTTCGTGTGTTTTGATCTTGTTGCAATTTTTCCGACCACATTCGTCCTTCCAGTACGTGGTTGGAAGATTGGCGTGGCAGTTTATGCAGGTCCATTTGATCCAGTGCTTGTCACACATTATCGTTTTTTTTTTGTAATATACACGTAATAATGGAATTGGTGATGGGACCAGTGGCGAAAAGGGAGGTTGTGAGTTGTATGGAAATGGGTTACCAGATTTTATAGTTATTTATGGAGGGCGATAAAAGTGAAGCGTGCGCAACGAAAGTACGGTTAATCTTGCGGACGAATGCGCCTAACCTGCACTTTTTCCATTTCCAAGCGCTGATATCCCATGCTCTTGAAACTAAAACCGTTGAATTATTGGTTGCCTTGTGTTGTCTCGTTACGCCTCACTTCCGCCTTTCTGCCTGCCCCTGCGCCTCACTGCTGCCCGCGCCTCCCCCCAGTTTCCTTATTTGTCTTTCCAGGGCAATAGGATTTGATGTGTTCGACACTGGTTGGTCACTAGAACAGACCGATTTACCTAGTAACTGAAATGTACATTGATGATTTAATCCAATTCGCATTCACTTGATCCTGCTAGGCGGCTTGCAGGCACATCTTGTGATTCAATCGCCACCAGTCTGACAGCCTTATTCCGGACCAATCCGATCATGTAACTTTCGTCGCGTCTCTAGCAACCTTCATCACCAATCTAAGTCTTATAGCCATAGAAATCTGCTTCCTCAAGTTTATAGGTGCTCTGTCGACATTTGGCTGACCTCTTTTAATCCAACACGAGATGCAGTTGCGGATAAGTCGGTTTGAACGACCAATAATTCAAGATCTAAGCCGTGGATATCGACACCCCTAAACCAAGCAGATGACTGAGAAAGTCTGCTATCCGCAGAAACAAAGCAACAAAATCTTTTTGGCTCATCTCGTTATTTGAGTTAATTAAAGTAGATCGCAGCCTTATTCACAGGTTACCATTGTGTAGCTGAGTGGTCTGAGTGCTTGTTCATAACTAACAATCTACTGTCATTCCTGCGCGTGTACGACGGCTTGATTATCATGATTCATTAGAAGAGACTCCCCAGGTGGTTTCTTCCACTTATCCAGATTTATCCCAGCAGCTAGCAAGTGCCTCAGGGTCAAACGCTCCATCAGCACAATTCGTGTATTCGTCATCGTACCAGTCATCATCATCATCATAGTACCCGAAAAAATCCCTCTCTCTAGCATCCATTGCCTCTTCTTCCAACAGTTCGAGTGCCTCATCGATTGTCAATACATTCCCTGCACCCCACGGCCCGAACCTCTTTGTAGGCGACTGAGGTTGGTAGGTGGGTGAGTGAGCCTCATGAACTCGGTGGGAACTTTCGTCCATTGCCTTTCCCAGCCATACGGGCTCAATGCGCTTCAGATACAAGCTGTGAAGAGCAGGCAGATGGACAACGTCATTGACGCAATATTGAACCGTTTCCGTGTCAAGTGGTCGAATAGCAAAAATATCAGCCGACATCTGACTCCGTACGTCCTTCTTGATCCGAACCCACCGGTTGCGCTCCATAAAGCCGAGGCTCAAGTCGCTCTCTACAGACTTTTCTAGTCCTTGGAGATACTCCTTGCTACCCCGTCGAGACCCGTTTTCGAGCAGTTGGATATCGATGACGCCGGCAAGGTCCACTTTGTAGAGCGCCCAAAGAGCGTCGGCGTCATTCCTGACGTCCCAGAAGCATTTCTTAACTTTGGAATCTTCGAATATGGCTTTGAAACTTTTCCCATTTTCTGCGGCTGTAGTAAAGGCAGCATTCCCGAGTTGCAAAATGTCAATGAGCCCGACTGTCATCCGTGGGTACACAAGGACTGTTTCCAGGGAGATTTTGCCATATCTTCCAAGATTGTGTCCTTCAAGATCTACATAGAGAGTACTTGAAGGAGGGATGGAAGAGATGAATGCTTTCAGCTCTGGGACTGAAGAGATAATACTAGTCTTTGTAGCAGAGGTACTCATGTCAAACTGAGTGATTTTTCTCCATAAGAGGTAACTGTGGTATGTGAGATGGCAGGAAGCTTTATCAAGAGTTTTTTTCCCCCGCACTTCACTTATATACGCAAAGTTATCATCACATGCAACCAACGGGACGTCTCGTAATGCATGCTTGATGCAAGAATCGGTGTAAACGATGTTTTTACACTTTGTGTGTTCATTTTGTTACCGTGAAAGTTGTTAAATTGTAGGGGCATTCTACCAATCGAATGGAAAACGGCTCGCAGCTTGCATATTTGGGCCCAGTTCAGTAGTTCGACATGTTGGATATAGCCTCTGACATTGGATGTGTTCTCTGGATTAAGTGAGGAATTTCAATAATCATCAACACAATGACATCAATTGATGTTACCTGCGTGGAAGTGGGCTCGTGTATCGCCTAAGGGAAGGCTCAGCAGGCACACGTTACACACTTCACAGCCATATTAAGCCCCTTGCGTTGTAACAACTGTTCATCTTCCAATCATAATACCCACGCGGGGAAAAGTTTTCCCTGTTGTCGTCGTCCTTCGACATACCTTAGACCTACCCCAACAACTCTGAAGCACACCCATATCCAGCGCTGCATGCTGCCTCAACATTTTCATCTCTACATGATATTGACCAACACGTTCTCTCACAGTGAAGGAACGATGGTGCCAAGGTTCTTTACCTGCTCTATGTGCGAAAGGCCAAGCGCTCGCGCGGTTGGAGCGGGCTGTGATATGTGTACTAGTTACTTCTGCGAGATTCACATGTCACCGGCTTTTCACAAATGCAGCAATGAGGTAAGTGGCACCTAGTCATAGGTATATCCACCCCTACATAGTACAACTTATACTAAACATGACTTTGTATCAAGAGTTTGGATGATCCAACGTACGAAGCCCTCGTTGTGGACGAAATAAAGCGTCTTCGTGCTCAAATCAATGAGGAGGCAGTCTGCAAACTCGCCTCCAGCCTCAATGGCGGCAAAAATTGCGTCGTCGAATACCCTCAGAAGGCTGTTGGTTTGGGTGCTCTTACAGGATGCGCGAACTACCACGTCCGCATCCGGTTCGAAAAAGATTCCACCTCCTGGCTCATGAGAATTCCTCGGATTTCTGGATTTGCTGTTGGGCTCCCTGTTTCTCTCGCAGAATACCTGATCCGGAGCGAGTATGCAACCTTGAAGTTCTTGGAGAATACGGCAGTGCCGGCGCCGCGACCCTACTCATTTGGCATCCCGTCTCAAGGTACCGATCATGGAATTGGAGTCTGCTTTCTAATTATGGAAGAATTGCCAGGAAAACCGTGGGACGGTCGAGGGGACACTTTGAAAATCTGGAAGGGACTCGCTGAGATCTTTGGAGAGTTGAACAGACATTCATTCGACAAAATAGGATCACTATATGTTGATTCTCCTGAGGAAGAACCCATAGTCTCAGCCATAGCCAGCGACAGATTTGTATGTCTCTACCCTTACGGGCCGTTCGAGACTTCGGCAACGTATTACGCTGCCTGGGCTGAGCAGCACCTTCTACTGATCGCGGACGGCCAGCTCTATCCTCAGTTTTCTATCAGAGCCTACTTGGTATATCGCTTCCTCCAAGAAAATGCGACTCAGTTGTCTGATACTGAAGATCGATTCTTCCTAAGACATGTTGATGACAAGGGTGACCATTTGCTAGTGGATGAGGACTCAAGTATCACTGGAATCATTGACTGGCAAATGGCTCGCATCGTTCCACGAAGAGAGGCGTTCGCGCCATCACTTGTGTCTGCCGATATGAGCGCCCTTTGCAATGGTGTTGTCTCACTCAGTGCGGCAGATGTTGCATTAAGAGATTCAATGCTCGAGAAGGCAGTGGATATGGCAGGCTTTACGGAAGATGAGAAAATACGAAGATTCTTTTGGGGATTGGGACTTGAATCCAACTGGGCCTACGCGTTACCATTGGCAAATGCAATCCTACAAGTCTTTGGGGTTAAGCAAGACTGGAATGAATGGGAGAAGACAGCGCTGGAGCGCTATGAGGATGATGAACGATTGAATGCTATTGTAAAAAAGGTTTCCTAGGGACAAAACCCAGCACCTCAGAAATTAGTCTGGGAAAGGCTCTTGGCCCCTTACACAAAGCGTCCCAGTATGTTTGAAGTCGCTGTTTGTCTACCTCATACACTTTGACGGTACACCGATCATCATCAGTGCGGAACCTTGAACTCGTGCGAACGGTCTTCTGCTTTACCATTTCCGTCTGATTGTCAAAACACGGGGTGGGTCCATGAAAGATGAGGTATAATGGCTAAATAGTAGTTTAGCCATGGTCCGTACGAGTCTTCGTTTTGAAAGCAGTTTATCATATATATGCAGTTTTGGTGGCTTTTACGACAACTCCCTCTACAAGAGACGACTTTCAAAACCATGGAGCATGTTTTCAGTAGCGAAGGGCAATGAAACCGAAAGATGGAGGTGCAAGAAAAAAAGAATTCTCGAGTCTTAGTGTTACGCTGAATCCATCTAAATAGTCTCAAGTTCTAAGTACAAGCTGAATGATTGCTCAAGCCGGAACCCGATTGCCTCGCAGTGCCACCAGACGCGGGTATAACGCAGGATCTAGCTGTGTTTCTAGACCAACTGGCGAAGGGATAGCGTTCAACTCACTATGCCTTAGTGCTTTTTTGTACAAGTCCTTGATGTTACCCCTAACACGTTTTAGGTTGTCCTGATCTCTCACATCATCGCCGAACTTGCAAACATTGGTGTGATCACTATCGAGCTTCACGATGTTCTCTCGATCGCCCGGTAAACCCAGCCGAGCACTCTCCCTGGAGACAATCTGCACTATGCGTCAACATGGTCGGTGCACTTTGGATCACTGGCAAAAGCGCGACTTACATCGTCGTAGGCACCCCAAAATGAGATGATGTCATAAAGCAAAAGCTGGTGCCGCCAGTACTCCTGCATAATATCTGAGAAAATGCTTCCCTGCTTTGTTGTCTCCATCATGTCGTCGCTCTTCTGGAGTCCCGCTTTCGAAGCAATCTTGAGGAGTTTCCAGTCGCCACCGTGGTGAGGCGTCGCAAAGAATGCCAATCCACTCGTGGCGTCTTTGATCGGTGTGTATCTGGGATTGTTATGCGCATTGATCAATGCCAGCTTGATGAGAAGTCCGCCCGTGCTGTGACCCAAGAATAGTATTGGTCTTGTCGTATCAGCATTCCCTCTCGCTATCCGCACATCCTCAAGCAGCTCATTGGCTTTGTCGATGAATGTGCTTCGATCCCTGCCGTACACAGGACTGGAGTTATACTGATAGAGAAGTATTCTCGCGCCAGGGACATGCTTGGGAAGGTCGTCGCGAAGCCAAAGACGTCCTGTAGGACCGGAAGGCGCACACCAAGTGTCCCAGGCGTGGTCTGCGTCACTCTTGCCCCAGGGGTTCAGGCCGGGTATCGCGATGATACTACATCAGTTAGTCAAAATGGCGAGAAAGATCTGGTGACATACTCAATCTTGGTTTCTCCTCCTTTATTGATGTTGGTGTCAGGCGATAGTTGACGTAACGGCTATTCGAGGTGTCAGTAGAAGTTGTAGCTGCAAGCAAGTAGGCGTACCATATTGGTGCTCTGCTGGACGATTTCTTGTGCGATGTACTGCGTTGAAGGCTTGTTTTCTTCCTGCAGTCTCAACCAAGAGGGAAAAGCCTAAGGTGGTCTATCGGTGCAGTATTATACATAGCGAGGAGCGGATGTCTGGCCTTCATAGCCGCCAGCCTGGCTAAACAGCGCGTCGCTAGCGAATCATCATCACGACAGGGATTGTCAAGTCCCCAGTACCAACACTGGCGGCAAGAGCACATCAAGGATGTTTATTTTTATAGAAAAATTTTGAGTTGGCAGTTTAGTTTACTGATTGAGACAGGATTTAATATTTGGAATGGCTTTTTGTTGTGTTGTCATTCTGAAGTTTTACTACAAATCGCTGGTAAAGTAGATACGTTGGGACTTCTTGCGGCCTTCGGTAGCAGATTTCTTGGGACGACTTTTGATCCACCATGTGGTTATTGTTATTACACGTTTCCAAGAAGGCGTGCTTAAACTTGTGTCGGAAAGGTACATGCCCACTGAATGGGAGGCTGTTGAAATGAAATCGTGGGACAATAGCTTTGCTGGAGATGAACGCATTTGTAAGCCTTTCTGACCTTCGCACTACGACAGAAAAGAAAATCGAACGTGATTTTAGTCGGAACTGCCCATATTATGACGAATCAATGAAAGAGATATCACCAGCATGTACTCAATATAAGCGCAAGTCAGTGACAGACTCACAGATACTCCCACGGCACCGCATTGTTTCCCCATAAAATAAAGGTGCAGTACCTGGCAACCCGACCAGTCACTCTCAGTTGCATTCGAGGTGGGATTTGGGGCTACCACTTGAGAAACCATCGGGAAAATATTCCTTATAACTGCACTCTAACCATGAACAGCCGCTTTGAACCTGCTCAGATGCTCCCTCTTGGAATCACGCAGTCACGAACATCATGCCAGTATGCGACAACCCCAATGACATACGAGTCTGTACCCACATAAGATCAGCTGCCGTAGAGTGCGGACTAGGCTCTCTTCGCCCGGCATTGTACTTTGATGACTTGAAACGCCGGGCCCATCATACTCGACTTAATTATCTAGACATTGTGTTTCTTTTAGGCCGAGGGCAAGTTGATACCAATTAGGCGAAGACCGGAAAAGAAAAATTGTCAGTTAGGCATTACAGCAGTAGGGTTGCTGTTCTAATAGCTCGGGCAATGTGCCTTGCAAATTCATCTCAAAGGACCTCTGTCGCTGCCACTTTCGTGTTACTTCCGCGGCCAGCCGAGTATCTTCTAATAAATGACCATTCCCTTCTCCTCGTGTCGAGTAAACCGCCTCCGATAGGTTTCCTCTGGCCGCAACCCAACTATTCAGAGGCTCGTATTGAAACTGATGACGCGTAGCGTCATTTATGTCGTCGTGCCGTTTGCCGGGGCGAACCCTCGGGTGCCGGGGACCCACCTCACATCGGCCGCTACCACGGCATGGCTTTCCGTTAGATATACGATGATTACGCAAGAGAGACAAGAGAAAAAAAAAAAAAAAAAAAGGGCCGGGATGCGGGTGCCGCGGAACAACGGCTTATCGCAAACTCAAATGCTCCGCCCCCGTGGCTTGGAACCTTAACAACGGCAGAACAGATCTCCTCCGATACGGGTCTAGGCTTGACAGCGCAAAATGTTGGCGACTGGGATGGACCCTTTAAACGCAATTTCAAACCCTTACGCTACTTGTAACAGGGTATGGTATAGCAGGGCAATCCAAAACCCTAGAAACGCCACATAGTTACGATGTTGGATGTTGAGGATGATGTAGCGACTGAGTTGCATGGGCTTCCCATGAGCTTTGAGAAGCATAGCATAGGTAGAAAAATTCTGTGTGGCGGCCGGCCAGATCACCCAGCGCGAGGAAAAGGCGAAATTACCAGCAGTGATATCCGCATCGTGGCCGTAAAAGTTGAGTTGAACAGCATAACCATTGTGAAACGGTTTGCAGCCTGCCCAAAATGCTTGCACTAAAGGGAAAAGGACTTAAGCTACTGGCAAGATAGCTTAATGATGGGACGATGAGAATAACCTTGAATAGGCTTTTTCCCCCTTTCCTTTGTGCTTTTTCTCTAATTACCTATGAACAATATCTTGCATGCACTTGCTAACCGACATCTTGGGCCAGAGGGGTTAATATGGTGTAAATAGGATGAAGGTTGGCTCAGAGATGTGGCACGGGGCTGATTGATTGCCGTGCCACTGACATGCACGTGCCGGAGAGAAGCACCGGGCCCCATCTGGGCGCTGCGAATGACGTCTGAGCCAACCAGTGGCTGGCCCGAACAGAGGCAGACGCATCTTCAAAGGTTGCATGTTCCAGCCACATTCGGGGTAGGCAGGTTCACCACATGGCTGAGCGGTTATCTGTGCCGATTTTTTTCGAACGACAACAAGCGAGAGACTACCTTATGCTGCCCTCATCTGCGGAGCCGTTGTTGTCCCCCAGACTCAGAGGCCACGACCCCGAGAGCCAAGAGATGGCGAGTCAAGCAAATGATCGGGTGTGTGGGGGAGGAGCACGAATTGCGTGTTTGCATTCGCAGCTTGTACGCGTCAAGCTTTTTCCTATCCATGAAGGAGGAACGGACTGGGCAAGACGACAGCAAGCCAACCAGCCAGATGCGCAGGTTGAATATCGGAAGGGTACTATTTCTATTGCAGGCTGCAGGGAAGGGATTTCCTTGGGAAGATTTAGGTAGCGAGGATCGCTATGGGCTCCCGCGTATAGTCTCGCAAAGCCGTGGGGACATTGGCCACTTGTGCTGGTGGGTTGGTGTGGATGCTGACATCCCATTTGCTCGTGAGCCTTGTTGATGGGAAGCTTGACATGCAAAATGCCAGGATCTCGATCCGTAGGACTCCATTTTCTTTCGAACGGCAAGGCTTGTCTTCTAGTACTAACTTAGTGTAACGTCCCTTGGCTTTTTGGCTGTGCCAGCGGAAGTGGTCTTCTCGCGGGCCAAAAGGCTGGACGTGGATTTCCCAAGCTGGGGGAAAGCAAATGGGTTTCAACATGAGCGCAAGGTGCCTGAGGGCCGACAACTTGCAACGCCAAGACGGTTGGATGCCGGCCAGAAACAAATCGCTCCTGTCGTCAGAAAGGCAGTCTGACAGCCGGTCCTGTGTAGCCGCCTGCTCAGCAGGGAAGGTCGTTCCAGTAATGAGATTCGCACCGGGCAAGGCTGCATCTACCGTTGGGAAAGGAGTGAAAACGGAAGTGAACAAGCCCATAATCCTTGTAAAGGAGAGGAAGAAGGATGTGTGGGTGGCCTGGAGTGCGGGGCGGAGGGTTCTATGCAAGCCTCAACCAGTAAGTGACCTCGTGTGGCTAGAGTGAGATTCCAGGGGAGGGGAAACAGGTCGCGTGCCGAGTGCAGACCCACTATTGCTCGGATAGAAGCATCTATAACTGGCCAGTTTCTCGGGTCGTCAGTGAAAACGGTTCCGCAACTCAATACGACTTGAGCTCGCAGGTAGGTAGTGCTGCTGGCTGAAGGCGGGCTTTTCAGTAAGTTAGTCTGCCTCATCCCCCCTGCAGAAGGGCAACAGCAGGCACACCGGGCTGACAGTGGATGCCATTTTATTGCATACCATCTTGGTCGCCTGTTGGGGTTTACTTGACAACTTAACGATCGGCAAGAGTTGCTCTTCATGGCTTGGCTAAGGTTATGACCAGCTGTTCCAATGTGCGACGGGCGGTGTACGGGACGAGACTTCAGAGCCGTTAGTAGCCTAGCTTGCACCTAATTCCTGCCATCACAACACATCACAGATGTTTGTCTGTCAGTTGACGACGCGGATCTTTGAAATGGTGGCCGTCGATTGTCGATTGTCACCGTGCCGAGAAAAGGCGATGGCGCAAAGAGCCTTCTTTCTGTACAGCTCCCAGCTGAAAAGGAGACCTTGAAAATAGGAATTGGACGGCCAGGATGTCGCCGTCAGATTCTTCTTGGCGCGCCCGGCAACAACATCAAATTTTCAAAGCCAAGCGTGTAGGAAGCGAGAGTCCCACCGGGCTTGAGGACCTCTTCGATACCACTGGCCCTGAACTGTTACAGCTAGTAGTTTGCAGGCTTCGGGGCAAAAACCGGCCTAGGTACTATGTTTGGTTTCCGACTCGGGTGTTAAATTGGCTGGCCCGGTTCGATATGCAGAGTGATATCATCGCTCTGCGCCGCTTATAGTGTTCTGTCCTAACCCAAAACAATGTAAGCGCTCGTCCGTTTTGATAACGGAGTGAGCAGCACTGAAGTACAGAAGGGATGGATGCAAATGAGAAGATTTGGGGTGCCGATGGCGGCGAAGCTGTTGGGTGTATGGGGCAAGAGCGAGCAACCCCAGACAAGGCTGGCTGAGGGAAACAAATAACCATGTAGTATCCGGAAGTGTAGCTGCAGCATCTGACAGCTCAATTGCAGTACATGTATGGTGTGAATGTCGAAGACATCGGATTTCGGGTTCCGGGTTCCGGAGGTGGCCGCAGAGGCTGACTGGGGGGATCAAGCACCGCGCCGGGAGCGGAAGAGAATAAGAACACAGGAACAAGTGAGGAAAGCGAAATGGGATTTTCGATATGAATGTTCTGCAGTACGTATACCTTTTACAGAGGACGATGGTGCCAAACCAGAGGCCTGGGTAAGAAGGCCGCGTGTCCTCCTTTCTGTAAAGCGGGAGGCGTATTTTGGCGCAAATGAAGGAAGGAGGGAGGGAAAAAAAAAGAGTAAAGAAAAAAAAAAGACAATGGAAGGATGAAAACAGGAATCCAGCACTCTGTGGCTTTGATGAGGTGTATTTTTCCATCTTCATCTCCATCGTCATCATTATTGCCGTGGCTGCTCTTTCTTCCATTCCACAGTCATTTTGAACGGCGGTCCTTCCTTCTCTTTTTTATGGATATTGCGATGAGCAAGCAGCATTGACTTGTACTTGCTGTTCAGCTTTATTGTCGCTTCTGGGCAACCCCTCACCTATCTACTTCCCTGCTCTTAAAATGTACCTTCCTTCCACCGCCACGACTCGAGCTAGGGTTGGCAATTATGAGTGCCAGGATAGGAGGGAACGGTGGACAATGGAATTTTTACGGATACTCTGTGCGAATGTCACACTAGTCAAATTTCCCACCTGCTAAGGCGCGGTTTCCCCACATGGTAATCTTCCCCAAACCTGCAGTAAGACCCACCTTTAGTGCCTGAAAAAAAGACAGGTACGGTATGCACCTACCCACCCACCCACAAGCAGAAACACGCTCTTTCCCTTTGCGCGCGAGCGTCTGAGGACCGGACTTCGACTCAACCTGCAGGTTCCGTCTGTCCTGCCTGCCCCCCCCCCATGCTGCTACTACTACTGCGGACACTACCACTGCTGTTCCTACCACTATTACATAGTACCTCTGCTACCACCATTCCACCACTGCCACCGTTAGTGCAAGGTGCGGAGCATTGCGGTGCCTTACCTTTTGCTCATTATCAGTGCCCATTGCAGGCGGTCACAGTGCCCAGACTCCATACCAAGACCCCAAACCAAAGGAGCGACATGACTTATTACCCTTTCGGCTCGCTTGCTAGGAGCCCTTCGGCGTCCCGAGCAGGGATGCAATGCAAAAGAGAAGAAACCCATCGAGTCTTGGCATCACGCCCAGATGCCGCGTGTTCCCACCTTTTCTTCCCTCTACGCCTTTGCGAGTCTCCTCTTACTCAAAGCTTGGGCAAGAAGGATTGGTTCTCCGTCTATGTTTTGTCCTGTGTAAAAAATAATGGCCCATCTGTTAAAATGAATGGCGGAGCCCCCCTCTGCGCCTACCGCTGCCACTATCGTTCTTGCTCCTGCTCTTGCTATTATTGTGACCCTCCTTTCCTCTGATCCCTTTCCCACACACACACCCCCCCCTATCCTACCCGTATTGTCGCATCACCAGCTCCCTCGTCGCAGTTTTCTTCCTTGCTGCTTCGCGAGCCTGCTTTTCTCCTTTTCTCATTCTCTTTCTTTCCTTTTCCTCCCTTTGCCCTCCCTTTTATCTCCTGCCAGCTTTTCTTTTGGGGTTGTTCTCCTTTACTGTCCTCAAAAGTGATTACCTAAACGGTATTGGCATTCTTGGAGGACCTCAGTTGGGGAAAAACGGTAGCACGATAAGCGGCGATAAACTCCGGCGACAAATTCCCCGGTCAACAAGCATCTTTATCGACAACCGGAGTCGGCACACTCGTTGCCAACGTCAGTTTTCGATATCGGGACTTCAGCAGACCCTACAGAGAACAGGCTGCCAGCAAGACCGCTTGAAGGAAATTGGCGACTGGCTTGTCTGCACTTTTGGGGAAAACGGACACATTGCTCTCCGATCCGAGACATTCGATCTTTGTGTCCCTCGCTTCTGAGACGACTCGATAACGCCGCTCTCTCAACATCACGACATAAATATGGCTGATGGAAGGCTTCCCAACGGCCAGCTGCCTCACGGTACGCCGGAAGGCGGCTGGAAAGCAGTGAGGACCTGGAGAACACCAGATTGGGTAGAACCAATTGTAAGGAACCTGAAAGGCACTCGCCGTACATTGTGTACCGGGAACAAGTATCTACAATGATCAGGACACCCAGCTAACACCAGCACTAGCTGATCGTTTCTATCATGGTTACCGCCTTGTGGTTTACTCGCCGAAAGAACTTCTCGATCCTCCGCCGCAACGGTGCCAGCTACGAGCCACTGTTTGACGGAGCGGACTCGCCCCGAATCTCTGACGACTCTTTCGGCAGCCCTATTCGAACAGAACCCCATCCTCCCAAGTATCGCACCATCTTCGGGTGCATTCGTGTCAAGACCCCGAACTCGAGCCGTTTCGCGAAATATGTCCACTCTCGCATCCTGCAAAAGTTCCCCTTCCTCGTCGAAATGTTCTACTGGGCCATCTCCTTCTTCTTCTACCGTATGACCGGAAGCTTGGCCCAGAGCTACTACGGCGGCAGAAAGTCTTTGTGGGAGGTTGCTCAGGGACACGGCCTGTTCTTGCTCGAGACCGAGGCAAAATTTTTTGGTCAGGGGACCATCACCGGCCCGGAGCGCTGGGTGGAGTGGCGCGTATCACACTGGTTCTTGGAGGGTGCCCAGGTTGGAGACTTCCGCGGCATCTGGCTGACAATCCTGAACCGCGGCTACTCCCTGATTCACATTCCCGGCACCGTGGGCTTCATTGGGTACTATTACGCCATGGCGCCCACTCACGCCCGGTTCTGCACTGTTCGCCGCACCATGACCCTGTTGAACATGTTTGCCTTCATCATCTTCATCTTCTATCCCACGGCGCCCCCGCGTCTGATGCCTTCTGAGTATGGCTTTGTGGATACCGTGAACCTGGAGAACGCCGAGAGTGTCTGGATGAGTGGAAAGTTCGTAAACAAGCTGGCCGCGATGCCTAGCATGCACTTCGGATATGCTTTCGCCATTGGATGCGTTTTTATTGCTGACTCGGCCATCCTTAACCTGCTTTTCGGCCGCCTGCGCAACTACCTCTTGAAAGACGACTTGGACAAGTCTCTGGACATCGACGATGTGGAGCTGAAGGAGGTTCAGGAGAACCGCAAACGCTGGAAGAGCTGGTTCATGTTCGCTTTCGGTGTCTGGTATCCCAGCTGGATCCTCCTTACCATTGTCGGAACGGCCAACCACTACCTCCTGGACGCTGTTGTTGCTACTTTTTGCGCGCTGATGGCTTACCTCTGCAACCGTGCCTTGCTAGTATTCCTCCCGGCCGAGGACATGCTGCTTTGGGCTTGGAGACTTGAGAAGCCCGTTCCCACGACAGGTCGCATGAAGAACATTACCGTGCGGTAACTGATACTACCGAAAAAAGACGGAGACGGTGAATGAGATATGTGGAAGAAATATTCCCCTGCTTGTCTGTTCAAAGCATTGTAGAGGCGTTGGGAAATGATAAATGGCCTCGATTTACCTTTTTTTCGTACCTACGGCCAACATTGGGTAAAGATGTATAAGCCCTTTCATAATGAGAACCTTTGTTAATAAATCATGAGAAATTTGAGAACAATAATTGACTGAGACGAAACCGCGTAAAACCATGTGGCCCCGGGGTCCTTTTTAAAACATTGTCCTTGATCGTCCGGCACTGGCAGCATTTCGCTCGTATTTGGTGGGGCCAGTTGACTGCGCCTAAACGAACACTTTCACAAACCTTCAACTAAAAATAAAGGCACCCAATATAAGTATGATTGGACACTTGCCTTTCTGACCAGCTGATTGGCAGGCCGAGATATCCGTGGTCCGTGACGCCGCCAATGATGACCGTAAAACCCGGGGGCCGACTTTGCCGGTAGCCGACACCCTCCGTCCTCAAGGTGATAGGGATTGTCTGCGGTCTTGCAGATTTTCATATATAACAGGCGGCCTCGCAGGATTTCAATTAGAGACTGTGGAGACTGGGTCGATCCCAATCGGGGGCCGATTTGGTTTTCGGACGGTTTGGCGGTCGAGGTCTCATTGAAGCTGGCCGCGGGCGCCGTCGATGCTAGATGTTTACTGATCAGTGAATAGGTACTGATGGGGAGATGTTACGAAAATACGCTGCCCCTGCCCGGGTCTAACTATGATGGTAAACGCGGGCTCGTTTCTGAATACGGTATGCCTGCGTCCCATCACATTAGTGCTGCTTCTGGAGCCCAAATCGTGTGTTTATTTCCTTTTTTTGGCTTCAGCGATGAGGCAGCCTGCCAAGGGTAGAATCGATCGTGATTCGAATTGTCGATGAGTTGTCGCAGGCTCACGAACAGCGCGCATGGTGAAGCAGACAATAAGATCGCTGCAGTGGCCACTGGTCGCTCATATGTCTTCTCTAGGTACATGGGGGATATGCTTTTTATGTGGACGACGTTGGATGTTGGAGACGTTGGTCGTGACTGGAGCCTCTGGGCCACAAGCGACCTATCGCGTCCAAGATCAATACCACGTGTCTCAGTGCGGACTTACATGTCGACACCACTATCTGAGATATTGAGAAATGCGATAGAGATCACATGCGATTGTCTTGGATGCCCCCTTGTATTGTTTGCTGACCTGGGAGAGCGATGGCAGCTGATGACCTGGAGTGGGTTGTTCACTGAGAGAGGCGACGTTGGGCTACAACAAATGGAACACAGACTTTCTCCAGAGCAGGTTATCTAGTACAGCGCTGTGTTCCAGTAGCAAGCAAGTGTAACTAACGTTTCTTGTCCGCAGTTAATCCGTTGTGCGACGAACAAAGATTACTCCTCTATCAATGTCTTTGTTCGACCCGACCACCATAGACTATAAAACCGCAACGGCTGCCGTCGACCAGGGTTTGTGACTGGGGCAAGTCATCGGAAACGAGAGCTTCAAGCCAGAGGTAAGATCAATCGCAGCCATGGAGTCCCCGGCCCGCCGAAAGCAGATTCTCTCGGAACAGGCTTACAACCTCGCTTCGCAAACCTACCTCCGCATCCCAGGCATCCTCCTCGACCCGATCCCGATCCTGATCCCCTATGTCCACCGCGCAGCCCTGACATTCCTCAAGCCGTCGCAGTTCAAACTAGACCGATCGTGGGAGGAGTACTACGACGTCCTCCAGCCCTTTGACGACGTCGCTTACAAATTGGTCGATGTCTTCGAGTACTGCATCAATGAGCTGAAGTATAGTGTTCCCGCAGCCGAGAAGCAGCTGTCTTCTGAGAAACCCGACTGGAAAGCCCCATTTGAGCGAGTCCTCGACAACTTGGGCTCTGCCGCCAAGGGCGTTGGTCTGCGTGCTGACGATGTCATGTGGATTGCTTTCTTGTATACCCGCGCCTACGCAAACACCCCCAAGGCCTTCCGCGTCAAGGACCGAAAGTACTGGTTCAAGGCTAATATTCGGTACTTGCATGATTTGCTCGCTGAGTGGGAGGTTTTGTTGAAGGAGAAGGGCTTTGAGTGGCCTGTTATCTTCTCTGGGCTTTTTGGTGGTTGAGTGGGTTGTTTGTCTTGTAGAAGATGATTTTCGTTGCGGGTAATTCAGGTAAGACATGTTAATGATACAAGGTAAGTCGATATGGGTACTTTTGTTAGCTGCTTTTCTTCCTTGTGACTTGTTGCCTTCTGCCGACTTTAAGTTGGTGGTGTTCGGTTTCGATGGTTGAAGTAACCTTGAGATGACCACTCTGCTCTAATTGAAGACTCTTGGTGTATCTTAGACTCGACAAGCGAAAGCTCGTCAACTGATTAGTGCCGTAAATTCATGGTACCCTTGGTTTCAGTACTGAATTACGGGCTGCAGTCCATAAATGATACGAAGGCTAGGCGGGCAGTGGCAAGGGTAGATTCGCCCTGCATATGGCTTTTGAAGATGTCGACAGAAAAGGGTTGACGTTGGAGGGCCGCCAGTGGAAACTTTAGACAGGATCGTGAACCCTGTATTATTAGTTTTATACGTGCTACATATTGATATCTCAAATTACTAATTATTGACCACTTCACACTCAAGTTCCAGCTTTGCATCCGTGAATGTGAACACTTTTCCGGTTCACATCACAGTTGATAACCCCTGGCTGGAAACCGGGAGGTGGGGGCACTGCGAAAACAATTGCCGCAAAGTGTAACTGTGAAGTAAATGACCTCTCTGGAAGTTGATCGCGTCGGCGATATAGTCCGAGTAAAGAGTTGCATCGGGCTTCGTCGCGCGTCGAGGGTATGGTCAAGGCGACCATTGGGGGGGGGGATAACCTGACCAATTACCCACTTATTTAAATGAATTATGGGTCTATCTGACCAATTTTATGATTGGCTGTATTGAGGTGAAGTGGGTCCACCTGACCATGGAATTTTTAATCGGTCAGGTGCACGGACCAGTTACTGATTGCGTCCCACTACTGATTAGGGTGCATACCCCATATTAATATTTAAATCCCTATTCTATTCTGATTCTCTTCCTTTTCCCTCCGTAACCCTTTCAAATCGTATGCGCCCCCCCCCCCCTGGCGCACCGATTCCTAATTACTTCCGAATCAGTTCAGAAATCCGACATCATGCCTTCATACAAGCATTCTGTAAGTACAATGGAATCGGCTTAGGATCGATTCAGAACTGATTCAGAATCAGGACGATTACAAGACCTACAAAGAAGGTCTTCTCCAGGGCGGCAAGAACCACCGCATGGAGGATCTTCCTCCCTTCGAGTTCAACGAGGTAAGTGATTCAGAAGCGATTCCACAACGATTCAGAAACAGTTCTGAATCGATTCAGGCTGGCGAAGTCAAGCTCGCCCCTGGCGAACTCTACTGCCGCTGGGTGGTAGATCCAGCAGCATCACGTGCACCAAGGTAATTCAGAATCAGTTCCGGATCAGTTCAGAACTAATTTCGAATCGATTAGACGGAGCGGTTCTCGAGCGAGTCGAACCTCAAGAACCACATCAAGAAGCACAAGCTCGACGGGGTCCCGGCCAAGGTTAAGAGCCGCAAGTCCGGCGCGAACTCCGTCGAGGAGAACGATGATGCAGCTGGTAAGTGATTCTGAACTGATTCTGTACCGATTCTGAACTAGTTCTAAACTGATTATGAATAGAATTCTACGACCGCATCCACGGCATCGCCATCGGCGCTCGCGATGACAGCGAGCTGCAGACTCCTTCCAAGAAACGGAAGGCGCAGACCCCTCCCCCCCTTCTTGCCGTGCCCACGCGCAAGCGGGGCAACCAAACTGTGGTAAGTGATTCTCAATCGATCCGGAATCCTTTTGGAACCCATTCTGAATCGATTCTGCAACAGATCAACTTCGCCGAAATGCGTCGCGCCGCCGGCTTCCCTGCCAAGGGCAAGTGCACCCACTGCACCACTGCCCGCAATGCCAGTAAGTTTAGAATCAGTCTTGAAGCAGTTCAGAACTAATTACGAATCGATTCAGAATGTCCTCCCGCCCTTCGCGATCAGGAATGTGAGGTCTGGGCCCGCTTTGAGGATGATGAAGAAGATGAGGCCTGAATCAATTCAGGATCGGTTTGGAACCAGTTTGGGACTTCTTTCGGGACCGATTTGGAACCGCTTTAGAATCAATTCTTTATAGATACCCGGGGCGTTCGGTTTTTAAGCTTTTTTTAAAAAAAAGCATTTCTAAATCAATACAGAAATGATTTAGAATCGATTCTCTACCTATCCTATATGCTATCAAAGTCCTAACCTTCTCCGCCGCTCTGCTAACTCTAGTTCCTTTTCTTGTAGTTCAAGCTTCTGTTTTTCAACTAGAAGTTTTCTTGCTTCTAATTCTAATCGCTTTTCTTCTAATTCTAGACTTTGCTTCTGTAAGTCAAAGTCATCTTGTTGTCCCTGTCTGATTTCGTTTCTTAAGTTAGAAATAGATGTTCTTTGGAGAGTATTTGACCTAATAACCCCAGAAGATGAAGCATGGGAAAGACGAGGGGATCGATTCCGAATCGCTTCTGAAAGACTTCGGGATCGATTCGGAATTGAGGATGGACTTCTTGAATTAGTACCCCTTGAGGGACTAGACGTAAAGAGTCGGGTTGATAAAAGCCTTTCAACACGTTCATTATCTAGTTGCTCACGGGATTCCCTCTGGCGTTGGCGTTTAAGTTCTAAAATAATTTAGAAATAATTATTAATAAATATTAAAGTATTTTTAACTTACGTAAACGGCTTGCAGCTGTATTATAACGGCCAATAATAGAAACATCTTTCCAGGAAAGCCGGATTCCTAGTGTTGTAAACACTGTATCCTGCTCTAAAAGATGGCGATCGTATTCTGCACATCTAAGTACTTTTGAATTAGTTCTCAACGCATTCCAAACCAATTCCGAATCAATTCAGAAGGGATTCCAAACTTACTTCTGGATACATGTAAGTAATGGTAAATACCGATTACTCCAAGTATATGAGGCTTCATGTAAAACCTCAACAGTATTTGTATTAGGTATGAATTGACTCCAATCTGATAAGGGGATTTTAGAGCAGTTCTGATTAAGTCCAGCTGCAATTGTTTTTCGGGCTTTATGTTGAGCCCATGCTTTTATTTGAGGTTCAGCTAAGTAAATTAGTTCCCAAGTGATTCTGAAGCGATTCGGAAGCGATATAGAATTGATCCTTACTCTCAAATGCCTGACATAAAGCGAAGTAGTCTTCTGAGGAACGGCAGAATAGTAGGCTGCGCATTTGATTCCATAGAGAGTCAGGGCTACGGTCTTCTGTACAGTATGCCTCAATCCCTCGTTGGAAATGAATTAAACAGAAGCGTACAGAGCGTTCAACCTGCCATGCCCATGGTCTATGCTCTGGGTCACATTCCAGAGATAGATATTTCCCAAACCCTAGATAATTAGTTATAAATCGGTTCTGAATCGGTTTAGAAACTATTAAGAACCCATACCAATAAGGTTTTTATGGTCTTGATCAACTGTAATACCTAGTAGACCCCTACCATGAAGGTGTTTCCACTTGACTTTATATCCAAATTTCTTATAAAGTAGTTTAAACACAATTGTATACATCTGCTGATACATTTCTGTACTTTCAGAATTGGTAAAAACTCGGATAAGTGGAATTGCTAAAATAGTTAGGAATCTGTTAAGAATCCGTTCTAAATCGATTTAGAAGCGATTACGCACCTTTCGAAGATATCGAATTATACCATCCCCAAATAACCTCAACTTCCTCCTTTCCAGCTAGATGTTTATAGTTTGTATCTACCTGGAAAGTATTAAAAGCCTCTTTCTTCCATAATTCAGCTTGCTCTGCATGAAATACAATACATAGGTATGTATTGCCGTCATCATTAAAGTACTGAATATACTATAAGTAAATTAGTATTGAACCCGCTCAGAACCGATTCAGAATCACTTCATACCCGAATTTGACGCCTAGTTTGAGCATACTGGTATTCATACCAAATCGCTAGACGTGAACAGCCTGCTGGAAAGCTAATTGCTTCTTGTTTACGGATAATTGAGCGTAAGAAGTCTGTATTTGCTAGACTTTGATGAACGCTTGTAATAGTCTGGCTATTATAAGTATCACAGAATTCCTGAAGTTCGCGAGATTGTAGGAATGCATCTAGAATCAATACTGGATTAGTTCTGAATCGGTTCGGAAACGATTCTAGAAGGATTCTCACTTAACCCCGTTCTAGGTTGATTGATCTTCTGGACTACCTGTTGCAGCCTAGATATAATACTAGCTGGGGCTCTAACTGGTGGTGGTGGTGGATGTAAATGGACCCCATGAGAAGTTAGAAGAATAACTGGGGTAGCTTCTAGATCAAGCGGGACCCAGAAGTTCCATTTTACTGAACACGTAATTTGAAGAATTGTTTCAGGAACGATATGATTAGCGTCTAGATTGATTCAGAATCAGTTGGGAACCCATTTGGAATCGATTCGATACTAATTTACTTACCGCATCGTGTAATTCTCCTCTTATTGCTAGCAAAAAGATAACAGCTATCAGTAGGGGAGCTTTCTTCTATACTTCCCCCTTGAAGTATAGTTTTGATTAGAGGTAAATATAGCTGGAATTCGATTGGAGGAAAGCCAATATAATGGTTTTCTCCTTGGAGACTTTGTGACCAGCAGATGCAGCGGGCTGTAATCTGGGAAGTTCCTGGAATATACTAAAGTGATTCCGAATCAGTTCCAAATTGATTCCCAATCCATTCAGAAAGGCTTCTTACCCCATACTCTGTATTAACTACTTCAAGACTACATCTTTCTGTAAACGGTCGGCAGGCGGTATGTTGTTGGAAACGTTTTATCTGTGCTTGTGCCCATCTATTTATAAGTATTAGTATATTATTTCTAAAAGGGTTCCGAACCCGTTCGGAATCGATTCTGAATGCTTACGAAACTGCTTTCCGTTTGAGATCATACTGTAGTACCTCTGTTCGTAATGCTTCAATACTTTGCAAGATTTCTGGGGTAACTTTCTGATGCTTCCAGCATGGAAGATTCTGATCGAAATAAGAGCATGCCTTTCCACCTGTACAAGTGTAAGTTGAACGTAAACAAACAGCATTTTGAAGGAATGCTGAAGTCGTCCGTTTTGGTGGGAATTGCCGGGCATGGTTGTACTGAATCTGTGATGTAATTAGTTCTGAAGTAGTTCGGGATCGATCCCGGATCGATTCAAAAGTAGTTCGTTTACCATTCTCCAAGGCGATTTAATATCCTCCTCATTTAAAGTCCTTATATCAATAACATAAAGGACTCCATTCTCACTTGTTTCTGGATATTCTATAAATGTAGGTAGAAAGATTACTTTTTGAGCAAGTACATGAACATCCCTGAGGCTATTATGCCCAGAACGGGTTGCCTCTGATGAAACAAGTGTTGGAGGTATTTCTGAATCGGTTTCGAGTTGATCCTGAATCGATTTAGAACTAATTCCAAAGTCGTTCTCATATATCCCTACCTCCTCATTTACTGGTAAGCCAGACTGGGCCTGGGCTGGTAGTTGATAGTAAAGATTTAAGTCTTCTTCAGCTTCTGCATCAAGACTAGTAGGTTCTAATAGAGGACTTATTCCCTCTAGGCGAGGGAAGAGATTTTCAATCGATTGAAGAGCCATTGTAAATCGATTCGGAACGGATTTGGAAGCGTTTAAATGTCGTATGTTCTTACAAAAAGTATGTCAAGGGTGAGGTTTCAAACCGCGCTAAGGAATTTCAACCTGACCATAGCTAACTAGCTGACCATGGTCAGCTGATCTCAGGGTAGCCCCACAAATCACAAAATAAGTGGGTAATTGGTCAGGTTATCCCCCCCCCCCAATGGTCGCCTTGACCACACCCTCTCGGGCGTCTCATAGCATGATTCTTCGGAGACCGAAACCGGGGCGGATAAGCCCCACCACTGCCCCTCATTCCAGCGTGATGTCACGGCGGGTCAGCCCGCAAGGTCGGACGGGACCTGACGTACGCTATATCAACTCCGAGTGAGCCAAAACTCTTCACTAAAACTCGCGAGAGTAAGTGTCTAAAGATCTTCCGCTAAAAAATAAAAAAATAAACGAACAATATGGCGACAACTAAGTATACCCTGGCCAGCCGGGTCACCGTGAGTCTCACCTTAGCCCCGCTCACACCAAAGATGAGGCAGCTGACATGCTCCGTAGTTGGCCAACGGGAAGACCATTCCTCAGATCCAGCTGGGTCTGTACATGATGTCCGGCAAGGAGGCCACAAAGACCATCCCGTGGGCCCTGGCCGCCGGCTACCGTGGGTTCGACTGCGCGCAGATGTACCACAACGAGCGCGAGGCGGGCAAGGCCATCAGTGACTTCCTGGCCAGCGGCGAGAACACGCAGGGGTTGAAGCGTGAGGACCTCTTCTACACCACCAAACTGGCCAGCAACAGCACTTCGTACGACACCGTGCGCCGCTCCATCAAGAACTCCGTTCAAGTTTCCGGCCTCGGCTACGTCGATCTGTTCCTGCTTCACAGCCCCTATGGCGGCAAGGAAGCTCGACTGACGAGCTGGAAGGCGGTCGAGGATGCCATTTCTGACGGTGAGGTGAAGATGGGAGGTGTCAGCAATTACGGTTCCGCCCACGTAAGTCACTTATCACTGAACGACAAATTCACTAGGTTCTTGGCGGGAGCATCTACTGACAGCATCGCAGATTGAGGAGTTGATGGCTTCCAAACCTCGCATTGCCCCAGTCATCAACCAGATCGAGGTTCATCCTTTCAACACGCAAACAAAAATCAGGGAAACCTGTGCCAAGCACAACATCGCCATTGAGGCTTACGCGCCTCTTGCCCGCGGAATGCGCATGAAGCATCCCAAGATCTTGGAACTGGCTAAGAAGTACGGCTGCAGCCCGGCTCAGTTGTTCGTGCGGTGAGTATTGCTTTTTTAACCCGTATTTCTGGAGTACAAGTCGGTGCTAACGCCAATTGCGTCAACAGCTGGTCTCTTCAGCACGAGATGATCACTCTTCCCAAGAGTGTGCGCAAGGAGCGCCTTATTGAGAATGCTAATGTGGCCAACTTTGAGATCTCCAAGGAGGACTTGGCTGCGATGGATGATCTCGACGAGAATTTGGTTACCGATTGGTGAGCTGCTCTGAATTTTGTGTCAAAGTTCTGCAAGCTAACACAGTAAAACAGGGACCCGACTGATGCTCCTTGAATGGACGATATTACATCACTTAGACAGAATTCATGCAATCGATAAGATAGATCATAATGTGCCATGAGCAAAATTACAATGTCCACCAGCTGATTGGGCCTGTGGTGGTTGGCTGCGATTGAAACGTGAAATGCAGCTAACGTGCACTGCCTGCATGATTACGGGTGCATGCATAGGCTGAGTATTTGGTTCGTCGCTGCCTCAGACTGCAGGAGATAAACACCTCTTTTTGATGCAACGTGGACACACTCACCACGGTTCCCTTTCTCACGCCCGGCTTCTTGACATCTGCGATTGCATATTTTGTTGTAGAATATATCCCGCCATGTGGCTTTTAAATACTGATTCGCTTGCCCTACAAGAATTCTTCCATGCCAGACCGGGCTACGCTATCCTGTCTCATACATGGGGAGATGAAGAGGTGACTTATCAAGACATACTCGGCGACAAGTCGTCCTTGAAAGACAAAGCAGGCTACAAGAAAATAAGAGAATGCTGCGCACTGGCACGCGAGAATGGCTTCCAGTGGGTATGGATCGACACCTGCTGCATTAACAAGTCTTCCAGCGCGGAACTCTCTGAAGCCATCAACTCAATGTTCCAATGGTACCGAGAGGCTCGTGTCTGCTACGCATACCTCATAGACGTTCCGAGTTTACATTATGCGGCTTTCTTGGCATACAAAAACTTGATTAACACACCAGATGATCAGGTCGATGTTTTCAAAGAAGAGAAGGCAATATTTATGAAGAGTCGCTGGTTTACCCGTGGCTGGACTCTTCAGGAACTTCTCGCCCCTCGCCAGGTCCTTTTTTACGCTTCTGACTGGTCTTACATTGGGACGAAAGACGACCTCTCAGGCCTAATTGAAGAGCAAACTGGAATCAGCGACCTGGCGTTGGGGAGTGATTCATTACAAGGTTTCCCGGTCAGAACAAAAATGCAGTGGGCTGCTGGGAGACAAACAACCCGTGTCGAGGACCTCGCATACTGCCTACTCGGCATATTCGACATTAATATGCCGTTGCTATACGGTGAAGGCAATCGCGCGTTCAGACGCCTCCAAGAAGAAATACTGAAAGCCGCGGAGGACTACAGCCTTCTGGCGTGGGCCTCATCTCGAGGTTCCTCGGGTGTGGCTGGAATTGGGTCAGCTCTCGCGGCAGAACCGAACGACTTTGCTGCGCTAGCGCTGAACGGCGGCATTACTATCCAACCTAGCACGCCAGAATCAAGAGACATGTATGTGCATAATGCTGAGATTTACATACCCAAAAAGTACTCTTGGAAAAAGGAACATATACTAGACAACATGACTATGGACAGCGAGCACTTTCTTCTCCGTAAGCAACGGAGGAAAGGGGTGGTGTTTCAACCGCCCACGATGTCTGCAAGGGGGATTCTCATCACGCTGTTAACTAACACGCCGCTTGGGGAAGCCCCCTTGCAGTATAATTGGCTCGCCTGGACGCTTCTCAATATTGATATCGAGGGACAGAGCTATGCCGTCTGTATCGCCCTGCGTGAGGAAGGGAAACCGATCGGCGTGGGAATCAAAGCAGCCAGACAGCGGTCAAAAAGCCTCCACTTGGTACCTCAGGAAATGTTGAGGACTTTCCGGCCCATGACATTATATCTCCGTGTGGCCGAGTCGCCAACAAACCAGCACTGGAAGATCGTGGATAACGTGCCTATTCCAATGGAAACCGAGAAAACAGGACTTTTCCTTAGCGAGAGAAACAACGTTGCGGCAAGGATTACAGAAACGTTTCCTCGGTTGATGTTAGAACGAGTGGGCGGGTTATATAACGTTGGAAGTGCCGGGTTCATGCAAGCGGCCGCTACGATATTGAACTTCGATCCTGTCTGGGCTTTCGTCATTTGCCTAGAGGATGGAGAGTCCCGGCTCGTTGTCTTGCTAGGTAGAATGCAGAACACGACATCAGCCGCAGGGGTGTTATGGCACTGCGATGTGCTGCCATTTCCTGGAGAGAAGACTCCGCGGACCATTACGGATATCCTACTAAGCCAGGACCGTCACCCAACAGATCTGCTGCGTGGACCGGATGCGTTCCATCGTTTCTCGTGGGGAGAGGTTGGGGCGGTTGTTAAACTGGACAAAGGAAGGGTTCATCATTTAGTAGAAGTCACAATCCAGCATCGGGGCGTCGATGCTGTTACTAGCCTGACGAAAGATGACCATGAACAGGAGGTTTACCCTGGAAATGATAGTATTCCTACAATCGAGATAGATTTAGCACCAGTTAAATCTACTTGAGGGTTGTACATGCGCAGAAATTCGCTGAAGCAGGGCGTTTACTATTTCATTCTCAAAAGCCCATAGATCTAATTTGTGTGTTTATTTGATGCGAACTCTTATGATTTTGGATGTGTAGTTGTCGTCTGAAGCAATTTTTAATGCGAGCTCCTAGAAGATTATAAAAGTACAGGATTGCCGAGTTCAGAAAACGAGAACCACATTTTCCTATGTCCTCGATTTGAAATAGTTCTGCCTTGAACTGTGCAGAATGTGAACGCTTTCTCAATGCTATACGCAGTCCCACGCAAAAAGCGTTTGACGTTGAGAGTATAAGTTGTCACTTGCCGAGACTGGATATTAGACAACTTCGCCATCAACGATTATCACTTCAACAACTGTCTTAAAGCATCAACCTCGGCTTCTTTCCTCGCCAGCTGTAGCCGCAGCTGATCCCGTTCTTCCGTAACCTCTTTCAAGGCAGCTTCCAATTCTGTAATGCGATCTCTGCCCTTCTGGCGGTAGCGCCGAGCCGCGATAGTGTTACGTTGCCTCTTGATGGCATGTATGTTGTCGCTCGTGGTTGAACCCATTGAAACTTTGTGAGTGTGGCAATTTTCCGTTTTGGTTTAATGGTGGTGGTGTCAGCTTGAGAGGCGTTCCCTCTGTCAATGTCAGCGTGTTTGTGTGCTACTCGACGACAGAGAGTGAGGTCGACCCATAAAACATTGGTTTCTTGGATGGCAATTGAAATTTAAAGGAATATAAATAAGCTCAGACGTATTGACATATTATACCACATAGGGACTATTTCTGACAACTAGGAACCGATTGAATTTCGCCCGTCGATTCAAACGTATTCTTGATTGAATGTGAGTCAGCATGGCTCATCATGACCACCAGGATACCTGTACGCGATTGGCTGACAGCACTTTGCTAAGTAAGATAAAAGCTAGAACAGATGTCTCTAAACTAGGGCAGTTTGTCCCGAACCTGCGGGCCAAGTATGGAATATGACCCCTCCTGGATGTGTTCTGCGCTAATAACCATAGAGTGCTTTTAGATAGCTAATGGGCACTTCTTCCTCTCCTCCTGTTTTCTCGTGACTCCATCTTCGTGGATAGAGCACTAGATAATGTCTGACATGGTCGAACTTGAGCACCTTGCTATATATATGTAAGCACTTCTTCTCGAGAGCTATTTGCAACATTTGATAGTTAATTTACTGTTAGCGCGATGGACTTGGTCAGAAAGAGAACCAGTCAGCACCTGTTCTGACAGGTTAGAATGTCGTTCGATGCAACTATATCGCAGTCGAGAGCTATGCAAGTGAGTCTTGCGATCGAAATTAAGCGATTTACATGGTCGCCCGGAAGAAGGGGCTTATAGGATTAAACTACCTCATCATGGATAAAGATGCAAGAAAGTTTTACAGTCGAATTTAACTGGGAAGAATTCTCTCATGATGTAGTGCACCGAAGGTTAGTCAAGTTGACAATGTGCAGACTTACTAACTGTTGCGATAGTTGGAATACGGAGTCGTGTGGCACTTCCAGCCACACGCCCGCCAGGCTGAGAGGCCCAAGCCTCCCAGACCCACGTGACAGGCCAAGGGGGAATATCCCTACCTTCTAGTTAACAATACTACTTTCAACTATTATAAACTATCGATTAGAACTAATTTACTATTATTTGTTATTAACGAACGGAATTCCGTTTTACCCCTTATAAAACCTATACTGATTAGTAGTAAACCTTATAGTTATTATTAATTTAGTTAACTTTATAATTACTACTCTGCTACGGATAAACCGTAGATTAGCAAGGTTAATACTAGAAGAGACGACTTCTTGAACTAGATACCTAAGCCTAGGTAAAAGTAGGGATTTCGTACTAACGAGAGAAGAAGCGAGAGTAACTAGGATCTACGGAAACTAGTAGAAGAAAGCTTCTTTTCCTCGAATCTACTAGCAATCCGATTATTCGAGTAACCTAGGGACTGCTATGCTTACCTTAGGCGGGATAAGGTTAATCGTAGCTAATTATCGCTAGCAAGAGCGTTCTATTACGCGTTTTTAATTACTAGAAGAAGAAACCTACCGAATCGATAGTCTTCTAACCTCTTTACGCTATAAAGGCGAAGATTTACAAATCTTATAAAGGATAATAACTTCCCTAACTATAACTATCCCCTACGCGCGGTGCTAATTACGAGGCGCCTGCTAGTTTCTTAATAAATTCCTAGACAAGGTACTAACTACGAGGCGCTTACTATAAGAGACCTCCCTACTAGAAGAAGAATACGCCGAAAGGTAAGTAGAGACTACCGGTAGTAATCTGCCTATATAGCTATATATATACGCCTCCGAGGCTATAGCTTAAGAGAAACGTACGTAGTTATAAGCGTTATAAGGCTAACTATCTACTAGATTCTAAACTTCCTAATAGTAAGAAGCAAAGCCTGAAGTAAGAAAGAGAGATTTACGAGAGAATCTACGGTAGAACTCTCTCCCTACTAATTTAAGACCTATATATACCTTTATACCTTTCGAGAATATTAGTAAGAACGGCGCCGACGGAAATAAACGACAAACCGACGAAAATCCCCGATTTTACGATTCTTTCCTTTTAGAATCGTAATATCCCGAATCGTCTTTTAACTCTTACTTCTAAGCCTATATCTTATACTAATCGTAGCTAACGCTATTAAGGATTAGAATTTAAGATTCTAAATAGAAGTAATCCTTTTATATTATTAGAATAAAGCGAAATTTACGAGAAGGATCGCTTATAAGCAGCGTTACTACTAAAAGCTAATTAATAGTCCCTATCTTATAGAGAATCGAAAGTATAATCGATCTAGCAGTATAAAGCAACTAGGCAATCGACCTTATAAACGCTAGCCCATAGCAACTAGGTTCCTATATGGGTTTCCTACTTGAGACCTATAAGAAGAGGAATCTTATAAGCCTCGAGCTATAGAACGAAGTTTCTCCCGATTTCGCTGACTAGTTAGAAGAAGACTTCTAGAACATACCTCCCCTAATCCTACGATTCTTTAGAGACTATTTAATCGGTAACGGCGTCTATGTCGAAATAGATAGTAAGAAAATCTCGAAAAACGTAGCATTAGCCTTTAAAAAGGAAGAATTCTACTACTAGTTACCCTAAGAACTCGAACAAGGCGTTAAGAGATATCGCAACCTAAAGGCTTTAATAAAAGACCCCGAATTCTACGAAGAGATTACGAGACCGGCAATAGTAGCTAATAGCATAGGAGGAAGAGTCGAACCAACCTTATAGCTACCTCCTCTATAAGAATAATAATAGTAGCAACTACCGTACCGACCGCTATATCCTACGGTCTCTCTGTTAATAGACTTCTAACTATATAAGTTAACAGACCGTATCGGAAAGCAATTAACAGAATTCGCGAAACTATACCCCGACGATATAAAATATAGCGGCGATATATACGATATACTTGAAAAGAAGATGCTAGTATTCGTAGATTACTATAAAATGCTAGGAATTTATACCTCCTAATATAATAAGGTACTTCCCCTAATACTAAAAGGAATAGCTAAAACCTACTTCTACGCCTTGATTAAAGTAATTAACCTATAGCCTAACTTCGAGACTATAATCAACTAATTAAAATCATACTTCGAGACTAGGGAAAGGCAATAAGCGTACGTTACGTAGTAGAATATAACTACTCTTCCCTAAATCATTCGTAATAACCTTAGAAAGACTAAATCGGAGTATTTTAATATACTATATAACAAATTAAGCAAGATTTAGCCTGGTTTGCTATAACAGGATCATAACGACCGATCCCTCTATACCTAACTTCTATACGCTTATAGAGATATTCTAGAGTATGTAATAGCGTTATTTATACCGGCTGAGACGTACGAGGGACTTTATAGCTAATTAATCTCGTCGATCGAGACAGCTACCCGTCTTAACTAATAACAATTTAATATAGTAGCTAACCTACTAAAGCAGTACTAGACCGACAGAACTTTTAACAGTCGAAGGCGTTATTTACGATATAGTCGTTTATTACGAAGTCGATTATTACGAGGAAGAAGCCGTAACAAACCCTTATTACTGCTAACGCTTAAGAAGTACTACGTATATAGAAAACCTAACTACTAGTTAACTAAATATACTATAGAAGAGAGACGAAAAGCGTATAAGAAGTTTAAAACTACCTAATATACCTAAGATATATTACTTCTAGCATATAGCTAATTTCTCGTCTAATACGAGGGTTTCGACGGGTTAGACTTATAACCTACCGCCGAAGACCCTTAGTAATACTACTACGTAACCGAATAAACTAGTAAAAGTAACGAAGAGGAAGAGACTAGCAGCGATAGTTAATTCTAGGTTACCGCCTATTTTACTATAATAGCAATTAACGGCAATAGGATCGCTACGATCTTAGCAGACTAGTCAACCTGCTATGCTATTACGAAAGAAGACCTCTTCCGCAACTAACTAGAACCGAAAGAGCTACCTTCGCAATTTATACTCGAGGGACGCTACTCTGCCTAGAACTTCTAAGGGATTATGCCCGACTCGGGCGTAGCAGGATTCTCAACCGCTAGCTACTTATAATTCGTAGCCTTATAACAAATTTACGAAGGAATTACGTTAAATACTAAGGCGGCTAGCAGCGTTATAGTAAAATTCGGCGATAGGATACTACTAAAGTCTATAAGGACTACTAAAGTGCTAACGCCGTTTAGAAGCGTTAAATTTTACGTTATTAAGACTAATACTCCCTTCCTTATATGCCTAGGAGATATAGACCGATTAAAGGTCTACTTTAATAACGTTACGAATACCTTTATCTAAGGAAATAAGGTCGTACCTATTATTTGCAAATAAGGCTACCTATAGTTATTACTCGATAAGGAGAAACTACTTGCTTAGAACTACCTTATAGACGCTAAATTGCGACGGGTTTACTATCGCTTCGGATACCTATCTATTTAACGATTATATAAGGTGCTTTAGAAGGCTAGCTACCTAGTTGAAATTACGGTAATTAAGCAACTATCGAAAGTCTACTATCGATACTAAATATACGTACTAGCGCTATTACGGTTTAAATTTACGTTACGAGACGATTACGAATTTAACTATAAGGTTATCGCCGACGTAATATACCTTAAAGGTAATAGACCGGTCCTCTACGTCGTCGATACCGCTATAGCGTTTAACGCTACCCGGTTCCTTAAGGACATTTCTACGAAAGCTACTTAGGAAGCCTTACGCCTCTGCTAGATAGATATATATCAAGGACCCCTAGACTAGCTAGTTACCGACGCTAGAACAAACTTCCGCTTAATAGAATTCCGAAACGCGGCAAGAGGAATAGCAATTAAAATCAAGGAAATTCCTATAGAAGCCTATAATAGTATTAGGAAAGTTAAACGATACTATATACCTCTAAGGAAGGCGTACGAAATTATCAAAGTAGAAGACCTAATAATTACGCTAGAATTAGCATTTTAAATAGTAGTTAAAGTAGTTAACGATACTGCTAGCCTAAACGGAATAGTGCTAATACTCTTAGTATTCGGCTTATACCTACGAATTACTAACGATTTACTACTATCTCCCGAAGTTATAAGGCGGGCGAAAGCGATTAAGAAGGCGATAAGCGAAGTATATAAACTTTACGTAAGGCGATAGGTAGTAGAAGCTATCGCTACTTATAATAGCCTTGATATAAGGCTAATTATTAATTTACTACTACGGTCGTAAGTATAAGTATAGCGCGAAAAGAAAGGCTAGACTAGACTATTTACTTTAGTAGTTATAAATAGCAAAACCTATACTATCGATATGCTATATAGTCTAAAGACCTTCCGGTTTATTATAGTTAAACTATACTATGAAGATCTTGATTAACTACCTAATTCTATCGCCGCGCTAGAAGAAGAAGAACCCGAAGCTAAGATACCGTAGTAGGAAGTAGTATGCGACGAAATTATCGTCGCTAGCAGAGGCAGTGAACCAGACGAACTGCAAGAGGCACCGGAGCTACCGAGAAGACGCCTGGGCAGACCCCGGAAGAGACTACTGCTAATCGCCTACTTTATAAAGGAATTTAACGATAACCTAGATTATTAATAAATATTCCTATCGATTAAGGAGTAAGTAGACGAAGAATTAGTAATTAAACTACGACGAGAAGGTATTATTACTATACTAAGCGAACCGTTTGAATAGTTAACTAAATAAGAGATTAATAGCCTTATCGCTAGAAGAGTATTTAAATTTACTTAGTTTAATAAGAGAAGGTATTAGAACGTACGAATCTTCCGATCTCGTATCGTTAACGAAGTTAAGGGTAAAACAACTAACCCTACGAGAAATCGAGACTTATAATATAAGGTTATGCCGACGATAGTAAGAAGGCTATATTAACCTAATCGCTAACGATTTAGTAGGCAAGTTAATAGCTAATTCTATTAATTACCTTATTACTCCTACGAGAAGGGAAATAACTATAGCTTTAAGATATTATATAAGCCTACGTTTAATCCTTTATAAGGCTTAATCGTACTATTCTCGCCTACCTACCGAAGCAAATTCAAGACTAGTACCCAAAAGGGATTATTATAAAGGTTGTAAAGCCTTTATACGGAATCGCAGAAGCTAGAACCTACTAGTAGGCAACGTATTATAAGCATTATAAAGAGAATCTCTAGATAGTTACTTCTTCGTACGATCTATGCTTATTGATCTTATCTACCGAAAATCTATACTTTAGCTATATCGGCATGCAAACCGACGATACCCTCGGTTTGTTAGACAAGGCGTTCTTATAATTAGAAGACGAATAGTTAGAAAAAGCGGCTTTTACGGCAAAAGCGAAGAATATCCTTATAATTAACAAACCCCTCTAATTCAACGGAGGGATAATCGCGCTGTTAACCGATAATTCGATTAATTTAAAGCAAAAGGGATAAGCTAAGAAGTTACGATGTATTAAGACTACTAAACCTAACTTAAAATAGCAATATGTCGAACAACGCGCTAGAAGGGCGTATATCGCGTTAATTTACTAACCCGAGGCCTGTTTCGATTTATCTACTACTACCTAATACTAAGACCCTTTGCTAGAAGCGATAAAAGTACTAAATTAACGGATTTGATAGCAAATAGAATCGCTTAACCGAGGAATAACGTTTATCCTACTCGACCTTATAATAGCTAAGCTATTCGTTTTCGTTAATAGGTCGTTTGCTAATAACTACGACCTTTCCTCCTAATTAGGGTTTCTAATTATCCTAGCTAACGATACTTCCTCTAATAGTAATAACGGAGAATTTACGATTTACGGTAACCTTGTTTATTATAGCTTTACGAAGAGTAAATAAGTTACCTATAGCGTATTAGCGTTAGAGATCTATAAGATAGTTGCTAGCGTCGATATAGCCTATGCCTTCGCTATAACCCTAGCGATAATTACTAACTACCTTAACCTATTAACGATTTAGATAGTTGTCTATACCGATTCTTATTCGCTATACGAGTATCTTGTTGTAACAGGGCAAAGAGCTATGGGGCGCTGCACTACTAGAAGCGCTATGGGGCGCTACACTAAGAAGGTTAACACACATGTTTCACCTAGCAGGGCACAACACCTAGATAAAAGACAGGTTCTAGCTCCAGACTCTTGATCTAGAGGATCAAGAATCAGCTTTGGAAAAATACGACATTTATTACTATTATAACTATTCCTAGCTAAAACCCCGTAATAATTCTGATTCTTCTCTATTAGCTACTAATAGTTATAATAGTAGGAAGTAGTAGTAAAGATGAACGAATTCGCGAATCCCCTGACCCAATTAACCCTCCTGACGAACCGGCGAGTCAAGAGAATAGTAGCTATACTTAGCTAAGAGAGGTTGATTATACTGCTCTTCTAGAGTGAATCGCCTAACTTGAGACATCTTTATCTTAAACTAAACGCTAAAACGATCTATTAGAGTAGCTCTAGCAGATATTATTAGTACGACTAAAACAGAGTCTTACCTCTAGCGAAAGGGGAGATATCAAGGTTAAGAATATCGAAGTATTTACGCTGAAAACTAGCTACCGAAAGCGTATCGAATGGCTTTAAGATTTAGAATAAGTGTTACGACCCGACAGTTAACAGACCACTGACGACGACCCCGCAGGGGCTCAGCGGTTATAGGGACGGCCGTCAGCCGTTACGTCGTAACAACCCCCACGGAACGGAAGAACTAGGATACAGGTCACGTGACGATAAGCAGGACCGACGGACGATAAGCGGTCCTGGGACAGGACCGACGGTGCCAAGGGCGGTCCATGGCGATGGACCGACGTCCTGGGTGTCGGTCCCCCAGGATCAGGAAGTGTTCAGCATGGAACCAGACTTGTATATAGTTGGGACTCGAGTCCTCTCGAGTCCTACCTTTCCTAGTTCTTCAGCAATCAACTTTGTGATTACCCTAACCGGTACTTTCAGCTATACCTAAGTGACGACTACTCTACGACTCTTGTTGAGGCCTTGACTGATTACCAAGACCTTTGAAGATCTACGATCTATTCGACCAGGACCACGGAACGACTGTTACTACTCTCAATCCCTGGCTTACTGTTAACACAAACCCACTGTCAGTTAGCTGGCCGTAACACTTTGATTGCTCCTGTTCAGTAAGTCACCTTTTGAGAACTACTAAACAGTATAGACAAGATGTCTTCTCGCGCTTCTGCCAAATCACCCACTCCAGGATCCTCATCCTCTTCGCGCAACCAGCCTCAGAGCCTCGCGCAGGAGCCCGCCAACACTGAGGACTTCGACATGCCGGACCTCAAGTACGACTCCGATGGAGATGGCTCTTTCACCAAGGAAAGCTACGATAAGCTCCGACGCATAATCCAGAAATAAGAAGCCGAGACAAAAGACATGCAGAAAATCGTCAACGAAAACCGACAAGCAATGGAAAACCTCAACGAGCAACTCCAGCACGCTGGACAGGCCTACAAGAAGCTGGAAGAAGACATCAAGGGGGACGCCAACCTCCGGAAGATCTAGGAACTCCAGGGGGAAATCACCACCCTCCGGGCCGCCGCCAACATCGTCACCACGCCCGTCCACGGAGGACGACAAAAGCTCAAGCTCAGTGCGCCTGTCACCTACGACGGAACCCCCGGGACCCTTAAAGGATTCCTAATTCAGGTTAAAAACTACCAGAACTTTCACCATAGAGATTTCACCAACGAAACCGAAAAAGTAGTACACGCAGCCACCTACCTCCGAGGAAAGGCCCTCAAGTAGTTTAAACCAATCCAGGAAGAATACCTTAAATGCAAGACCCTCGACGAGTGCACCACCGAGACCCGCGACATCTACGCCAATTTTAAAGGATTCGAGGATACGCTCAGGTCACTCTTCCAAGACCCCGACGAAAAGCGACAAGCCGAACGAGATCTAGCACAACTTAAGCAGACTAAGTCTGCTAAAGACTACTCCGCTAATTTCCGACAACTTAGCGTTTAACTTAACCTTACCGAGGAAACCAAGATCTTTATGTTCTATCAAGGACTAAAAGACGAAGTCAAGGACGAGATTATCAAGATTGATCGACCTGACGACTTTCTCTAGTACGCCGAACTCGCCATCAAAATCGACAACCGGCTTTTCGAACGACGAAAGGAAAGAAGCGAAAAACGACAAAACCCCAACTCAGGACGCAAGTACCAGTGGCAGCCTCAGCACCAGTTCAACAACCAGCGAAACGACAATAGACCCCGCAACAACTAGAACAACCCCCGACAAAGTACTGCCTATGGTTACCACAGTAGACCAATAGACCTTAGTACTATATAGAGAAACGACAAAAAGAACGACAGTTAGAAGAAAGATAGATAGTGCTATAACTGCCAGAAGATTAGACACCTAGCATACGAATGCAGGTTACCTAAGAAGGAACGCTTCCAACCGGTACTAGAGAAACGATAAGCGAGTATCGCTACGAAGACGATCCCTTATAAACAACTCAACTGGACTACTTGCTTCGATAACAACTGCTATATCTACTCTAGTAGTAAGGAATACGCAGGATGGTACCCCTAGAAACCTCAAGAACGATCTGGTTACGACACCACCAACGCACCTAAACGGACCCTCGCTATAGGATATAGAAGCAATAGCAAAATCGAGCGCAAGACAATCGAACAGCTCGACAGTATAAACGACAACGAGGAATTAGAACAAGACAATCAGCGAAGACTAAACCTCCTCTACGCAGGACGACAAGCCAACCTGCAGCGGATTCAACAGGACTCACAAAACCCTATGTAGCAACGACAACTCGGTACGCTGGACGTATACATCGAACGACGACAACATGCACAAGGAGATCCCGCACGGATCCGCCAAATCAACTAAGAACTAGAAGAATAGGTCGAATCAGAAACGACTAAGAACACCCCCAACGACTCGGAAACACCTCGCGATGTTGCCCGCCAACATGCCCAACTAGAAGTCGCCTTTAAAGTCGCTTCAGTCAACGACACTAGCTCTGGAGAGGACTCTGACGAAGAAATACAGTGGTATTACTGCTACCAAGACTAGCGCCGAGTCCACTATATCAAGAAAGACGAAGCATGGAAGAAACAGCAAGAAAACGACGAACAAGGAACGGACGAGCAGTTAAAAAACTAGACTCGCCTACCGAAGACAAGGGATAACGACAGGCAGTCCAGACAAGGTCCCTATGTAGCGCAACGACGCCCACGACACAACGACACGAGCATGTACAAGTCCAAATACAGCTCAACGGAAGAACAGCTACCGCCATGATCGACAGCGGAGCCCAAGGAAACTTCATATCACCAAGAACGGTAAATGAAAGAAAGATAACCTGGAAAAGAAAAGCAGCCGAAGACTGCTACGAACTCAGCACCGTTGAAGGAGAACAAGTCCAGTACGGCGGAGGACGCATTGCTATGGAGACAGCGCAACTCCCTTTGCAGATCCATGGCCGGAATAAGCGACTGAACTTCGATATTACGGAGATAGGAGACAAGTACGATGTCATCCTTGGAAGACCATGGTTATACGACAGTAACCCACGGATAGATTGGAGAACAGGCCAACTCCATTGGGACCAGGATTCAGTCACTGAGAAGCAACCACGGAACGGTGCCTCAAACGAACCTCTCAAGACTCCTGAAGCGAAGAGATTTCTAGCATACCTACGGATAAAGGATGCAAACGCCAGGACGTTATCAGCAACAGACATCGGCAAGGAAGACCGACTTCTGTCTATCCCAGAAGAATACCGGCAATACCAGAAGCTATTCGCCAAAGAACTCGAGACCGGACTCCCGGAACACAGCAACTACGACCACGAGATACCCCTTAAGGAAGGGAAGGAGCCAAAGCTAGAAGCAATCTACGGACTCAACCAGAAAGAAATGGAAGCACTCGACGCTTACCTCAAAGAAAATCTACAGAAGGGATACATCAGACCCTCTACATCACCAGCGGGATACCTAATCCTGTTCGTATTAAAAAAGAACGGCAAACTACGACTCTGCGTCGACTACCGGAAACTCAACGACATTACGATCAAGAACTGCTACCCACTACCGCTCATCTCCGAACTACGAGACCTGTTGCACGGAGCACAGTGGTTTACAGCACTCGACCTAAAAGGAGCCTATAACCTGATCCGGATGAAATCAGGTGAAGAATGGAAGACAGCGTTTCGAACACGCCGAGGACATTACGAGTACCTTGTAATGCCCTTCGGACTCACCAACGCACCCGCGACATTCCAGACGATGATCAACCACGTCTTACGAGAATTTCTAGATGTGTTCGTCGTAGTTTACCTCGACGACATCCTAATCTTCTCCAAGACTCTGGAAGACCACAAAAAACACGTATACCAAGTACTGCGGAAACTACAAGACGCTAAACTCCTAGTGGAACCCGAGAAGAGCAAGTTTCACGCCAAAGAAGTCGAATTCCTAGGTTTTACGATAGCCCCAGGAATCCTCAAAATATCCAAAGACAAAATCGCAGCAGTACGAGACTAGCCTACACCACAGAACGTTAAGGACGTACAATCCTTTATTAGATATGTGAACTACTACCGACGGTTCCTAGAAGGGTACTCAGACAAAAACGACCCTCTCACGAGACTCTCGAAGAAAGATATTCCCTAGCAATAGGAAGAAGAACAAGAACAAGCCTTCAACGAGATCAAACAACAAGTCACATCGGAACCAATACTTGTTATACCAAACCCTGAGAAACCATTCGAAGTCGAGACCGACTCCTCAGACTACGCTATAGGAGGACAACTAGGCCAACGAGACGACGAAGGACGACTACACCCTTACGCCTTCTTCTCACGCAAGTTACACGGCCCAGAACTCAACTACCAGATACACGACAAGGAACTTATGGCAATTATCGAGGCATTCAAAGAATGGAGACCGCAACTCTCAGGAACCAAGTACGAGGTCAAAGTATACACCGACCACAAGAATCTCGCACACTTCACCACATCGAAAGATCTCAACAAACGACAAATTCGATGGTCCGAATTCTTGTCAGAATTCAATTTCAGAATCATCTACCGGAAGGGCAAGGAGAACGGCAGGGCCGACGCCCTCAGCCGACGACCGGACCACAAGGTCCAGGTACCTAAGGAAACCCGAGTTATCCTCAAAACAGACAAAAACGGAGACCTTGTGCCAGCAGCCAGACTCTTAATGATGGCCAGAAGAGACAGTACCAGCACGCCTGGAAGGATGTCTCCTGAAGCCATTAGGGAGATACACTCCGCACCCGCACATGGTCACCAAGGCGTAACCAAAACGTGGAAACGCATCCGTCAACACTACGACAAAACGGCTACACGACAAGAAGTATCTTTAGCGATTAAGGACTGTGAGGTTTGCGCAAAAAGCAAACCCAGCCGACATCAGCCTTATGGAAAGATACAGCCGCTCCCAGTGCCGCAAACCGCATAGGAATCCATCTCGCTAGACTTCGTCACTAAGTTACCTAAGTCCCGAGAACCGATAACCAACGTCCACTACGACAGTGTCCTCGTCATCGTCGACAGACTCACAAAGTACTTATACTTCATTCCGTACATGGAGTCAAGCACTGCAGAAGACCTCGCCTACAAGTTTCTGCAGGTGATCGTAAGCCAACACGGAATGCCGAAGGAAATCGTATCCGACAGAGACAAGCTGTTCACTTCCAAGTTTTGGAGATCCCTGATCTCGCAGCTAGGATCTGACCACAAGATGTCCACCGCTTTCCATCCGCAAACCGATGGCCAGACAGAACGAATCAATCAGATCATGGAAACCTACCTACGCTGCTACGTCAACTATCAGCAAAACAACTGGGTCCAACTGCTACCTATAGCCCAGTTCGCCTACAACAGCGCAGTAGGAGAAAGTACAAAAGAATCACCATTCTACTTAAACTACGGATTCAACCCGACAGCCTATAGACAACCCCGACAAGGCCCAACAGCTCTGAAAGCTGTGGCAGATATCAACAAACTCAAGGAAATCCAACGAGATCTTCCCAGAGACCTTGAATTTGTGCGCGAACGCATGCGCAAATACGCTGACAAGACAAGAGTTGAGGGACCAACTCTGAAGGAGGGGGATAGCGCATACCTTCTCCGCCGGAACATCAAAACAAAACGACCAAGCGATAAGTTAGACTTCAAGAAACTTAGACCCTTCGAAATCACGAAGAAGGTATCCAACGTCAACTTCAAACTCGCACTACCAGACACTATGAAGTGTCATCCAGTTTTTCATATTTCACTTCTCGAGCCAGCACCAAAAGGATCACGAACTATAGACCACATCGAAGTCGACCCGGAACAGGACTACGAGGTCGAAAGGATCCTCGATCACATCGATCAGCACGATGACACAGAAATACAATACCTAATCAAGTAGAAAAACTACGGACACGAAGAAAACACATGGGAACCCGCATCAAACTTGGAGCACGCACAAGAGGAACTTTAAGAATACTGGACGCAATGGGAAACACGACAGCACGCCAAAGTCATGCAAAGACCAACACACAACCCTCGCGTCAGAAACCCTCAACCCAAGTTTCGACCAACCAAGAAACCCCAGGGCAACAAAACGTTTCTTCGCCTAGGAACACCTAGCCCTGAGTAGCCGAGGAACCTCCAACACTCCCCGCACCCGCGCCATCCACCAGAGGACCCAAACCCACAAACTCGTCACCAAAACCAAAAAGGGACCAAGGAGGATCATTCCCGAGACCCACTGCCTGGAGGTCACTAACGACGAACCTCTCGTAAGCATCCAAGGCAGGTAGGACTTCGTCGTCCGCCAGGACGCCATCCTCCCTGTTAACCTCCTGCATACCACGCTTAAAAACTTCGGTCTGCCGCTCCCGAACCATCTTACGGACCGTCCGAATCCGTTTCAGACGACCCGCAGCATCCGCCATTTGAACTTGCAAACGAGCAAACTCTTGATGAAGCGCGAATAGCTCCTCACCCGCTTTCTCTTCTTTCTCATCCCACTCCTTTTGCTAAGAGTTCAACTTCTGAACTAGAAGCAAACATTAGCAACCCCCAGAACAGCGAAAACACAAAAACACGACTTACGAGTAGACGCCACGAGGACGCCGTCACAAGGTTTCTTCGCCTCGATGCAAGTCCTACAGCGTGTAGACTTCTCGCCAAAACGACACGGGACCTTTGCACGGAAACAACGAGTGCAAGGCATGTCGCT